CGTGCTGACGCGGAAGTGATGTACGATGTGACATGCTACCCTCTTCCATTTTGATACCCGAGTATAGTTTGAACTGGGATGCTTAATAATGGGTGATTCAAATTGAGTTTCCACTTTACAAATAATTTTTTTTGAAACACCACTGAATTTGTCAACGACAACGTGCTATTTCTAACGTCAAAATATAAACAAAATAGTCATGAAGCAATATACGACCGAACAACGTGTTACAATTATCAAAGCCTATAATGAAAACGGCCGATCAAGGAAGCATACATTTCGTGCCTTCGGCCTTGTGAGAGGACAGTTTGGAATTTGGTGCAAAAATTCGAGCAAACTGGATCCGTCGCTAATACCAAAACCTCTAGGCATGCCGAAAGTGTTGCCGAAAATCCAAGAACCTTGATTCGTCATCGATCGCAGCAACTGGACCTTACTTATTCCACTACACAGCGGATTTTAACAAAAGATTTGAAGTTACACCCATACAGAGTCCAAATAACACAGGAATTGAAGCCTAGGTCACACATCAGGGGAAACGATACAATTACTGCGCGGCAAGTTTCCAGGTTGCGTTATTTCACGTAACGGCGATATCAATTGGCCGCCGCGATCGTGTGATTTAACTCTCTTAGATTATTTTCTTTGGGGGTATTTCAAGGGCAAAGTCAACAAGAATAACCCGAATCCAATTGCGGAGCTGAAACAGTAGTTCAGACGCGAAATTACCAACATAGGACCTGATTTGTGTCACGGAGTAGTCGAAAATTTCTCTAAACGGATTACGTCATGCCACATGCGCCGCGGCGGTCATTTACTTGATATCATGTTCCATGCATAATTGTAATGAACTGCCCTGAAAGGACAAATACATACTTTTTTATAATTTTCAATTTCTTTTTTTTTAAATACTTTTAATGTGGAAACCCAATTTGAATCACCCTATATAATCGCTTATAAGGGGTGTTGATCAATGAAGAACGAGAGAGATAGAGATGATGGAACATATCTGCTCGATTCATCCAACACATTTCAACATCTGAAAGTGGAAAAAGCTCATTCGCAAAGTTATCATACATTCAGCTATTAGCCTACACGTACAGTACCTGAAATTATCGCCCAAAACGATAATTGCCGTACGTCTGGCAACGCTGTCCAAAATTCCGTTGCTATATTGCTGACTCGCTCTTTTGAAAGCGCACGTAATTCGCACTCAGATTGTAAGGGCCAAAGGCAGTGGCGACGCACACAATCACTAAACCCACCACAAGTTGCTCCACCAGTGATGCATAATTTAATTGAGATTTTCCGCCTACTTCCCCCGATTTGTTTTTCTCTCATATTTATATACTATCTGCACCAAAATACCAATCTTATATTCATTTCCAGCAAAAATAAGGTTTCGGGATATGACTGAGGAAGTCGTTTAAATATTCGTGAGATACATTGAAATTTATTTCATGTTGATAATATAAATTTGAAATTATAAGCACAACGCATATCTCATATCACATAACAAGTATTGTAGTAGGAAAAATGAAATAGTAAATTATTTGGATGTTATATGACGTGTGCATGACGAAAAACGTCACCCATTTCCGTCGGTCTATCTGTCTGTTGGTCTGCCGGCCTGTGGGTCGATCTGTCGGTCTTTCGGTCTGTCTGTCCACCAGTCCTTGATAACCCTATAACGTAGTACTGTTCGGATTCAGATGAAATTTTCACTGTATTTCCCTGTACCTGTCTACCTTGTGCTGAACATAATTCCCTATGAACTGATGACGGCGTTGCGTGGGAAGTGCAGAGTCAATCTACTTGGCGCCATTTTTGTAATACATTATGTTGTCTGATGCTCATCAAATAACTATGTGGATTCTCCCACATCTCACTGCCGACCATCGAATAAGTCTATGCACTTTACTCTGACACTCATAGGTTATCCACAATGATGCTGTTTCGCTCCGCGACAACGATAGGATACAGCAAGAGCGACCAAGCTTGAAGCTGATTAGTGATGCTAATGAAAGATTACTGTTACAAAAAATATCACTGAAACTAGAAAATACTTAGATCTGATTTAAAAAAAGCATGAAAATTATTCCGAGGCACAACGCACGTATCTCTTGAAGCTTAACACCTCTTCTTAACCTTTAGAAAAGTGAGAGTAAACAGATTTTCTGCATGAGTCTTATACTATTAGTCTCATGAGTCGGTTTCAGGCTTGGATGCCGTCGCTGTATTATATAGGTAGCATTGTCGCGGCCTGAAATTGTATCTCTAGGATGATGTCTTGATATTCCAAATCAATGATAATAATGATGAACACTTGTAGACTGTTAACTGTATCTCGGAGTAAGCAAATGAGCTAGTCCAGTAGCTTTATCTGATAAAGTTCAAAAAATATTCTCAGGTGTATGGAGCTAATCAGCTATTAGTGCTGGTAGTAGATTTGATAGCGTCATTGTTAATAACGTCGTATTTTAACCAATATTGCTCACCAGTAATCAACAACAATAAAAGGTATTATACTGATAGTCACGAAATTGATTCATGAGGTGGAAAGAGGTATCCAATTATTCTTGCTCGATGATTTTTTATCATTCCTCCAAGAGTAATAAATCATGAGACACAAAACTATCTGATTCTTTTTTGATATGTTAACTGAATTTCTACTTGTGAAATTTATAGATTTGCTGAAGTGAATAATAACCATAGGATATGGGAATAATAGCAGTTTTTCATCTACGTCTGAAAATTATATATTTTCTTTGCTATTTGCCTGAGAATTGTTAATCCTGAAACTGATACTGTTACTGAACTGTATGGCACCCCAAATTCTTTTTAGCGCCACATAATACCAAAATAAGTTGATTCTCTAGAAACTAAAATTTTGGAAGCTATTAAGTTTCCAGTACATAATCGAAGAATGTAAGAACGATATCTTTTTCTCTTATCTTTAATTAACAGATTTTTGGTTATCTATCCGTTTGAGTTGTGAACCTAGAGGACAATAAATCAATAGCTAAGTATTTCCAATTATAAGAATAAGCATTAGTTGAACTATTCTGTAGGGTAAAGGTTAACTACTCCAGGTCCACGTTTGCATTTGGGAGAGCAAACTGAATGTTGAATTAGAACAACTCAAGGCCAAGTAATATTTTCTAAGCTTGAAACACCCTAATAGCACACATAAATTCCTGTCAACGAAATGACACAAAACATAGACATGGTACTGCTGATAATTACATCTCACAATCTCAATAAGCTAACCAGAACCTGTTGTAGTTCATTAAACTGAAAGGGTAGCATATCATCATTTTAATTCAATTCCAATTTAACTCTGACATGTTCATATACGAACGGACGTTATCAGTCGTGTCGGTTGCACAGGTTTCAGGATGCGTCACGGTTTGTTTTCACCAAACTTCGATATGCCAGCTTCATTTGACCATGTATAATTGATGATGTTACAGCACAAATCGATTTGTGGATGTCAATTCAGTTGAATATCCCGTCGCAACTTGTTTTGGAAGACATGTCCAGTCCCGCGACTATTACAATATGCTACTAAATTGTTAATATTTGAAGCTAACCATTGCACAGATACTTATCAGACAGTGATATAGAACATAGAAGATTAGAAAGTATAGAATCAATACATTATGTAGACCGACAAATAAAGGTGTTTGGCATTAGCGCTAAACTGAATTTGGGTAAAAATTATCTATCAATCTTCAGAAGATTTTTTCAAGAGTATCTTTAATCTCAACAATAAAATGTGAATATTTCAAAAAATGACCATTTAAAATTAAATGGTTCATAGCTTCAGGAGCAATGTATTTTTGGACATCGAAGACTTAAAATCCTATACCCGGTTATGAGAATATCGTGATACTTGATGAATACACGTTCATCTTTATCTCTATAGCTCTCCTGTTTATTGATTAGAATATTTGGATTGTTTAGTTTTTAAACCTATGATGAGAACGATTATCTGTATAAAGATATTTCTGAAGATTTTTAGAATTCTTCATCAAGACACGTTTCATTCCCAACAGTTACTACAAAATTATACAGTGACTTTTACGTTATTTAGTTTTTTGTATACCAGGCCAGGCTATTGGACGATACGTAGAGAGCAGACTAGCAGACTTCTCCATAGTTATATCTTTTCTAGAACCGTTTTAATTATTTAGTTTCGTTACAGCAGTTTTTAGATATAGATTTTATGTAACATTCTAGACAGTGTATAGCGAACAATATAGTAATCGTAGTTTATCACATTGTAGGCAAGGTAGCCTTATTTTTACAAGAATATTATATAAATATTTTAGTTTTGAAAGATTTTAGAAGCAATTCAGAAATATTGAATCCATCAGCAATGAGCTCAATAAATAATTCATGGAAATACGTTTAGCCTGTTTCAAGTTCTTGGGACTTTCCTACACACCGGTTAATGACCAATAAGAAGTCAATCTTACAATCGCACTAGTTATAAGGAACTCAAGATTACATTAATTTCACCTATAGTTATATTTTTTAACTTTTAAAATTGGGTTCTGTGGTTGGTAACCTTGCTTTATCAAAGAATTTCTAAAATATTTTCTATATACGTTTGTATCTGTGATCAAATATAAAATTGGCTGGTAAGATCTCTGAATGTTGTACCAGCACCGTCTTCCTGTTTTTATGGTTTTAACATCGTATACCCGGTTAATAGTTTTATATTTATTCTCACTAGCATACTTTGATTATTTATTGGTAGATGAATTATATCAGGATGCTAGACTTCAAAATGAACAAAGGTTCAGCCTTAGGTTTTTATTATTATTAATGTTCCTTATAGATTAGTATGAGTTCAAGTATATTGTTGAATTTTCCAAAATGAAATCCAGCATCTATAAGGAACTAGCAAATTCTCATTTAGCTCGATTCTAGTTCTTAGACTTTAGTAAACAGCGTAGTGTGTGTGGAGTTGGCTAGAGGCTAGATTTTTGCAGGTTTCTCACCATGTTTCCTCAAGATATCATAGCGGTGGACTTGCGCACATTGCGGGCAATCAGAGTACTGAGACCGCTCAAGCTAGTCTCTGGCATCCCTAGTAAGTAGATTTGAGTTTGTCTCTATGTAGTATCGGTAGTTTATGGTGGTCACAAGGTATCATGTAGATTCTGTTCATTAGGTAGAAAACAGAACTACCCTATCATCTTCAGTATTATGTCTTTCACAATAATATGGTTGGTTAACAGTGGAAGCCAGGACACTTAACCAACCTAAAAAGTTAGTTAGTTAGTGGCCTAAATATGGTGGAGATCAATTCAAAGCATGCATGCCCTATTCTGTGACTAACGTACAAATATTTTGTGATACGTGATACTTGATAAGTTGAAGCGAAAAACTGAAAATGAATAGTTAAGTACTCTTGTGACTCCCATAAAGTTGGTTTCTTCTATCATCCTTATCTCACTTTCGCTTTGCTTCTCTCTTTATACATATATATACATCTTGTTCACAATCAAATCTTGATCAATATGTGCACTGAGAAAACTAGGTCACCTAAACAGTTTTTTGGAAAATTTTCATTAACCGTAATGCATTTTTATATATTCTAAGTAAATAACTAATTTGGCTTAGTGAAACTGAATTTTCTGGAACCGGTTTAATCAAAAGTACACTATTAAACTAATTTGCTTGACAATAGCAAAACGAAACATGTGCTTAACATAGGCTTGATATACTATTCTTTACAATTCTTTTATTGAACTGGATATCGATACATAGACATTTTTTTTGTTTTTATAGTTCAACGATGCAATACTTTGATCAAATGTTCTGATGGATTTAGTGTGTTTATCGTATAATGCATATATACAGGAAGTGGAGCCTCTTTTTGGAGCAGCCTTTGTAGTATTTTTAAATATCCTACTTTGTCCAGGTATCCCCTTCCCTGCTTTCTAAATTCAAAACAAATAATTGATTCTATTATAACATGAAATAAAAAATACCGAATTTTGTTAGCGATACAAAATTTGGAAGTTTTTACTTTAATTAGAAATATCATTCATCAATACCTATCCATTCTTTTGTCTCAGATTTGTCAGAGTGCAGTTATAATATACATCATTCAGTAAAATGCAACTTCTTATTCTAATCTCCAAATATCACAATACACCTCTAAATCTAAATTAAATAATTTATTAAAGCAAGGCAAATGCTTTTACCTAAACTAATTAAACAAATCTAATAAATTTAATTAAATTGTTGTACTTGTATCAAGTGAACTCATTTTAATAGTTCATTAATTTTAAATAAATTGTTGCACTCAATATAAGCAATCGGTTCAATAAATTTAATTAAACTATTGCATTTTGATTTAGTTAAACTAGTTTTATAGATTCAGGTAAACTGTTTCAGAAATTGGAGTTTAATTAAACAAATTAAACTTGTTAACTGCCACATAGTTAATTATTTTTTTTAATTGACAATTTAAATCTTAATTGGTTTTATTAATTTTTTCCCAGTGTAAAATAAACAATGCAATCATACAAAATCATATAAAAAATAATCCTTGTGATACGTGCATTTTAAAATCCACCTTAAAGGAGTGATTTTAATCAATATTATCCAATTCATTCTCTTAAACTGCAACTATATGTGCTAACTGACACAATTTTAGTTTTACCTCACAGAGGGTTTTAAGTTCCACCATTATACAATAACCCACAACAACCATAATGAACGGCAAAATAACAACCTAGGCTTGATACATAAATCTACACAAGCTTTTTCTGCTCATATTCTTCTTAGGATTTAAAAGCTACTCTAGTGTAAACCCCCAAATGATGTGAATATATCAGTTACATGAACATAAGATAATCTGTTGGTGATGCTATTTGGATCTGAAACATCCCTTGCCAATTTGTCATCTCCATATTCATGTTTCCCGAAATTATGCCGTTTGCGGTAGAATATGACTCGTAATTAGTCAAGATTTCCTTGCCTCTGATGAATATGTATCAATCAAGACTCTGCGAAGTCCGCCTATAATAAATGGTGGAATGGCTCTCAAAGCACTACTACTGCTCGTATGTTTGACAAGGACTCTACTGAGAGTCATCTTTTCTTAACTAATTATACTATATATACTATATCCTGCGTCAAACCAGTTAACTCGTTAATGAAACGAAGTAATGTAGTACATCACACAATCTATTAGAAAATAGTTCTGTAGGCATTCAACAAGCTTCTGTATAGTTTATAGATCACTGCCAAGCATTGTTTTCCATCTACTTTACATGTTAACATAATTTTAATTTTCAAAATTTGGTCTGTGTATTTGTTATACTTGTGCTCAGAATTCATCAAATCGTCAAACGATTGCGGTGTGCCTCATAGCTCGTACTGCATATCAACGCTTTTGCGTGATTTGGTTTGCATAAAGTAATTACAAGCCTTTCCATGGTTTTTGGTGGATCACAGTGAAGCTACACGAATTTCAAATACGCACCTCCCTATTATACGCATAAGCAATCGACCCTATGCGTTTGTTTATGTAAGCTCACAGACGCACGTTTTCCGTCTTTTACTGCCTTCAATATTTTCTCGTCAACGTATGAGTCTTCCATATTTTTTCTTGTCACTCTCATTATAACAACTTGCTTGCCATGGTCGTGCCATATGAGTTTATTTTCTGTTGATCTTTGATTGAAAACATAGTATAGCATATTTGAATATACAACTAAAATGCTAGCATTTATTATATTATTTTCAGAATGTTCATGAAGACAACGGTCTTTTTTCTATCATATATTTGATGTATGGGTGTGTGCATAAACGAGTATCATATCCGTTGAGGATCGGCTTATGCAATGTATAATTTCCCTTACGAAAGTTGAGCTCCGCAAACGCTACACTTACTTAATCTGCCTACATATCTCATATGAAATCGTGATGTAACCGCCAAAAACAATGAAAAGGCGTATAGATAAGTTGCGGATATCAGCAATGATCAAGTCAGCGGGGAACATTTTGCTCAATATTTGATCGAAGCTCCAAGCACCGTATTCGACAAACCCATGGAAAACGATGGAAAATGATGGATCGCGAGGTATATACACTGCGAGGTAGAAGCTCATCATTAGTTCTGATAGGCTGAATAGCTTTATTGTTGTCGTCTCTATTAAATTTGAGCTGAATGAATTACGCATCTAAACTTGGACCTCAGTACACTAATCACAATTTACACATCAGTTTACCATTCTTTTTCCATGTTGGCCTATTGTTTTCTTTCTGCTTCAAGACATTGGAAGCAATGCCTTGATTTGGTTGTCTGTAGTCAAAATGTGATAGCATTGTAAGAATATAATAACTTTAAGTTTAGGATTTTAAAAGTGAAAATGTTTCATGGCAAACTTTTTCATATAAGACTATATCCATTTTGTGTATATGCAAAGTCATTTAAAAATTAAAGCTCTATTAAACGGCATCTGAGTAGGATTTTTTATATGTTTCAGCGATTATATTAAAAATTGTACCTAGGTATTTATACCTGATTTTGGAGCTGTTGTATATTTAAAGCCAACAAGGAAATGGAATGCGACAATAATAGTTGAATGTAAAACGAGCAATTTTGCAATTAGACTGAAGTTAAAGACGTATTCTAAGTCTTGCATTCTCTTTTAGTCAAGTTTGTGCAATTTCGAATGACTTTTGTGAGTAAACCCGTTGACGTGTTACATACTTTACTTGTTTCAAGTATTAGCACAGACTAAGAGATAGATCTAGAAGTATTGACATCATCAAGAATTATGCAAGTCAAAGCAGACTAACTATATGCAGGATGAAATTGCTCGTTTTACCATTGTACTTCTGATAGCCTCCATATCTACGTTCCTCTGTTTCAATCCTAATAGGCCTGCAAGTGGTTCTCAAGTCCATTATCAAAGCTATGGCACCGTTGCTGCAGATCGGATTGTTGGTGTTGTTCGCTATCGTGATCTTCGCCATAATCGGATTGGAGTTCTACTCCGGAGCTCTGCATCGAACGTGCTATAGTCTCTATGATATCGGTAAGTACTTAAACAAGTCATGATTTTTTTGCAGCGTTGTCCGCACCGTACAGGATCGAAACAACAGAGGCATAGTATTTCATTCATGCAGATTGTCAATAATTTTACGTGTAGACCAAAGTGCAATTCAGTCAAAAAGAGCCGGAGACAGGCCAATGAGATACAAACTATTGAACTTCATCCAAACTTATCATTTTAATCGCCTTCAAAGTAGATCTCTACCAAAACAATACACTCACGATAACCAATACACCAACAATAAAAACGTTTTTCATACCCATATATGCATTCTCCCGGATTAACTGAATACGATTACTCTTGATCCTTTTATCTACTAAGAACGAGGGCCTAGACGAGGCGATTTCAGATTGAGAAAAATTAAAAAGTCAACTTGAGCTATATCTAGCGAATACAGTGGTTGTTCGATGATGCTTATTGATCTACTTCTCACGGAAATTGGCGAAGGAATCACGAAAAATCATGTCACCCAGTGTTTGCTTTCGTAGTAAGGGTGAACTGTACTTTTTTGATTACTTAATGATATTTTTATTACAACGTATGATTTATTCTAACCGACAAATAAAATGTGTTTCTAAAAGATGCTGAACTGTTTTTTTAACTGATCCTCAAGGCAGCAAAATTTGGAAAATAAATTTCGACAAAATGCAAAAGAACCAAATGGCTATGTGTTAAAAAGTAGATCAAAACGTTAAAACAGTAAATTATACAAATCTAAAAACTTTAGGAGATGAAATCGAATTAATTTGAGTAATTTATAAAAAAAAAACTAAAACGGGAAAGAGCAACATTATCAAATGAGTGTGGCACCAATCACGTCACAGGGGATGTAGTGCATCCCCCACGTCACATCTACATGGATAAAATCACATCAAGATAAATAAAATGGAATGAAAGTTTATTTGTCGTAAGACGTATGAGATCCCCAAACAGTGACGACTTTAAAGTAACATGAGAACTGCTTAGGATCTTATTCTGATGTATTTCTTTATTAAGAAGTTATTAATTTCATTAAGATGTTTTTTCTTGCGAAAAAATGAACATTATTTCACTTAGTCAAAGCTTTTTATACTCGTAATTGGTTTCGTAGTCTAATAAGCTGACAATTTAAACTAAAACTATCGTGCTGACAGTGATGAGATCTCCAAGTTGTATGCTCATGCCATTTCTCTAAACTCCTCTGTAAGGTGATTTATGATATGAGTTTCTATCTTTTAGATTATGTTCAATGTTAATACCTCGCCAAGAACACATAATCTTTGTAGTTTAAAAAAATGAACCCGTGGCGGAGGAGCTACAGGTAAAAAAAAAATAGAGTGATGATTGCTGGGCGCGGGAAGGGTGCATCTTAATTTTTTTATATTAATGTATTTATATGCATGCAACCCCCATAATTCTACGCATCATTTCACACAAATATCTCCCCATATATGCCCTAAGTGTAATGTTTTTGCTACCCGCAATACATATTCGCAAATGATTTTTCAAAAAAGTCCAAGTTTTACCGGACATAATCTTTTGAGTGAGAAGTGTCGAATAACAGAAGGCCGCACTTTTACCCACTTTTCGTTCATCCATGTTTTAATAGAATGTCAGCTTATTCAAACTAGACTATTCACACTTTTCTGTTTGATTTCATAGATGAGATCGTGAAAGAAGGTGATGAAGAGGTGCCTTGTAATACGGACAATGAGACTCAAGCGAGGGCGCAGGGCAGCAACTGGTGTCGGGATGGCAACTCCGTCTGCTTAGAACGGTGGCAGGGTCCCAACAACGGGATCACATCCTTTGATAACATCGGTTTTGCCATGTTGACGGTGTTCCAGTGCATTACCATGGAAGGGTGGACGGCCATTCTCTACTGGGTAGGTGTTTATAAAATCAACAGTTGTTGCCTAGATACAAGGTCTACCGTGTTATTTTTGGAAATACTTTACAAGAATATTGCAGTTTCGACCTCGATAAAGGAGCTATGAGCTTCGGAGTGATTAATTTTTAATGAATGTGTCCGGAACTATTGCCGAGAATAACAATGGAAATCTCGGATATGCTTATGTGCCAGGCTACATTTAGTCCAGTAAGTCCATGTCCAATATTGTGAATATTCATTCGGTGAGTGACTTATCGCGATTTATAAAATTTTATCCTTCTTATTTTTATAGATGGTCGTTGCAAATGACAAATGAAAATTCGCAACATTATTATGGGCTTAGCATATGAAACTCATTCTAGGGAGAATGGACAACCTAGTCTTGCTCTGAGGTACAGATGTAGAACACAAAAAATAATGGAACAAACTCCTATTATAATATATCTTATGTGGCTTTTTCAAGGGGCTACGGGCTCCTAAAGGAGTTACTGGAAATCAGTTTTTCTCAAGTAATGTTGAAACGTCACTGTAGAATTTAACGGTAGTTTATAACCAGTTATAACCAGTTGGAGCCTCACATGATGTAAAACAACCAACTCATTTCTTTCACACCCTGTATCGTAATGGTCCAACAATAACACTTTTGGAAATTCCGATCTTAAAGTTTATATTCCTGACCGTTGATATCAATTCAAGTTATAAGGACTTGGTATTCGGTCAAATTGAAACATTTATTAAAAATGCGACGATTCGGTGACCTTGAGCGCCATCTTAAGAAACAAATGAGTTTCGAAAACAGAAATTGTTTTGTTCTTCTCCTTAGCAAGCTTTCTTTGGAGTCTTCTGTATCGTCTTAATAGGTTCATCTTATCACTATTTCTGTTGAGGTCCATTTTCACCAAGTACCTTTGCAGTTTGGATTCCTGACCAATGATATCAATTCAAGTTATTCACATTCTTGGGATACGGTCAAATTAAAGCATTTATTAAGAATACGACGTTTTGGTGGTTTTAAACATCTTCAGGTACGTACGAGTTTCTAAAACAGAAAAGACTTTACAATCATTTCGGGGAAATTTGCTAATATGAGTAGACTACTACAACCATTTTTTAGAATGAAACTGACACCACTAATCCAAAAGTGTACGTGATTAACTTGTCAGCCACAGAACATTTGTAGTTTCAAGGGGATTGATATTCGGAGATACGTTTTTTTTGCGAAGAAGCAACATTCTCAGTTTACAGAGCAAATCTTTGTCCATCAAGAAATCTGTCGTGAGTGGAGTATATACGTGCAACTTTTCATTGTCTTTGGTGTAGGGTGTAGGTTATTTATCGAAGTCGACAAGAATTTGGGGAATGTTGGTCAACATTTAATTACCATAAATTTGACCATTTTTATATCCTATCGATACCGTAAAACAGAATGTTCCAGACTCACACGTTGTGACGTGGGTCGCGGAAATTGATTCTAGTGGGCGGATATTTAAAAATCAATTTGATTTCAAAAATTCTAGTTTCATGTATAGTCTCTTATCTTAAATTGCAGTAGGTTAAAATGTTCCTGTCTTTTCAGATGAATGACGCCATAGGAAACTTCTTCAATTGGATGTATTTCGTTCCGCTCATAGTCCTAGGATCTTTTTTTATGTTGAACTTGGTTCTTGGTGTTCTGAGCGGGTAAGTGTTCAATCGTCGTTTCGTTTGCATGCCTTTCATGATCTTTCCTTTCACGTTAGAGAATTTTCAAATGAACGAGTGAGGGTTGAGAGACGGGCAAAGTATTTCAGAACGAAAACAAAGAACATGATGAATGAGAGTTTTGGAAGATATATCACTTGGATAACCGAAGCAGGTGACAAAAGCTTTGAAGTAGATCTTGACAATGAGTAGGCAATTTCCCAGCACAACATTTGATTAGCAATTTTTATGAATATATCTTATTAAATTGGATGAGAGGTGTTGAAGTTGCAAACAAATTTTGTGTTCTAGTAACCTTCATGTGGATATCGGTTTTAATTATAACTTCTTTTCAAAGAAAAAATAGTTTTTATGGTGACTAAAACTTTGTTTTCTAAGCCATTGGATAATTGCCAGATGTCTAAAGTCTGGATATACAGGGTGTTTCAGTTTATTGTTGCATAACTTTAAGATTCGATAGAACTTTTAAAAATGCATAAAGTCTATATAAACATGGGTCGAAAAATGCGTGGCTTCCGAAATGGAGTGGTAAATTTTCATAATCAACATATTTGGTCGCATGAAAATCCGCATTCAGTTCGGGAAAGAAATTTTCAGCATGAATTTAGTGTGAACGTGTGGATTGGTATCTACCGTAATCGACTATTTGGACCCTACCTTTTGCCTGCAAGGTAACGTGCTGCGACCTTCTTGGAATTTTTAAAGGCTGATCATGCAAATATGTGGGATGATGTTATGTTAGATTTAAGAAGATTGGCCTGGTTCCAGCTTGATGGTTGTCCAGCTCATTATTCGAGAATAGTTAGAAACTAGCTGGACGAAAATTATCCAGAAAGATGGATCGGCCGGGGAGGACCAGTCGCCTGGCCTCCACGATCCCCTGACCTAAATCCATTAGATTTCTTTGTGTGGGGATTTCTAAAAGAAAAAGTGTACCAGACTCCCGTAACCACAAGAGATATGCTAATAGACAGAATCAGGAATGCATGTGATGAAATAAGGCCTTATTTGAATAATGCTATACCACGTTCGATCATTCGTAGATGTGAATTGTGTATTGAACAATTGGGTTTACATTTCGAGCAACTACTTTAGATTTTGTATGTTTGTCCTAACTATCCAATAGCATTTTAGTTGTAAATAATTAATTTAATTTGTTAAAAATAATATTGGAAAATTAAACAAATTAATATTCTGTTTTTTGTGTTTATTTGGAGTTAGGAATTATTGCTGTGTTTAAATACACAATCTAAACGATCATCTTAATTACTTGTAATGCCCAAATCGAAAATGTTTAAAAAATGTTATTTTCCCATAAATAATTAAAAATGCATCGAACCTTAAAAATCGAAATACCTCAAAAACGGCTAACTATAACGAAAACTCACAAAAGAGCTTGTTTATGTTGAAAAGTGCGAGGAATCAGTTTTTTTATTCAAAAAGCAAAAAGTTGCACTAAGAAAAAAATGTCTGTCATTTTAATACACTACAGGTACAGTAGAGAGCGCCCTCTAGCGGTTACAGTAAAACTATGCCCATGGTTCGTTTTGCCGTACCAAAAAACCCTTGTACACCAATTTTCACTGTTATACATCAAATATTGTTCGAAATATTTAAAAAAAACTATTTTAGAAAGTAAATTTAAACACCCTGTATTTCGGAAGCCACGCATTTTTCGACCCATGTTTGTACAGACTTTATGCATTAATTTTAAAAGTTCTATCGAATCTTAAAGTTATGCAACAATAAACAGTTATGTTAGTAATTGACGGTAATTATAATGGGCGCACCCAGGAATTCTTCTCACGAGTGTTGCATAAGACATCAACAAAAGGCTCATATGCCGAAATAGGCCGGCTGATATAAATATTATAAAGTTAAAAGTGTTTAATATCAATGTATGTATAAATATATTCTATAGCCTGGGTGTATACTAAAACGAAGCTTAGGAGTCATTTTCGGTCTTTGGATTTACGTGAATCGCTTAATTATTGCATTTTGGCATACTCGTCTCTGTTGTATTCAGAAAGGTGATACTTCATATTTAATGCGTTCGTGAAGAAATATATATTTCTGCATTGAGCATAAATTAAACTATCGACTTTGTCGGTATTGTGATCAGTAAATTTGAATATATTCTCAGACAGCAGTGATTTCCCTATTTTCACTTCCATACAACTGAAGCAGATTAAGTAAGCATTCTGAATTAATTACAGTGCCTTTCAGAAAGGTACCCTTACTTGCTTTTTAAACTGGTCAAGTTTTGCAAATGAAATGATAAGTCGTGCGTTACCTTATTATCGAGCTCCTGATGAACATTTCATAATTCTGGAATATGAAATCACTATTTTTCAAAATGGCGGACTTGCTTTGAGCATTATAGCGTTATAGTATGTTACAGTTATTTCAATCTTTTCCTTTTGGAAGGGTTCTTCCGAATATGGAATACAATATTGAACATTCAGCTTGAAAAAATTGACAGGTTTTGACAATTTTTCTTAAACTGAATGTTTAATATTTTATTACATATTCGAATAGACCCTAACAAGAGAAAAAGGCTGATATAACAGACTGGAGCGCTTTGATGGTTGGTTGTTGAGTTATAAACGAGTAAATGTACAAAAACGCTCAAATTTGACAGCCTGTCCGTTCGTCATTTTGAAGATTGATGAATTTGTGTTTTAGGGTTATAAAGTACTTGAGAGAAGCTTCGAAATGAAGCATCATACGACATCTTACCGCCATCTTGAAGTCTTCATCAGCTTTGTTTACGCTAAAATATAGTAGTCAGGTGTCAATTTCTCACAGTTTCAGCTTGCTGACTTGACCCGTTCAAAAGAATAAGTAGGAATGGAATCTTTTTGAAAAACATTTTATATGAAGGTGTGTATGGAAAAATTTACTTGTAGACATGTTTGATTTTATATCTTGTCACTTCCACAAATCGGGCTTGCGTAAGTGCGCATGCAGTATGGTGATGGCATACTGCTGCAAATCTATTTTTGTATGCAGCACCTAAAGATTGTCACTGTTTACGTCCGTTTATTTTTTATCTTTTCTGAAAATCAAAATCGAGAGCATCCAAAGCGGGATATAGTTCATTGTTTAAATATTAGTGCTCAAGTCTGTATGTACCGCTGATTTGTGATAGTTTGCTTCTGAAGTACAAACTTGCGCAATTATTCAAACGATTATACAATCCCACTTGCTAATTATACGTTGTGTGTATAGCCGTTGATAATCTTGAGATTTAATAGACACGATTGTGTACGGAAAGAAATAAAAGGCCGATAGCGCCGATCTATCGTCCTTTGATATACAGGGTGTTTCACATTTTATCCGACAAATTTTAACCACATATGCACTGTTACGAAAGGAGTTGAATTCTCAAAGAAAAAAAAGTAATAAAAGTCCTACAGAAATTAAGTTAAAAACCTGAGTTTCAATAATAGATTGAAAAATAAATATCTGTATTTTTCGTGCATCGTCATGATATTAGAGTACGCATTAATGATTTATTGTAACTGATGTTGTACCAAACAACTGACGAAAACAAAATACGTGGAATTTTTCATTTTCTCATGCTGATAAGAACGTGTAAATAAGGTTTAATCTGTAACGTGGGTGATCTGAATGAAGAACCGTCGATTTTTGTGAAGTTAAATCAGAAAGTATTTTGCGGTTTAATGTTTTTAGTTATTTATTAATAAAAATCGCACATGTGTACACTAATAAGGAGTTAGTGGACATTGTTTTAGCGTACGGAGAAGCAGTGCGAGCGGCTTCTCGTTTCTATGCACACCGATTTCCGAACAGACACATACCACATCACGAAACATTTAGTTCAATTGTTTTACGTTCACGTGCCAGTGAAGATTTGCGCCCCAGACGTGGGGTGGCAGGGGGTTGGGTTCGCCCACAACACGTTTTAAATGCCGAAGACGAAATTTTGGATATTGTGGAAGCAAACCCAGGAATAAGCATGAGGCAGTTAGCCCAACAGGTCCCAGAAGTGTGCAACAGCGTGGCGCCCAACTGTACTCTTATCACGTCCCCCTAAGAGTAAAATTTTGGAGTGGTTGTTACAAGAAAATGCTCGAAATATCCGTTTTACAGCTGATATTTTGGCCACAGCTGAAGCTATTTTTATTCGTAATGGGATATCCAATCTTCATAATACACACGTTTGGTCCTTTGAGAATGCTCACGCAGTAGTCCAGACACACATCATTTTTCTTTAAACGTGTGGGCAGGTATTGCCGATGAACATCTAACAGGATCGTTCATATTGCCAGATCATATGGATGGTCACCAGTATTTGGAATTCATTCGGAATGATTTGCCGGTCCTTCTTGAAGATGTGCCATTGTGTTACCACCGAGAGTACAAGGCCTGACAACAGACGCGTGACGTCACCACGAGTAGGCCGGTACATCAGCGCTAGTGAATAATATATTATTGCAGCATATTTAATATACTCTACCTGATGTAAATGGATAATTCAGAAAAGTGATTTTGGTATATGGAGGCAACTCGGTGGAATATATTAAAGTAGTTATTAGCTATTTTCACCCTGATTTTCACTGATATTACGTGCACATTAGATTAATAAGTTCATGTTATAAAAGCTTGCTAAATATGATAAATTCTTCAATGAATAACCCCATCTTAGTCACAACAACAAAATTTCACAGGAATATGTGGACAATTTACTATTATTATAGGCATAATATAATGGTACTTGAAAATTATATAAAAAATGTAGTGCTTGTAGAACAGTTGTGTCCAGCAAGAACCAACGAGGAGGTCTGAGGTAAGCTCTTGCCAGGAAAGGAATAAGGAAGATGAGGAAAAAGTGTATGATAAATGCTAAGATAAAATCAAAGTAAAATAAACAACAGAAAAAACATAACAAAGATTAACGAAAACTTAATAAAAACTTTTAGAACAAACAAATAACAGCACAAAATAATAACAAAAATTAGAAAACAGAAAACAAGTATCAAAAATAACAAAAATTAGAATAACGAAAATTAAAGTGCTAAATTCTGAATATGTACAAATAAACATTTATCTACAGCTATGTAAATGTTGCGGCCTCATATGAATGTAGTCAATTTACATTTCTTTGCTTTATTCGCACTTGCAAAGCTGTCGCTCCTTTTGGCACAATAATTTTTCAAAAATGTATTGACTGTGCAAATAACAATTACTTTTATAACATAATCTGATGAATGGACTGTGCAACGCTAAAATGAAGCGTCGTGATTATTATCACTCAGATTGTTAAGCGCGCCTCTTATCAGTGATTTCCTCGTCACTTTCCAAAACTTTATTGAAAATTATATAACTTAGCATGACAATATTAATAACTGGATCCTTTGGGAATTTTAAGCCACCTCTACTCAAATTCTGTATAATATTGTGTTTGTCTTCTGTATCAATATCATTTCGTGTATGTCAAATTTTCCTTACAATGATCGCAGTTATTTTTCTTTAATAAGGCGTAACAACAGTAAGCAGCTAAGTAGGTGGTGACAGGGATTTCATCCTTTATACTATCAATATCAGACTGTAAAATTTCAATTTCCCGGAAAAAGTGGTAATCATCAAAATTGTGTGGAATTTCATCTATTTCTAAAGCATCATTAATAATAATAATAATAATAATAATATTAATAATAATAATCCGGCTTTATTTATACAAAGTATAAAAAGGCGGAGTCTCGCTAAAAAGCGGTTTTCAACTTAACCCAGAATTTATCTATTGGTATATCACCATAGCGAGACTTCAATGACATCAGGCTCGTAACTTCGTAACTTTTTCTCAGATTCATATAACTGACGAATTGATCTTTTATATTGACCCCCTGTCAGTTGACGATACTTATAAAATCTATTTTCCAATGAGTCAGTTTGAAATTTACCTATCAATATATAATTGAGGAGCAGACTTGCAAATTGCATTTTGTCCATTTTTCACCAATTTTCAGGAGGAGCAAAAAACTAGTAGAGAAAAACTAATAACCATAAGTGAAAAAAGCTTTTGGGATAATATAATGTTATCAGGTGTATGGACTTCCATCACAAGTTTTGATACAAGAATGTCGAAAAACAACTTGAAAAAATTAAAAAAATTGTTGGACAGAATGCAGTTTGATTGTCTCTAGTGGAAAAAATGCAATTTCAATGCCATTGTCAAGTTAAAAAAAAATATGTTTCATATTGAAGCATTATCATGAAACCAAACAAAATTTGTAAGTATTATAATAATATTAGTAGTAAACGATTTTATTTTCAAATAAATTCATTATCATCATTCTTAGCGCGTACACAAGCTTCTTCGTCATTTTCATCATCATCATCATTACAGTTTGCCACAGTTTTCTCAAATATTTCAGATATCCATTTCAACTCCGGGTCTGTTTCTTACCATTCGTCACCAGACAATGTAACAAGTAGGTGTTTTAGACTATCAAGCTTTTTCTGCTTTATTTCATGTCCAAGTCGTACTTCGGGAAGTTCGATTTTGTCCAACCACTTTATAGGTTTCAACACAGTTTGAAATTTGTTTGCTGGATCATCCGTTCGATACTCGATTTCACCACAACGCCTGAGGGCTTTTCACTGATGATTATTCTGTTACTTGAGCTAATTCCCAGGACTTTTTCCAAACAGATTGAAGCTTGTTTTATATTCACCAATGACCAATCAGTTACAAGTTTTCTGATTTCACCAACTTGTTTGTAAAGTTCCCAATATTTTTCAGGTTTTTATGACCGCGTGAAGAGAGTCTATATTCGGGGCAAAATTGATCTTTTTCAAAAAATCAAGCATGGCTGAAGATATTTCTGTCGCTTCCCTGCCAGCTTGATGTTCCATCCAGAAATAAAATAAATATAAAATAAAAAACTGAGTGGATTTAAATCAGTTTGTTTGTCTAGATATTATTTCCCCCCTAATAACACGGAGACTAAATGCATTTCGACTGTTCAAATGTTCATAAAGAGTTAGTATTTTATCATAGGAATGCAGCGCCACCTTTATCTCAAATATGGAAAATTTGGACAAAATGCATTTTGCAAGTCTGCTCCTCAATTACTGTGCAGTTCAGATTTACAGTTACCTTACTAATTCCAATAATCCATATACTGTATGATGTAGTGCAGAAAACTGTGAGAAGTCTGAATAATTTTGAAAACAAGTTGATTTTTGATGGGAGGGATAATCAGCAAAGCTACTTTGCTTTAAGTAGTTGTTCTTGTTCCTTGTCCCTCAATTTCTCATCTCGGCTTCATCTGCTTGATAAGTCCTTTGAAAGGTGTTTTGGACAATTTACAAAGAAACTTGGAATTACATCTGCCTTTAATTTTGGATGCTTAAGGGGTACAGTAATGGTGCTACCTGTCTTTTCGTCATGGAAGGTGGATTCCCAAATGATGCTGTCCTCAGCAAAGTGCAAATTGCATACTCGGGTGTTTTTTGTAACCACTAAATCACTACGAGGGATTGCATTGAGCCATCTTTTACGACAGTTTTCATTCAATGGAAATGAAAATACGTGTACCTTCGGACCCTTACCGTAATTACCGACACAATTAGTAACGCAGCACTTGTAAGGCATTTTTAAAACTTATCTAAACACACAGTGGAGGCGCAAGCAGGCTTTCGAAAAACATATTCCACAGAAACAGCTTTCCAGTTGGTAACTGAGAATTGGAGAAGAGCCATAGACTCAGAAGAAGTTGTCATAGCAGTATTTTTGGATTTGAAGAGGGCATTTGAAACGATTGATAGAGATATTTTGTTAGGTAAATTAAAAGGCATATGGTATAACAGGAAGTGTTTTAGATTGGTTTAGAAATTATTTGTCTAAAAGGATGCAAGTTACAAAAGTTAATGACACTATTTCATCAAAAATTGAAAACACGTTGGGTGTTCCACAGGGCAGTATCCTGGGACCACTTCTTTTTATTTTATACATAAATGATTTACCTGCCATAGTCAAAAAATGCAAAATTCAAATTTTCGCCGATGACACTATGATTTATATAAGTACTAAAAATATTCAGTCTGGCATCTCTTATATAAATGAAGACTTGAAGCTTGTCTCAAAATGGTTAGCATCTAACAGACTAAAATTGAATGCAAGTAAAACGAAAGCCTTGTTAATCGGAAAAAACAATGTACAAATGTTCAACTGAATATTGATGGTGAAGATATTGAATTCGTAGAAAATTTTAAAGACCTGGGAGTTTTTGTTGACTCTCGATTAATTTTTGATATTCATTATGAAAAAGTTATAAATAAGATTAGTAGTAAAGTGGGATATTTATCGAGAGTTTCTGGATGTCCGAGTTCATATAGCAGAAAAATTATCTATAATACCATCATTCTTCCAAATTTCTTGTACTGTTCGATTATTCTATATTTAGCAAATAATTCCATTTTTGAAAGACTGCAAATTTTACAAAATAAGTGCATGATAATAATACTAAATAAAGATAAATATACTCCAATTAGGCAAATGCTTAGCAAATTAAAATGGCTCAATGTAAAAAATTTTATCAAATATCTTGTAATGATATTCATTTATAAAGTAAAAAATAATATATTTCCATCAAGTCTAACTAATTTAACATCATCAAATGTCGCCCATCATTTACATAATACCAGAAATAAAGATGACTTCCATTTAATGACCAAAAAGTATAACATATGCTACAAATCTGTATTCCATCAAGGGTTGATTGAATATAATAAATTATACTCGGAGATAAAAGACCAGAAAACTTTGACAAAATTTAAAGTAAAATTGAGAAATCACTTGTTAAATCTACAATTATAGGTTGCCCAGCATTTACATCATACACCATATGGCTTGAATTTACTAGTTCTAAGTTGTTTACAATTGTTCTGTTTATGTAGCCAAATGTGCTAAATAAATCTTTCTACTACTACTACTACAAATATAAGTTTAAAACATCAATAATTTTCAGTTCACATAGCATAGAAGGATATATAATAGAGGCTCAGAATGTGAGGTTAGTTGGCTGTTGGACAGCTGTTGGATGCTAGCGGTGTTACCAAGAAAGAATAATCACATCATCACTGAAGTTGCGCAGGCCCGGAATACATCTTGCAAATCTGCGCACAGAGAGGTACAACTAATTAGTAGAGATTTCGATACTGCTATATCAAACCTAGATATGACAACATCCCAGAGAAATTGTAGCGCGGTTCTCTTGCCAGCCAGGCATCGCGAAACTCCATAAGAACATGCATAGGCCTAGTGTGCGTGACGTCACAGGCTTTTCAGAGCCCAGTTGTTTGGCCTTGTAATCTCGGTGGTAACGTCCAAGCACGGATGTGGTGTCTGCACGGTGGAGAACCTCCGCATTTTCGTTTAGATGTTCGTGATTTTCTGAATCAGGTATACCAGATAAGCTGGATCTTAAGGGGTGGACCAATTGCATGACCTCCACGGTCTCCCGATCTAAATCCTCTGGACTTCTTTTTACGGAGATACAATTTGAGCCTTCAGGCACAGCAGGAAGGAGGTGTATTTGAATTAGTGCGCCGAAATTGGATTAGACGCGCCCAAGCTTGAAGTGCAGTCAATGCAAACAATTTTGAACAGCTTTTATGAGTAAGTGAACTGTTAAACTGTATTATTTTATTTCTGTAGGACTTTTATTACATTTTCTTTGAAAAATCAACTTCTTTCGTAACAGTGCATATGTGGTTAAAATATGTCGGATAAATTGTGAAACACCCTGTTACGTATCGGCCGATCTACCGTATCGACGAAAATCCTGTGGGACGATCACTATCAAATACACAAATTTCAAGGGGCAGTTGTATTCTCAGGAGGGTCCCTGTGGGCGCTCATGGTAATTATTACCCAACCTGTACACTTCTGTCAGTATAATGTGGGCTGTTACTGTTCATGTGCACTCGTATATTCTATCAATTCTACCTTGTATGCCACACCTGATCGTATCGCTAGACCAAGCTTTGCAAGCATACTGTATTATGTAGTTCTTTCTGCTAGAGTGTTTTAGCCTGCTTTTCTATTTAGTGAGTTCGCCAAAGAGAGAGAAAAAGTTGAAAACCGCCAGGAGTTCCTGAAGCTGAGGAGAGCGGCACAACTGGAAAGAGAGCTGAATGGTTACGTTCAGTGGATATGCAAAGCAGGTAAGAATGAATAAAACACGTCTATGGAGAATATCAGAAACGATATCCTCCTGTTCTTTTCTTTTAGTACATTTATCTCTGGAAGACCAGTTAACGAGTTCCAAATTGCTGGCAACACCCGCTTGTTAATAATTCCCCAGATCTTTTAATATTTTTTATAGTAGCATCTAGTTAGTTAGTACTACTCGTGTCACAAATGAATCTGTCCTTGCAGAGGAAGTAATATTAGCGGAGGAACGAACAACAGAAGAAGAGAAAATGCACATAATGGAAGCTAGAAGAAGAGCCGCGAAAAAGAAGAAACTGAAGAAAATGGGCAAGAGCAAAAGCACGGACACTGAAGAGGAACAGGAAGAGGAAGACGTGGCAGATGATGGTAAGACATAATTTTTTGTCCATTTCCTCATTGCACTCATACGTCAAAAATACATTAGAAATGTGTTATTAAACATTTTCTGAATAAATTGTTAAAAACGATATATTTTATATATTTATTATCCGTTTCTAGAAGAGAGTATTAGATACTTTAAAATATTATAATTCAAGAATTGAGGCAGACCGTTTTGTATTATTGTACAATCGAAAAAAAAAAGAGTTGATGCTGATAACACATTTTTAATACGCTTCCTCCAAGGTATATTCGTAATAAAGCTCTGATTTGACTATGAGTATTTATAGTGATAAAAGATAGGTACAGTTTACTTCACTATTGAAATTAGAATCAGTGCATGGTAATTTTTAAATTACCTACCCAAACCTGTTCACTAAGATCATACTTGCAGAGCATCAGAATGTAAATAGACTTAATTTGATAGAACTTCACTTCATACGTAATTTTAAGGAAGCGTGTTTCCAAAAATGAGAATAAAAACTAGCTTCTAGATATAAGTTATTCACTGGTTTTTCAAAGTGCAGAATCATCACCATTGAAAAATATTTGAATTTTTTAAAACTATCGAATGCCCTGGTTGTCAAGTTAATCTATCTAACGTTTTCGGATAACAAAATATCCTAGCTTCAAGAGCTTTCTGAGAAGCTAGCAACTAAATTTATTGATATTAGCATACTTTAGATTCAGATTTGCACAATATTTTCTGACGATATCGAAACCTATAAGTTTCTTTTACGAAAATGCAGCAGTTGAAAGTATTTTTGTTCCCCAAATATCTTCCTAGGTACATTAATATAATGTTTATTAATAAATGACAATTTTTGTTTGAAGATTCATACCTTCCTAGATAATAGAATCAAAGTTCGAAAAATTACATAGTAACGTTTTCTCATTTTTAGAAGCATTCTGCTAGATTTTACTGCTGATACTGTTTAACCCTACTCAACTGATTTCGTCCTTCTTAATCCACAGTATTTCTTACAGAATCAAAGAAAACGCTAAAAGGTATGCAGCCGTGGGATGGTAGACATCCATCAATGTTAATGTGTAAACAGACGGGAGCCATTTTAGTTTCTTAGATATCATGCGTTTCAACCTCAGTAGAGCCTTTAATTGCCTCAAACAGGGGAAAGTTTCTTTCCATTATTAGAAGAATTTGTGCTGTAAGGTTTCCATGGTAATGCCTTGATTTTTTATTTGCTTGTACTTACAGTTGGCTTGTACTATATAATCATTGTTCAATCGGTGCTGATGCCAGATATGGTAGATTTTGCCGTTTTATGGTCGATTGTTTCTCACCGAATCTTCTTGTTGAGATTGCTCACAAAAATACTTTTTTATTGTTGTCGCTACTATAGCTATTGACGATTTTGACCGTAAAGCGTGGATGCTTATTTTCCGAATTAAATCATGACCATATTGATCTCTCATTAAACATTCTCTATGTATTAAAATTTGAGAGAGATAATTTTCAACCTTGCTTTATTGTAGAGCGCAATGATTGTTTCGATTTTAGCTAGTTTTCCTCAGTATCTTTTTTTCGGATCAGCTACGATCGAATGGTGCCTACTAACTCCAAAATTAATCCCCTGTACTTAATTAAGGATCTGTGAAAGATTTTTTCTCATTGAGAGCTCACAGATTAGCTTTGGCTGCTGATAAATTACTAATAGTAATTCTTATACCCTGTAATATACTGTGTGCTCCATGCGTCATAGTGGTAGAAGTCGATCTCATTCCAATAATTTGATACGGTCTGTCACTATTAAACATGAACAAAAAAGTCATACTTGATATCCTATATTTGATTTAGTTCCCGCGAAATAGCACACACTTTTTTAGGTTACCATTTTGTATCGACTGGCCCTTTGAACTTGAGCAAAATTCTCCGTACTTTATTACAATTCCACAGATTTTTTTAGGTCAGTCGGTCTACCTGTCTACTAAATCTTAGACTCTTTATAACTTTTGAATTACCGCTCGGTTTATATCGAAATTTTATCATAACTTTACAACGATGCCAAATATAAAAACATCGTTCTAGTGGCGGCAGAGCTATGTAAACAAAATGAAGAAAAAAATGGCGTCAACTAGGTTGACTTCCTAAGCAACGCTGTCATCACCTTCATAACGGATTATGTTCGATGAAAGTTGGCCCCTCTAAGAAATAAGTTAGTTACGAACAAGTATAACAAAAAATTGAATGGATCAAGTTAGTCAAACAGGCATTTTTCATATTTAGGATGCTTTTTTGCACAATTTTCGGGCTCATTAGAATTTATGCCTTTGAGAAAGTATGTTACAACTCGCTTTTTAAAAAGTTTTGGAGGTAGGGTACGCTTTCATACCAAGTTACCTCTTGCTAATGTAAAGCTCTCCCCTTCTCACACGGAACGTTCCAACGGGCGCACATGATCGAAACTATGTGTAAATCTGGCGTGGATTTTGATCGACGGTCTACATACAGTCGAGCAGTGGAGGCCGACTGCTAAAAACATCCATCGGTAGGACCACAAAGCCCGTATGATCGACGAGAGGATCGGAAATATTTCTCTTCATACTAAGTTTTAAGGATAAATGTACAGGAAAATCGTAAAGATCATGCGTAGAATTAACGCGGCTGCAGGCGTATAAATATACCAACGTTAAAAATATGGGATATATTCTCCCCCATCTCCCTACAACTCCCAACCTCCCTCTATAACTCTAAAAAAAATGCTCAAGAATGATCAAAATTTTTTGTTGGTGAAAAAAAATAATAGCTCATTTGTGAGATTTCTTGCGCTTACAATACTTCCTCGCCCAGTGGAGTAGGAAGTAAAATCGTTTAAACCTGAAGTTTCAGAGCAACCTTCTCATTTTCACTGTTGAGGGCTTGAACATTGGCGGTTGTAAACGTTGCAATTTTGATATCAAAAAAGACGTTCTAGTACTAAGGAGCTTTTGATCTCGGTAATTCATCGTATCTGTTAGATATGATAGTCATAAAAAAATTATAGTATATAGATCACGCTGCTAAGATCAAGTCATGCCAACTTTTTGAATACTATGTTCACCGCTGCTCAGGCGGGGATCCAGGGGAGAGGACAGTGCCATTGTCCCCTCAAAGCCTCAGACTTGCAGGAAAAAATAAGGAAAGGGGAAAAGAGAGAGGAAGAGGAAAGGAAAAGGGAGATGATAGGATGAAAGAGAGGAGAGAAAATACGTAAAAGGAGGAGGCAGAGGGAAGAGGGAAAATGAGAATGAAGTTGTGTCATCTCATATGAGCGCAAACGTTCTAACCATACCCCTGAAAGTAGGCAACCCACGCTACTTGCCCCCCCGTGGATCCGCGCCTGCCGCTGTTGAATTGAAAGACTCGCTATGCGACCACTCGTTTATGTCTGCCAGTCTGACCGGCCTAGCTCCTGTTCTCAGTCGTAACACACATACATGTTTGTATTATATAGTTCATATTGCGTTAGGTTTGAAAATCAGACAAACATGACCTAATTAATGACAGAACTGCAAGGGAAGAGTCATCCAGCTTGACGGCATTTGCTATGTTCGAGGTTATCTTTAGCTATTGGATCTTCCCATTTTCTCGAATAAGACCTATTTCTATTCAAACCTATGACATTGTTATGGAGCACCTACAGCTTATGTTAACTTGCTAGTTCCTCCTATACCCAGATCAGAAAATAGCAACCTTTTAGAACCGTTTGCTGTAACATAACTAATTCTAGTACACGATAACCTTAGATCTAGACCTTCTTAGCCATACCTACCTTACTTCTATATAGAATGTATGCTTTAGGCCTTAAACTAGTTTCTAGCAAGAGCTTATGGGACCTTTGGAAGATGATATATTTATATATTTATTAATACAGGTGGAATGAGGCTTATCTGGTGTACTATGAAAAAAGAAAAATATACCAGGCAGCTGTAGCATTTACAGTAGGTCCCTCTGGGAGAAGGAGGTTGTTATAAATTATTTTGCATCTTACACAAATAAGCCTCGTTACTTATACCAAAAGCATATTCCATGTTTGTTTACATCAAAATGAAACCATATTTATGCAGCAGATTTCGTTAAATTTTTTAGGTCCTATTCATAAATGATGAAAGTCGAATGATGTAAACAAATATTTCGATTTGCTCCTAATCAATATGCTGTAAATGCAGCTTGAAATCTCTCAAAAATACATCATTTCAGAAGCTGTAGATAGAGTAATACGGTTGAAGGTTTTGTTACTGAAGGATACACGTTACATTTCCTATACACCCCAAGTATCGACTGGGGCATATATAGAGATTAGGACAACGATCAGAGAGACCTGTGATAGAAACTTAAAAAAGTAATTAGTAGGACTGGCCAATCCATACAAGGATAGGTGATCATGGGTGTGAGGTGCTTGGATCTTTCACCTCACTTGCTAAAAAGGCAAAGCAGCTCGGAGTTTGTAATATTATGATCCTTGTCGGAAATTGGAGAAACTCCAATCGACGAAGGCATAGTTGGAGGCGTCTACCAACCTAGAACGAATAGCTTCATCAGTTTGAAAATTCGACCATGTTACTCTATCACTCGCCCTTCCTTGACTTTTTCCAATTTTGAAGTTAAAGTGTTGTTAGCAGGTTTCGGGAAGACGAGCTACCTCAAGTCTCGAGCCAAGGGTCAGGGTGGCTGTGCTAGTTTCTGGAGGGCTGAAAAGAGATTCCGGTTTTGTATTCGACACACCATCAAAACGCAATGGTTCTACTGGTCCGTTATAGTGTTGGTGTTCTTCAATACATTGTGTGTAGCAGTGGAGTTCCATGGACAGCCTCAGTGGCTCAGTGATTTTTTATGTAAGTAAAGGGTTTTCCATTAAGGACTTGACAACTTTCTTTTAAAATAAAACGCAAACCATTCGAGATATCACGAAAATTTTATCATTGGATTGAAGTGTACTCAAAACATTTATGTAAGGAATTCGAACTCATTTATGTGTCCACCACAGGCACGTTCGTAGCGATCGATTCATTGAACCCAATTTTCAATGACTCGGACACATATTTCGATAGAAATGGTCGCTATCTCTCGTTCAGTATTGGCCCTGAGCTCCTCTAACGACGCCGGTTTATTGGCATAGGCCATTGATTTAATGTAGCCCCATAAAAAAAGTCTAGAGGTGTTGAATCACTTGATCTAAGCGGCTATTCGACAGGACCATTTCTCGATATAACACGTTCACGAATTTTGATTTTAATATGTCGGTTGTTTCACTCGCTGTGAGGCTTGTTGCACCGTCTTGTTGAAACCACATATCATTAATGACTAGCCCAACCGATTGACAAAAAAAATAACGTTGCAACATGTCTCTGTAGCGATCTCCGTTGACTGTAACGTGACTGTCATTTTCATCAACGAAAAAAAAGACCCAATGGCACCACTGGCATGAAAACCACATAATAAAGTTATTTTTTGTGGATGAAGTGGTGTTTCTTGGAGCACATGAGGGTTTTCACCTGACCAATAACGCATATTCTGTTTGTTGACGAAGCCACTTAGCCAAAAATGCGCCTCATCACTGAAGATGATTTTGCGATGAAATTGTTTTCTTTTGGGCTGCAACATTTCTACAGCCCAATTCGAGAACGTACGTCGGTTCATATGATAGAAAAGCTTTAGTTCTTGAGTTAACTTGATGTTATGAAGGTGCATGCCAAGATCTCTTCGCAAAATTCGCCATAGTGTGGTCTGAGAAATGCACAATTCTTGAGAACGCCGTGGAACGACGTGTTCTTTTCCTTTGCGACGGAAGCTTGAACGGCAGCAATATTCGCGGCACTTCGACCAACCGGTTGGGGCGGGAATTACGACTAAAAATGGACGTTAACGCTCTTAAAGTTGCAGTCAGCGACTAGAAATTTCGGTAGTAAATTTTAATTATTTATAAGCGTTGTTCGTTTGTGTACCATGATGAAATTGTTTTCTTTATTAAATGTTTTGACATTGACAGGAATTGCTTTAACTGTGCGTTCACAGTGAAAGTTTAAAGTTGTCAAGTCACTATTGGAAAACCCGATATATAATATGTCATACTTGAAGTTCAAAGGAGTTGCCGTGAAGGCCAGTTATTGTCATATACAGGGTGTCCTAAAAGTTGAGACTTGAGGAACCACTGCGCTTGGAATAACAAAGCTAAGATGTGGTGAATCGCTAGAACAATAATAAAAAATAAGTGAATAAGCACTCACCATTTATTTGCAGATAAATATCAAATACGGATCTATTACTAGTAAGTACTGTTCGAAGTTGTCGCCGTTGGTAGTTTCGCAGAAAAACTAGGTATTGACCATACCACGAACTACGTGAAGATTATCCAAAAACCACACACGAATATTTCGGAAGTTATTCACCCCGCTACGCGTGAAGCTTGATTCGTCCGTGACTAATATGGACTTACACTCCAACCAAAGATTATTTTCACTGTGCCTACCTCAATATTCCAGTATTCCTAGCTCTTAGCACAAGGTAAGTATACTTAGGCAGCCATGAATCATAACGTCTGAGAAAGCGATCTGGATACACTCGCGAAGCCTCGGTAGAAATTTGAAGACACTCACCCTACATTAACATAGCTGTACGGGTGTGCCATTTTTGAAATTTTCGGACCGACTGGTAAATAAATGTTTTGTTTACATACGCTGCCGATGCCTCGGTTGAGTACTGACGTGCGACGTGCCTTCTCACTTCTTATCTGATCGAGCCTAATATCTCGGTTATGTTAAGATATTGTCTATATGCTTCTCGGTAAAACCGCTTATTGTTCAAGATGCATATCCTATGTAAAGAAAAGTCCGAACTTTACAGACACCTTGGATAGAGTACGATTGAGCTGGAATGAGAAAAAAGTATAATCTTGCCAACTAAGAGTCTTTATAGACCGAACTTTGCCGTATTTTGTACGAATAACATGAATAAGTGTGACAACATTTAAGACTTTTTGTTTCCAGATTATGCGGAGTTCGTCTTCCTAGGCTTGTTCATGTCAGAGATGTTCATCAAGATCTACGCGTTAGGTCCGCGCATCTACTTTGAATCCGCCTTCAACCGATTTGACTGTGTTGTCATCACAGGATCGATCTTCGAAGTCATCTGGTCATCAGTTAAGGGCGGCTCATTCGGTCTTTCTGTACTCAGGGCATTAAGGTTGCTGAGAATATTTAAGGTGAGCGCTGTATATTGATCAAGATATGCAATAGAACATGGTGAAGTATCACCGTAACATGTAACACCTGTAGGAGAAAGCAAACCAGAAATGTAGTTTCAGCAAAATAATGGAATCACCAATAGAGATTGTATTGCAGGCTGCGCAGTTCCTTTGTAGTGGTAGCAGTCGCGCCAATATCGTACAGTCTGTTAACCTTACAGCCGTTGTAACGTAATGCAACTAACTCATATATTTTTTCTACTTTCAGGTTACTAAATACTGGTCATCACTCCGTAATTTGGTTATTTCGTTACTGAATTCTATGCGTTCAATCATCTCATTATTGTTCCTTCTTTTCCTGTTCATCTTGATATTCGCCCTACTGGGCATGCAGCTGTTTGGAGGTCAATTTAACTTCGATTCAGGAACACCACCAGCAAATTTCAACACGTTTCCAATCGCTTTGTTGACTGTATTTCAGGTAAGCCAATACGAATATTTAAAATGATGGAATACTTACTGTGAAAAGAGGTATGATGGGAATCGAACCTACAACTACTAGAAACAGTGCGCAACTGTTTCCATTTTATTCAAGAACACGTCTTTTTAGATTGATGAGATGGCATTGACCCGTTAGAACGGTCGCCGGATTTTCAATATCAAATAAGCTTTTGCATGAGATCTTCATTCGATAATTTATTTTCCCTCAACTAGTATCGATTTACATATCCGTCATATTGATTGACTGAATCAGGGTTTATTTATTATTTGTGGACACTCGTCAAAAAACACAATTTTCAATAAGTATAGCCCATTTGTAGTCTATTTTCGCTGAGACAAAACACAACATGGCCAAAAGCGAGATTGTACAGGTCCGTATTTTCCTCAATAGTCTTGGAATAATCTAACAAAATGAATGATTATTTTTATAGAAAGAATGAATATTTAAATGTGCACATACTTTTCACAGTTCTTCATTCGCCGGAAGTACTTGAATCAGCGTCCGTTAATCGTAAATATTAATTATTATCGGTTCAGTGTGAATATCGATCAAATGCTCCAGATCCCACATATTTGTTTCGATTGCCTCTTGAACGTGACGGATGCAATTTTTCCAATGGTGTGCCGTTACTCTGTTGACAGCTTCATAAAACAAATTTTTCACGTCAGAAAATTTGAATTTTCTACTTTTTGAAGCCACATACACATTTTTATATTTGCCCAAACCATTTCAATGGGATTTAATTCGCAGTAGATAAGGGGGTAGCCTTAAAACCGTCTTATTTTGGTTTTTAGCCAATTTCTCAATAACATTAACATTATATTTATATTTGTGCTGCCTGACTATACGTAGATGGATAAGTTCTGCTTTTGATAGGAGTCAGTGTTGGATTTCTGCCTTTCTTGTGGACATTGTCCGAATTTTTTCTAGTTTTCTAGTGTGGTATGCAACATTATCAAGTACAATGACGGTATTGTCGTCAAACTTTGGGGGCGTTTTTTCAACTCATCGTTGAAATGAACTCCCGTCCATTTCTCATGGTCGTCGGTCGTTTTCTTTGGCTCAAATGCCCATAGGGCAGTGGGCACAAAGCCGTGTTCACTGCCAATGTAACAGATAACAAATCGTTTTCCTTTTCCTGGAAATAATTGTTTCATATAGTATTCAAGAAAACTAACAATAATACAAGCAGGGTATCTAACAGGTGTTGGTTCAAAATCTACCACAGATAGCTAAGTTTAGCGTAGCTAAGTTTAGTTTAATTAGATACACGTAGCTGACGGATTCTTTAGGCCAGTGGTTAGTCCATCTAAGAAGGCTTGTTGATTTAATTGTAGAGACAGCCCATACTTCAGGTTTTGTATGTCCTGCATATATCCAGGTTTCACCCATCTTCCTGCCCTGGTCGCGGTATTTATTTATTGATTTTAAATAATTCCTTCTTCATAAAATAATCTCTTGACTGTCCATCAAAATACTATTTCTACCCCGTTTTCTATACTCAAAATGAAGTTCTTTGAATAAGCTAGGTGGTCCATTCGAAAGTAGGTAAGTCTTCATGACTATTAAATTCATGTAATACTTTGTCTATGGTGGGAAGTTCCTGCCTTTCAACAAATTGATGGACTTTGCGTCTGATGGCATTCCGATCAAATGTATCCAACAGCTTCGTGTTATGCAGCTTCTTGTTTGGTGGAGACAATTTTTAGTTTTTTTTATATTCTTTAACAATGTTGAAAATTGTTTTAGGACATAAGCGTGTTTTATTCGCCACACATCTTTCAATATCATGAATTTCCATTTTAGGATGCTCTAAATTTTCGCTCTTATATACGTTAAAGACTGTTCCTTTTGCCTGAATATTCAAATGTTCCTTCTTGTCACGTTTTCGGGGAGGATACATCACTGAAGAGGAAGCATGGCTGAAGGAAGCATTGGGAGAAATATTCCCAGTTTCATCTGCTGTATCCGAAGGCGGCATGCTAATGTATAAATACACGCTATGTATGCACCGAATATGAACAGCAACTGCCGACGTCGACGTTCCGGCGATATCCCGAGCCTGAGTTCTATCCTGTGGAATCGTGCACTTGTTCGTAGTTGACCAACGCTTAGGCGGCTGCCGCTTTGCTGCGTTGCATCTTTGTTGTGCCAGAGCGTAAATGGACTACGAATAGGGTATAGCTAATACAAATTCGAAACGACTATTTGACGTCGTCGTAAAGTCAGAAATCTACTATGTGCTTTTACTCGTATTTTGTAGAAAGTGCCCAACAATCTTTAATATCGATATTATATTTCCAGATTCTTACTGGGGAAGATTGGAACGAGGTGATGTACAACGGTATAAACGCATTGGGTGGTCCAAGCACTGCGATGATATACTCGTTATATTTCATTATTTTGATGTTGTTTGGTAACTACACCCTGCTGAACGTATTCTTGGCTATCGCCGTTGACAACTTGGCCAACGCGCAAGAACTGACCGCTGCTGAAGAAGAACAGGTGAGAAGAAATTAGATAAACTTTTTTTAAGCTATTGGGGCCAATCCTTTTGGAAACAAGAACGAGTATTGAGGTCAATTTTTTTTAGACGTCACGTGATAAACTGATATAGTACATACTTATTCAGGGTGTCATAGAACTTATGGATCAAACGAAAGAGAGTGTTAGAGGGAGTCATTTCCAATCAGAAAAACCATAAATATCCTCGTCCGATTGTACACACAGCTTTACAGGATATGTTTCCAAATGATGTACAGTTAAAGAAAAGTCAGTGAGAAATTATTACAGTCAATGTAGGCACATCAGAAGACTAAATCGTTGGTTCGTCTGTTGTCAATAATATTCAATAGTGTCATAGTTATGAAAACTTATATATAATATGGCTTTCCAGATAACTTTCTTGGTGATAAAATATTTAGAATAGTGTCTGTGTAAGATAGATAGAATGCTACCCTATATATCGCACAATCCCGTTTTGTGAACTTCATCCTATAGCTGCTATTGTCAACCTTCTACATTACAAATCGGATGGGGAAACAGTTAAGGGACCATATGTTTCGAAACTTCAATGAATTCTAAGTTTAAGCAATTCAAGAGATGACATAATTTTGGGTGATAAAGTATGTCCTTAAAGTTTTGGCACAAAATTCATTGGCTTTAATTTTAATAAAGACAAAATAATATCAAGTTGCCTTTGGAAACAAAAGTTTGTTTACTTACTGTGACATTTATGTATTTTGAAGTTTTTGCTCTTAGATGTATAAATTATAAAAAAGAAAAAGTATCTACAAGTTAGTTGGACGGGTAACTAAAGCTGAAATCTGTTAAATATTAGAGAATGAGAACTCTTCACGCAGAGCCATTTATCGAACAATAGCGGAGCGCGAGCAGGGAATACCATGTCTGAATCTCTTTAAAAGTGGAAGACCACGTGAATTTACTGAACAGAGGTCAGAGAGCTTGGTGGAGTTGGAATGTCAACAAGGAGACTGGCTCATCAATACAGAAGATCTTCTAGGAGTACGATATCGTTGGAATTGGGGAGGAATCTCTAAACTTGCCGCAGGATAGAGGATTATCGGGCTTTACTGTCTAGAAAGGTTTATTATTAAGGCTGGGAAGCCCAAGATGAAGAACCTTTAATACGGAGAATTTACGAAAAACTGAGAGAAATTGATCTGAATTCCGTCCAGGACCTCATGAATGACATTTGAAGAAAGTTGCGTCTGGTAGAGCAAAATGGGTCACTCCACATAATTCGATAGTATAGTTTAGTTAACTATTGATTTGGTATTTATGATAACTAGTTAGTGTTTAAATAAATTTCTCCATTAATAAATAATCCGATAAATATTTTGTGCACTAACTTTTTGGGCGTACGTTACGAGCATCGCTTAGATAACAATCAGCTATGAAACTCTCTTGTCAGAGTCAAAATAGTTGCCATTTCGGCGGACAAAATTGCATGAAAATTCTCCTGGTGCAACGATAAAAGGGGTTTTAGTGCTCAAAAGCAGCCGGTGTTGCCACGTACCTTGCTTGCATCTGAAGAAATTCTTAGTAATCGTGAAATGACAATATTCCGATAGGATCTAGTGTAGTTTGTGTGAACCAATAATAAAATGTTGTCCATAAAATTGTTGACTTCATTTATGAAAAAGCGTTAAAATAAAGTTGTATCGATGGAAGTATTCAAAATAAAGAGAAATATGTTTACTTATGCCATGCGACAAGTGAGTATGAGATTATTTGTCGATTTTTTAATGTACCAGATACGTCACTCCCGTCCATTGGAGGGCTTTTGCCGTTTTCGGAATGTTGGTCTAGGGTGACGTATCTGGCATATTTAAAAATCGACAAATAACCTCGTACTCGCTTGTCACCATGCGGAGCTAGACGTCCTTTTGGAAGTGGGAATGCCTACCCGAGACGGCCCTGATCTAAGCTGGTTTTGCGTGGTGCCATCTTAGAGTTTGAAGTCACAGTCTCGCGCAGTCTCGGCATGTTATGGACCTTTCAGGCTATTGTAGTAACACTGTATAGGAATCTGAAAATGAAAAGAAGAAATCAACGAAGCGTCATCTGAAAGACAGATATCAACTAGTTGTTAACCAAGTAAAAGAAAGGGTAACTAAATCGTTCAATCTGAGCAGATCCTACAAATCCCTCCGTTCGAGTATGTGTATTTTCAAAAATCTATAACTTGGCATGCATTGTGTAAAAGTGAACGATCATACTGGAACCAAATTGTTTTTCCGCTAGCGTGCTGTCTAATTTCTGATCTTCATAGTTCTGGAGAAGATTTAAATAAGTTTCTCCACACAATCTTGCCTATAACTGAAAAGGGCCAATAAATTTGTTATTCATCAGTCTAGCCCATAAGCTGTCTCCAAATCAGTGTAGAACTGTAGAAGGCGATCCTACCTCATGAACTGTAGATTCGCTGGATTCTGTAGGTTGTGTAAGCTATGAATGTTGCAAATACATGTTCTTTGGAAACTGTCGCCTTCTACCCATAATATTTTTAGTTTGGAAACTTCTTAATTGTTGGAGCATCCTTCTATAAAGTTGGACTCTCTTTGCGCACGTTGAATATGAAGCGGGTGCAGCAGCTGTCTATACAAAATATGATGTAATATCGACCTAGCTACACCAGCATTCAGTGGAATACGGCGTACACTATTAGAAGGCTCATCTTTATCTTCAATTAACCGTAGTACTCCGTCTTCTGCATCTACGTTGATTCTCGGCATTATTATCCTTTCGTATCCCCCAGGCATTTCTCTGTACCATACTTTAAAATAGAGAAAATAGAGTATTTCCGTTGCATAGTTCACAAACAAAAATTATTTTTGCATATTACTATCACCCCCCTCTTTGATCCATGACTTTTGGGAGACCATGTACAGTTCTGCTTACTTTAGATATACCAAATTGTATTATGAATTTAAAATACTCATTTTTTATTGCCCACAAGTTACAGAAGTGAATCCTAGAAAAATAGTGTAGTATTTATTGAGTGTTTCGTATCCTCGCTAGACGATGGAACACCAACGTTATAACTGATTATAGGCTGAAGAAAATAAAGAGAAACAAGCTTTAGAACTAGAAAAGGAGATGGAAGCACTGCAAATGGAGGGATCCAATCCCAGGGTGGAAGTATGTCCGCCAAGTCCACCCAGGGGTCGGAAAAAGAAAGACGAGAAACCTGAAGAAGAGGAAGAAATAGTGGGACCCAAGCCTATGCTGCCGTATTCCAGCATGTTCGTACTGTCCTCCACAAATCCGTAAGTAAAAATGTTCTACAGAAATAACCTTTTTATTGGCTGAATGACAACAAACGTATTTATTTCGTAAATTATTCTAACTTGATCATCTTTAAAATATAAGCTCAGTCATTGATTCGCATTTTTTTAAGATCTGAGTAATCAGGTTGGTGGACATTGTGTTGAATAACTAAAAAGATGGCCACGCTGGGTTCACTATACACTGATTTAGCATATGGATCTTTGTGTATCAACGATGACCCCACGATAGTGGCTTAGATTCGACGGGAAGATGGTTATTATTACTTTTTTACTTCACACGACAAATGGAGAGAAGGAATTGTAATCGCAAAAAGTTCGGAAAATTGTGTTTTGTGGATATTAGATTTCAGACACGTACGTCACTAAAAACCATGTTACTTTTCTTCTGTCCATCTGTCTGTCTGAAGGTCTGCTCGTTCATTCTTGGATCTTCTATAATTTAGAAAGTACCCTTCAAATTGATGATATTTTGATACAAGGTTACCCAGCTGCCTTTTACAAAGCAATGAAATCAATGCCATTGCAAAGTTCGAAAAATAATGGAATGCCTCTGCGCTTAAAACATCCAACAGAAATAAATGACTACTTTAGTTCAGTTTTTGATGAAACTTCTGTTTAATTTGTATATAGCAGATATAAACAGGGTTGTGAAATTTTGTAGTATTAAGTGTTTTGCTGACGATTCACAATTATATCATAGCTTCAATCATGAAAACTTAGAAATTTCGGAAGCGCAAATAATAGAGAACCTAAATTCTATTGAAAATTATGCAACAGAACATAGTCTCCGGTTGAATCCTTCTAAATCCAAAGTTATTATTTTTTCTCCTAAAAATACCTAATTTGAACATCACTCTAAACAGCCATGCTATTCAGATAGAAGAATCAGTTAAAAACATAGGTTTGTTTATAGATGATAATCTCAAATTTATTTCTCATGTAAATCATGTAACTAAAAATTGTTTTACTGTTTTACGGCATCTGTACTTAAATAAAGATATACTTCATTTTAGATCTCAAAAATGTTTATGCGAATCTTTAATAATATCAAAAATCGTATATTGTGATTTAGTATACTATCCATTTCTAGATTCAGTTTCAGCTAAACGCTTACAAAAAATTCAAAATTCATGTTGTAGATTGATTCTTAATTTAAGAAAATATGATCATATTAGTTCATGTTTCGAACAACAGAACTGGTTGCAAAATTGTATAAGCTTCATTTATTATGCTATGTTCACAAACTCCTACATACTTCGATTCTTTCATTTTTGAAAAATAAATTAACATCTCCATTATCCATATCTCCATTCAAGAAACATTCGATTCACTGAAACTTTAACTATGCCTCCTCACAAAACTTTATTTCGTAAATGCTTTACCTATAATGCCATCAATCTATATAATGCATTACTATCGACTGCTAAACATCATGATGTCAATAATTTCAAAAAGCAAATTAAACAAATTAACTTTGATGCTCAAATCTGAAACCCCCAGTATATAGTTCAGCCATATTTCTGCATATTATATAAATCGTTTATAGTTTTTTCTTTCTATCTGAATACTCATGTATACGTTGTATTCAATATGTAATTTTTGTTTAAATTTTGGTACAATGTTGTGTTAAAATTGTTTTCAATATTCTAGTTATTTTCAAGGTCTATGTGGTAGAATTGTGGCTTGTAGCTAAACTTCGCCTGAGTAAAAGTCGTTTATTATTATTATTATTATTACAATGACAAGGAAAATAATGCCTTGTAAGCTCTGAAAATCGATGCAGTGGCGGCGGATCTATGACCAAAAACTGAAAGAATAGAAATTGCTCAAGCTTCATTGTTGACTTATCCAAATAGATTTCCACGTACCTTTGCTCTCAAAACTTGTGAACACCCTCGTCGAACGCAATGAAGATAGATTGTGAACCTGTCGCGAACTGGCTGCTCATGCTGTGGGCTTTGAATTCTAAAGCTGTAATCCTGGATGCTTAACACCGCAGACGTTGCTAGCCAACGGTGTAACTAGCATAATTCGCTTTTAAATGATAAAGATGAATAGTTGTCGACACTGGTTCGCTAACAATGCTTCGCGGCGGTGTAAGATGTAACGTTATTATAAAATCGCAGCTTATGTGTTTCTAACTTTTGCTGGACGTAATTTTTCATGACTTGTTGACAGCGTTGCGAGTCACGTGCAGAGTCAGCATCCTCGACGCCATTTTTATTGTTCCAGGGTACGTCGTGGCGCGCATTGGGTGGTGAACCTACGTTACTTCGACTTCTTCATCATGGTGGTGATCTGTTTGTCTTCAATGGCGCTGGCCGCCGAAGACCCGGTGGACGAGCACTCCTTTCGCAACTTCATCCTGGACAAGTTCGATTACGCCTTCACTAGCGTTTTCGCCGTTGAGATGTTGCTGAAGGTCGTCGATCTGGGGATCATCCTGCATCCGGGCTCCTATTTGAGGGAAGTTTGGAATATCATGGACGCCGTTGTAGTCATTTGCGCATTGGTGTCGATGGGTTTTGACTTCGCGTAAGTATACTAGATAGCCAATCAAAAACAAAATATATTTGGGGTTGATTAACTTTGATAAGTTCAACTCAATCTACGACGGTACTTATTTTGTGACATCGTGACTACCAATGTGAAGAGGTCCCATATATCCTTACCATATTGTCTTGCAACATGTTTTACTTCCTACGCCAAATGGTGAGGAAGTATTGTAATGGCGAAAAAATTCGAAATTGAAATAATGTTTTTTGTGTTATATGATATGTACATCACGAAAAACCAATGTGTCATTTCAGTCGGCCTCTTACCTCGTTTCAGAGATTCCTGCTCATTTTCAAATGTTGTTTGTAAGATATGATCATTGTTGTATGGAAGCTCCTCGACAGCATTAAATATTTATTAAATATTAATTTATTTATTAAATATCTCAATGAATACCCAAAAAACATAAATATTTGTAGCGACAGATTTTTTAATATTGAATAAATATATTTCTTATATATTTATAAAATATTCATTACAGTTATTTGTGATATATATAGGTGAAAAATTAAAGCTTCCGCCTTTTGTTGGGTACTTCGACAAAATTTAAGCAAAGAGGACTCTTTATACTTTTTTTAATTCTCTCTAGCTTTCAATGGACTTTGCCATCATCATCAGGAGCTAGGATTACAATGATAACAGTAGCAACAAAAGTATAAAATGAATTTAAATTGAATCAACTTACAGTAGTATGTGAGGATGTTGCTAATTGTTGTTTTCGTATAGTATGAGGGAAAAGTCCAGTAACATGGTGAGAGTTGGATACATGGTACAATGGTTAAAATTATATAAAATATGACAAGACAAGTTAAAGACAGATTAAAAATTATTTAGAAAACATTATAGCATTACGTCGTGAATCCACTTGATGATTGCACAAAATGGTGGTCATGGAATAATGAGTGAGATGAATGAACCTTTGACAGAAGGCCGAAGGTTGTCAATGTCTGTGTTGAAAGATGGAACGAATTGTGGGCGTGTGCCAAAACGTTGCCAAATTACTTCAGATGATGTGATTTTCAGAATGTTATGTAAGAAATTTTTAAACCGACCAGAGGCAGTTGAATAAACTATATTTTAATTGATGGGAATTTTAAATTAGTAATTATTAATAAATCGTGAGAAGAGAATTATTAGATTTTGAGTGGAATGAAATTTGTTGGTGGAATCGGCCAAAACACAGATTATATTTATGGTTGTGAAAAGTTGAAATTTGGGGAGATATGTAACTTCTCCAATTTTTCGCAGTTTAGCAAATATGAGTAAATGACACTCAGTTGTGTAATATCTGTCTTTTTGTTGATACAGTTGTTATTCATGAAAATGTGGGACATTTCCAGGAATAAACGTTTGGAAAGGTGTTTTTCTTTATCAAGAACTTTGATACTTGTGTAATTCATAGAACGCCCTGTTGTGTTAACATGAGATGCTAGAGCGCATCTTTCAGGATGAAGCCTAGCATCACTTTTGTGTGATGTAATCCTTCCTTTAAGAGATCTGGAGGTCTGACCTATGTATATTTGGTTGCAGTTGTTGCAATTGATGGAGTAGACTGTGTTAGTTAAGCCAAGCAGCGGGACTTTGTCTTTCATTTTTGAAAAAATGCGGTTTATAGTGAGGACGGATTTGCAAGCAATTCGAAAGTTCAAAGGACTGCACAATCTGATCAGCTTAGGGGTCAGTTCCTTGATATAGGGCAAGGCAGCAAAACCAGGTCTGGAGTCTGGGTTGGTGCTTGTACTGTTTGGATTGATGCTATTATTGGGAATTACATCAGTTCCGTTATTATTAGGGGTTGTGTGACTATTACCTGCATCACCAGAGTTCGGCAAAATATTGGAAGGTGAACTAAATAAGATCTTGTTAATCAGACACTTCGGATAACCATTATTGATGAACAGTTTTGATAGTTTATGTAAATTTGAGGTGTGGAAAGTATTATCTGAGATGCTGATTACCCTTGTTTTCATCTGTTTTACCAAATTGATTTTAATCCCTAGCTTATGGTATGACCTAAAATTGAGAAACCGACCTGAGGCCATAGGTTTCTGGTACCAGTCTACCAATAAATTGTTGTTGTTGGTGCGGATGAGTCTTGTGTCTAGAAAGGGGACAGACAGGTTCTCATCTTCTTTTTCAATGGTAAATTGGATGTAGGGGTCATAGCTGTTGAATTCTCTGACAATACATATCCTCACATACTACTGTAAGTTGATTCAATTTAAATTCATTTTACACTTTTGTTGCTACTGTTATCATTGTAATTGCAGCTCCTGATGATGATGGCAAAGTCCATTGAAAGCTAGAGAGAATTAAAAAAAGTATAAAGAGTCCTCTTTGCTTAAATTTTGTCGAAGTACCCAACAAAAGGCGGAAGCTTTAATTTTTCACCTAACTGGTCTAGACGACAATGACCACATCTCAAGTTATATATATATAATTCATATATTTTTGCTATATTTTTTCCAAATATCCAGAAAATATATGAGGAAAGATTTTTAAATATCAATTTTATATTTTGATGAAATATCTAATATTTTTCGTAGATATGTATTTATTAACTATACAAAGCAACATATTTTCAAGCATTAATCTGAAACATACTTTCAGTGTATATAAAAAATTCTTCATCGGTTATTTTAGCTAAATCTGTATGAATGCTTTTAGAAAATTGGGTTTATAAAAAAAGTCATTCTAGATATAATGCTTTAATTTGCTGGAAAAATATCATCAAAAGACATTCTAAGCCTCATCTTCATCTTGCCAAATCACTCACCCGGAAAAAATTGCTAATAATGAAGTATTATTGATTACATAAGCTGCTTTTCAGTGGGCTTTTGTTTGAGAGAATATTCTCCCGAACTACTCAACTGGGTCACTGAAAAGCACGGACCCCACATTTTCTTCCTGTGAGTTCGAGATTTGGTTAATTTTTAGGAAAATCTGGTATGTTACTTTAGATATCTTGATGGAAAATGTCCATGGGCACAACTTGATCCTTAGTGAGGTAGCTAATTTAGCCATAACTATTTTGTGACTTTAAATTATAACTCAAGGGACAAAAATATAGTATTTTTGACTGTTAAAATTTTGGAACGTCGGTGTTGAGCTTAAAAATTTTGAACATAGTTATAGCTGATTTGGTCCCTACTACGACAATAATAATAATAATAATAACAATAATAATAATAATAATAACAATAATAATAATAATAATAATAATAATAATAATTGAGATATTCAAAAAAAGCATTTTCGATATATCTCGATCAAGTTGTGATTATATGATTTTTCTTTGAGATGTTATAAATATAATTTTCTTATCCATTTTCAGATAAATCCACCAATCCCAAATTGCGAATAACTGTTACACTTCAAAGCTAATTATTTATGGTCTTGTAAATACCTTTATACTCAACCGGCACAATATTGTTCACTAGTCAGATGCATTAAGCTAAGTAATTATTGCAAAACTTTTCCACAAAAACACTCAAATAATGTAGCACTTGGAGACACAAGCAGCACGCTACCATGGTGAAACTCACAGGCAAAATGGATGCCGGCAAACGGGTTGGCTCAGGTCGGCTTGCTATTATGCCATTGGTCGCTCGGGGTCACACGCACATGCGCCGTATCTAAAAATATTTAATGAATATTTCTTAAATAATGGAGCTTTAATAATTTCCATTGATTGAAAAGTAAATATTTGATGAATAATATAAAAGAAATATTTTATTTAAAATATTTAAATGATATAAAATAAATATTTAATAAAGAATTATATTCCAAATATTTGTCAAATATATGTTTAAGATAACAAATATTTAAGTGAGATAACAATATTATTAAATCTTGAATGAATATTTAATGAATATTTCATGCTATCGGAGCTGTATGGGGTGCATGGTTGTAAATTGTTGCATATTTGATGTCAGTGAAAGGCGTTTTATCATTAAGAAGCAACTGATCTCAGTGATACTGACATAATAAGTCACATATACCATGTTCTCTACATCTGCCATGGAAACAGAAATGTAATAGATTTACTTTATATAGTTTGATATCTAATGGTCAAAGATCCATCGTACCCATGTGTACCTACCGAATCACGATTCGATCACTCTTTTTGAGATGACTTGACTCGTATCTTTTCTTTTACCTCTCCAACGAAAGCGTAGGAAGTACAGAGTCAAGTTTATGGCTTTCGGCAAAATATATTATTTATTTAAGAAGAAAAGAAACTCAATATTTTCATTAAACTAGATTCAAAATCTACTACTCTTGATACCTATTTAATTGCTGTATTCTTATTTCAGGAAACGTCCAGAGGCGGCGAACTTGTCGACGATAAAATCGCTGCGAGTGCTTCGCGTATTGCGACCGTTAAAAACGATCAAACGAGTGCCGAAGCTCAAAGCAGTGTTTGACTGTCTAGTGAACTCTTTAAAAAATGTGATAAACATTCTGATAGTGTACATATTGTTCCAATTTATATTTGCTGTGATCGCCGTACAACTGTTTAACGGAAAATTTTTCTACTGTACTGATGCTAGTAAATTTACCGAACCTACGTGCCAGTAAGTACTCACCTGTAGTAGTACGTTGTTCAGTCACATCCAGTCTTAATTTATGGATAGATGATGTACATAGATAGAACTGGAAGAGGCTCATTAAGACATCAACAATCTTAAGAATTATCATCAATACATGACCGTTTGGGCCCGATTTTACGAGGCCGGGACGCAAAAAAGCGCATGGGTCACAAATTCAACCAATGAGAATGCGTCATTGAAGTAATGGATCTAATGAATATGGTCCATTTTTAATAAACTATATCTCAAACTAGATAATAATTATACGGTTGTGTAAGGCAAGCCCTAATTTCTATATAAATTTAAGAAATATCTCATAAAGCACTTGGTTTAGTTACAAAAGCCGATTTTTTCATTTACGTCCGGAAACTACATTAGCGGCCCTGGTCATAAAATGCACAAATCAAAAATAAGCATTTGCGCCGTATGACAACAATTAAATGAACAACGATAGGACATACATAAAATTACAGAATATATTTGAATTAATAAGCATTCAGTAAATATTCAATTTACTTGACTACAGTGCAAACAACTATGTTCCATGAGCATTCCCTGTTAACAGGGATCTCTCGCGCCTCTACTAGGCAGTAGGATGGCTACTTCTAACCTTATCACCGTCAGCGAAGCGTGGCGTGGTTGCGTGGCCCTCCTACCGCCCGGTAGAGTGCGCGACATCTTAGTGTTAAATTGTAACAGGGCTGACTAGAGGAGCAGTTTTTTCGCACAGTATTCCAATAAATTGATTATTTACTCGATGTTTGTTAAAAGATGAACATTTTGTGATTTTAATTATGTCTCCTAAGAATTTATTAATAGTTTTTTGTACAGCAATAGTTAAAAAATGTTATTTTGAATAAAATGCACACAAATGGCGTCAGCGGTGACCGCAGTGGTAGACGCTTCGTCTCCTGATCAGTCGCCGTGCGCTACGAGGGTTCGAATCCCGTCCCAAGAGAAATTTTTCTCTTGGCTATGGATGTTGTGATTGTCTGTAGGCGGTAGATGGTCTCTGACTGTCGTACGCGGAGGTACCACCTGGCGGATCTCGTAGGCGGGGCCAGAATATGTGCATGTTGCATGCTCACGTGTTCCTTCACTAGAGTCCGTGTGGCGTCCCCTTCGTTTCCCCTATAACCCCCCGGTACCATGGGTGTTTAGGTCTTATGCCTTCGTGGTAGGTTTAGTACAAAAAATGTCAATCTATTGTATCATCTTTGATCCATATTTCGAGTAAGCTACAAATCGTTATTTCCAATTGGTGGAATTTTTGTAAACTTCTGTGTCCGGACACAAACGAAAAATAGGTTTTTATTGTTGAATCATGTCATATATGCATATAGAGGGTGGTAAAATGAGAAGGTCGCATCCTCATTTGTGACTCTCCTGGTATATTTTTGGAAAAACGCTCGGTTACGTCAATTTTGATTTCTAGGGGGACGTCTTGTCATCTATAGGCGTACAATTCAAAAATATTGTGTTACACTATAGATTTTTAAATGGAAACCCCCATTTTTTTATATTCAGATTTTCCATGGAGTTTTTAATAACTTATATATAATAAAGTTTATACTTATCCGCAATCGTTGTGAAGCTATTTGAGTTTATAATAAAATTCGACTATCTTAATACTGATAATAATGGCATGGACGGCAAAAAATAATAATTAGGGATACCAGCAAGAACATTTAGCATCAGTCAGTGTCATCGTATGTCATAGAAAAACTATGTCTTTCATTTCTGTTAAGTTACCTCTCTAGTTGTGATAAATTTTGAACAATACTAAGTTGATAAGAAAATTTGAAGAAACTGGATCTGTGTCCAATATTCGCCGTAACCGCTAGCGAGAAAATCGAAAATCGAGCCGCAGAAATAACAGTTTTGGAACACGAGCACTTGACACCCAAAACACTCATCGACTGGCTACGTCTTCAGGATTTACACGCTCAACAGTACAAAGAATTTTGAAAGACAATAAATTCCTCCCGTTCCATGAGCTCAATGAAGACGATTTTAATGGAAGGTTGAAGTTTTGCGAATTAATATCCCAATGTTTAATCAACAACGCAAACCTGTTGTTTAATATTTGTTTCTCGGATGAGTGTGCATTCTATTTATATGTTGCTGTAAATAGACATAATTATCGATATTGGAGTGACTAGAATCCACATTTGTTTTGGAAGGTAAACTCGCAATATCCCGAAAAAATGAATAAGTGGACCGGCATTTTCGGAAATCATATTGTAGGACCTTTCTTTATTCGTGGAAAGTAGCCGACCTCCAGTACGACAGTTTTTGGACACCCATTTCCCGAATCAGTGGCTCGGCAGACGACGCACTATCGAAGAGCCGGACCCAAGTCCTTTAGATTACTTTCTTTGGGGGCATTTGAAAAGTAAAGTTTTTAGTACGAATCCAGATTCCATTCAAAATCTTCGTCAGCGAATCACGGCTGAATGTGGAGAAATAACTCAAGACATGCTTGAAAATGTGAGGAATAGATTTGGACAAAATCTTTATATTGCATGGAGGTTAATGAACACCACTTTTAGCATTTATTACCACATTGACTTTTCTCTTTATAGCAAATTGATTTTCACATTAACTTTAATGTGCATATAAACTGTAAGTTGCTTTTTGTTTTTTTAATAGTTAAGTATAAATTTCATTATATAAACATTATTAAAAACTTAATGGAGAATATAAATAATTAAAAAAGAGAGTTTCCTTTTAATAATTGAAGGTGTAATGCAATATCTTATTTTTGGGTCACCCTGTGTTGTACTGATATAGATGAAAAGACGTCCCTCTAGAAATCAAAATTGACTTGTCTGGGGATTCTTCCCAAAATGTACTAGGAGAACACACATCGGGGTGCGACCTCTTCATTGTTCCACCCTGTATATAAATATTTGATTTAATATGAGAAATAGGAGCCCATCTTACAAATATATTATAATTGTTTTCTAGTTTGACAGTCATTTTACAAGTTGACCAAATTCATTAGATCCATTACTTCAAAGACGCCTTCTCAATGGCCCAATTTGTGCCAAAGCGGCAAATTTTGATTCCCGCCTGTCAATAGTAAAATCGGACTTTAGAGACTAGAATACACAATTTAGCAAATTTGCTTTAACGAGACAATTTCTATCGAGTGAACTTTAAAACAATCCATGGGAACTGAACGTTATATTCTGAAAATAGTAATGTTTCCCTCATACCAACTATTGATTCGTATGTATTGAACTTTTAGGGGGCAGTATTTTGTATATGAGGAAGACAGTGATGTACCTCAGGTAGAAAATCGGGAATGGCTGCCTCAAAAATTTCATTACGATAATGTTCCGATGGCTATGCTGACATTATTCGCCGTGCAAACTGGAGAAGGCTGGCCTCAGTAAGTACAAGTTTTAGCTGACGTTCGATATCTTTGAAATACTTTATAACGTTTGCTTTATCCGGGTATTGAATATGTCCCTCTAAGTCATAGAATTGTCACTAAATTAGTTTTTTCCTTTTTCAGGGTTCTCCAGAATTCGATGGCGGCCACGTATGAAGATCAAGGCCCGATTCAGAATTTTCGAATCGAAATGTCCATTTTCTACATTGTATATTTCGTAGTGTTCCCGTTCTTCTTTGTAAATATATTCGTTGCCTTGATCATCATAACATTCCAGGAGCAGGGCGAGGCAGAACTGCAGAGTGGAGAAATAGATAAGAATCAAGTAAGTAGAATCAACTATATATTCAGATATTATCTTAATACTCCAACATGAAGGTTCGATATTTTTCGTATTTCTCTTATTTTAATTAAAATCGAGGGATTTTGTTATTAAAAAACGGTCAAAGGAATTTGAGTGCAAAATATTAATATTTACGTCGACGAAAAGCATTTTAAAATCAAGGATCCACGCGAGGCTAGAAAACGTACCTGTACGCGAGACTAGACCGCGTGACGTCAGTAGCCAGACACGTGCTGGCCCCCTCGTAGAGTACTTGTATCTTGTGTCTTGTATACGGAGTGAAGAGTATACGAATACGAATTTATATAAATTGGGACCGACGTTTGTGTAATTTACTTATTTGTGCTAGCACAATGCTCCAAGGTTATCAGAAAGCTGATTCGCGAAATTTACCTCATGTGAATGTGGAAATGGTGTACGAGTTTTTGGCAAATAATGAAAATGTAAATGAACCTCAGAGCAGCGGTGTTAAAGTAGTTCGGTAAGTACCTATATGAAGCTATTTTTTTGTTTAGTTCCAATGAGTAGTATTTTTTTGTATTCCTTCGCACAAATTAATCCTGTTTTGCTTTAGTCTTATGAAAGCCAATAATATTAAGGCAATAATGCCTGCTCGTGACAATAATTTTTAAGGCTATTTATGTCTGCTTTTTTCTTCCTGGGTAAGAGATTATGGAATTTAAATTATCATACATACCTTTTTACCTTGTTACGCCTATTAAGAGCCCCGAAATTGGTTCTTTTTGCATGCACAATGAGGTTTTATTACACTATTCTTCAGTAAAGTATGGTATCTAATACGCTTTCAATGAGAGAAATTCCAGGGATGTAGAGAGAATCTTATTTTTTTAGGCTCTATTGGGGAACAGTTAAATTAGGGGTGGGGCAGTCACATTATAGAATTTTATAGCTACTAAAATAAAGCTTAGGGCTGCATTCGGGGGATGGGCAATGAAGCCAAGTTCTAAACGTTGACTAATATTGCGCTTAGAATGACTACGATCTCGGCAGTAAGCTGGTCAGCTTCGCTGTCACTACTTTCAGTACTGCTTCCACTGGCTTCATACGAATGAGATTCGGATGTTTCTGTTATTGCGGGACTTTCAAGATTTGCCCGTTCACTTTCCACTGCAAATGTTTTTTTGGCCGCTCTGAAATGTGTTTAGCAAGCGCAGGAATTCTTATTGGCGATACAGCAACATCCATTACTTTCCGTTTTTGCGAGGTTTGAACTGACTTGCTTCTAAAATGTACCTGTTTGGTTTGACATGCCTTTTCACATACCTGTGACTGAACTTGTACTGTTAAAGGTTCAGGCAGTTCATCATGCTCCTTTTCAATAACTTCTACGCCTTCAGGCTCGGACTTTTCGGTTGAGGGTCCCGCCCGGCGTGCCGCCACTGGCTGCAAATATTTGGCCTTGCCCTTTTTTCGCTGAACACTCGCTTCGTAGAGCTTAATTGTCTACCCAGTTGACGTGCAAATTTATGAGGTGCAATATAAGGATTCATCCGGGCTCGAACGGTACTCATCTTGTATTGTAGATAGTTTTCCATATATTTTTCCAGGTCAAAATGATCTTCGCAGCAGTACATGGTCGACGTAGAAGAAACTGATCTCACATCCCGTCGAGCTGCGTCAAACCACTTTTTACGTTGTGCGGCAGCTTTTGCAACACTCACAAAAATTTGTTGTGGTGTTGCACTTGACGTACTTGTACATTTTGGCACAAAACACCACTTTCTGTTCGACATTTAACACTGTCAAAGTTCACAGAATTTAACAATAATCTATCGTACCAGCTCTAACTACTCCAAACTGATTACTGGGACGTTGTTGTGAGAATGGTAAATGCAGCGGGTGAGGTAGCGAGGTGTGTCTGGCTACTGACGTCATAATAATAATAATAATAATAATAATAATAATAATAATAATAATAATAATATATTCATTTATTTCCCACAGGTATACACCCAGTCACAGGAAATTAGTGAAATCAAAACAAAATGGTACCATATATACACATGCATACACACACATATATACACATATATACATATACACATACATATATACAAATACATATATACACATATATATAGACAATGAATCAGAAAATAATAACAAAAAAAAGAAAATAGAAAAACATCAGTGATCTGAATAAACACAGAATACATAGGTGTTTGAACAATTAAACACTTCTACAAAAAAATAGAAAAAAAAACATAAAAGTGCTCCAATTGAAGAATAACAATAACTAACACCATCAGCAAAATGATTTTATCTCAATTGCTCCCTGTAAATGTTTAATATTTTATTAAGACTGTCATGACATACATCAGCACTGTTACAGATTGAATTGAATAAGCTACACATTACCATTACTGGGGATCTGCATAAAATATTCGTCCGTGGTGTATCACAGTAAAATATGTGATTATGCCGACCAACTAATCTGGGAGCATGAAAATTAATCTTACTCAGTAGGAACCCACAATCAATATGATTATTCATTAACTTATAAAGGAAAGTGAGAGCTTGAGCGTCACGACGATTCCTTAGTGATTCAATGCCAAAAAACTCCAATAAAACGTCATGATCAAATCCTCTCTCTGGGTATCTACCACTGCACTTAAAATACCAATACTTTGGAGCTTTACGTTGTACAGCCTCCAGTTTACCGATTGCATTCTGATATAGGGGGGACCATACTAAGGACGCATACTCTAACTTAGTCCTGATAAATGAAAAATACAATATTCTTAAACAGTCCACATTAGAGAAACCGAACCAGTTACGTACACAATAACCCATCAACCGTGATGCAGATGATACAATATCTGATATGTGATCGTTAAAAGTGAGTTTGTTATCGAATACAGTAGTATGTGAGTACCCAAGTCTTTAAAACTTGAATCTTTTCCTAAAATGCTTTCATTAAGGTTATGATTGTATATGATGGGGTCCTGCTTCCGACTACACGACACCACTTTGCATTTTTTGACATTTACCGTTAGCAGATTTCTGTTGCACCATTCATATGTGAAGTCAAGCTTGCTTTGCATCTCCACATCGTTACTCGAAGAGTGAATTGGCGAAAATATCTTCAAGTCGTCAGCAAATAGCAAGTGCATACAGGTTAGCTTCAAAGACAGATCGTTAATGAAAATAAGAAATAACAAGGGTCCTAAGTTCGAACCTGGTGGAACTCCAGATGTTGCTGTATAAATTTTGGACTTACTTCCACCAAATTCAACATTTAGTGACCTATCAGCAAGGTATGACCGTAAGAGGGTCAACATAGAGGCTGATAACCCTAACGCTTCAAGCTTTGCCAACAATATATAATGATCAACCCGATCAAAGGCCTTCGCAATATCTGTGTATATCACATCTACTTGACCTTGACAATCAAGTGCACTAGCGGCAAACTGAGTGAAACAAGCTAAATTTGTGACCGTAGATTTGCCAACCATAAAACCATGTTGATTTTCAGAGTGAGAGATCTTACGGAGCTGAATATTGTGTTATAAATTATTATCTCAAACAATTTACTAAAATTACATAAAATAGCTATTTGACGATAATTACTTACATCTGAGTTGACACCACTCTTAAATATAGGACATATTTTCGTCATCTTCCAAATTTTAGGATAACAACGAGATTTTAATAAATTGAATATATAGCAGAGGCTTAGCTAGGATATGAATACAATCCTTAACTATGAAGCTAGGTACACCATCAAAACCAGACATCACTTTATTCTTCAATTTTTTTGATGCCTATATGATATCATGTTCACTGATATGATTTAATGATATGTGACAATTTTCTGAAGTGATATTTCTAAAAGTCGACGGATCTGAGGTAGTGAACGCACTCGAAAAATATTGTGCAAATCCATCAACAATAGCTTGAGGGGTATCAAAAACGTTGCCTTCAAAAGACATAGTGCCTGGTATTCTAGACTGATTATTCTTTGAATTTAAAAATGACCAAAACTTACCAGGATCATGACGAATCGAATCTTCAACCTTATTGGTGTAAGCAGCATAAGCAATTTCTATTTGAGCCTTGATGTTACTACGTAGCTGCTTGAATTTATTTTCGAAATGAAGGAGTCCTGTTTGCTTAAAGGGTAACGACGCTGTGCTTGCTTAAACCTTGGAATATACAAATCAAAGTTCATTCAATATTGAATATAAGTATGAGCAAGCATTCTCTACAACATTCATTTCTTTGAGGTGTGACCAATCAATATTCAAAACAGCGCGGTCACATCACATGCGGTCTAATCTCGCGCACAGGTACGTTTATCAGCTTCGCGCCGATCCTTGATTCTGAAATGCTTTTAGTCGACGTAAATATCAATATTTTTTCTCAATTTTTTTTAACACTTCTTGTTAATAACAAAATCTCTCGATTTGAGTAAAAATAAAAAAATTGCGAACCTTCCTATTGTCAGTATTCTACAGGTATACTAAGGCAACACCGCCAATTGTCGAGGAGTTATTCTAATCGCGAAAAATATCGAAAGTGGGATATTATGTTTTGTTTTGATGTCACGCCATCCTTGCCTTTCGGGCTGTCTGACCAATAAACCCTCATAGCCCTATAACTTGGACAGCACTGCGCAGACTCTGATGCAATTAAGACACAAACTTACCGTTACGCCAAAGATTAGACAGATTTGTGCTTTATGAAAATCGATCAAGTTCCGGCAGAGGACGCGCAAGGAACAAAGACCGAGCATTTTTTGAAATTTTTACAAAGGGTCAAGATACGCTTCTAATCTGGGTATTATACGCACCTATTTCACACATATACTTTCACGTGTATTTGCCCTTAAGACTCGCTGGTGGTTTACTCAAATGGATTGGGACTGAGGACCAATTGTATGAGTTGATTTGACTGACCAGATATATTTAATTTCCTTGTTCATGTTCATAGATAGCTCTAAAAGAGGCTAACTTCTTACGAGGAAAGTGCAGAATTATCTTACTAGACGCCATTTTTGTCATATGTAACTAGCCGCATCCTTATACACAATGGACAGGTGATACACACACACGTGACGCGCGTAAAAGTTTTCAACATTGTACTTCTATAGATACAGATTATTTACATTAAGTTAACAGGAACAAATTCAATTTCACCAAACTGTCTAACCAAAACGCTAACAATGAGACAGATAGAAAAATTTCGGAAATCAGATATGTTTTTTGAATGTTATATGAAGAAAGATTGGCAGTATTTTGCCATCTCCGTGGCTATTTCAAGTCATACTGCATTTTTTAAAGACTATTTTTATAGTCAATGTTACTAAGATCATATGAAAAACGCCTTTCCCTTACTAAATCAATTAATTTTTCTATGGAAGCCATCTTGCGGACGAGGCGTTCCACGCGTTCTTTGTATTTCTGACAATAGAATGCAAGAACGCGAGCGTTCACACTGACCGGCGCGGTCTGATTGCCGCTGTGTCTGCGCGACTTTATAGAGATCTATTGGTTACAAAGAAAGTGGAATGCAGAACGCCAAACTCGGAACGCTTGAACGCTTTCTGTCCGCGGGAGCCCTAAAACTTAGAACGGTAGAGAAATATTTTTCGATACGCATCTCTACTTCTGCTCTCGGCATTATACTTTTTTTCTCAGTTTATCTAACTCAAACATGCTGCTGTCGTTCATCGGACCACAGACAGCCAATCATGGGCAGCAGTTTTCCGCGTTTTCGGCAACTCATGAGCATGGTCTATGTTTGGTCTCTGGGACTACGGTCGAAATCATGGCAGCCATCATCTATCGAGGATATTAGGTACTTTCTCATTTCGATAGGGTCTAACATGTGCTGAACATAATCCTTTACGAACTGATCACGACGTTGCGTAAGAGGTACAAAGTCAACCTACTTTGTGCCATTTTTGATGATGACGCAGAAAATGTACTTAGCACTTTCCTTATTCTAATGCGAGCAACCATTGTTTACAGAAATCGTGTATAGACTTTACGATACAAGCTCGTCCATTAGAAAGGTATATGCCGAATAAAAGAAACAGCTTAAAGTACAAAATATGGAGGATTGTCGTATCTACGCCGTTTGAGTATTTCATCATGATGCTCATCGTTTTTAATACTTTATTGCTGATGATGAAGGTAGGTCAAATTTCATGCATACTTATTTTTTTCAAAAGTGCTTCTGATTTGACTGCTTGAAATATTATAGTAAGCAATCTTGTTATTTGTCATAAGTGATAAGATAATCATTAACCAACACGACCAATGTAAATTTATTAAACTTTGGATCGAATTTGTAGAATGATATGTATGTAAATTTGCTTACTGTAATATTTCTAGAATTTCCCGATGGAACAAAAATGTTTATATAATTTATTGGATACCATAACTATGTTACGGGGACTTTAAGGCAAAATGCCTCATCTATGAGCGGCATCCATATCATTAGAGGCTTTTGATGACTGTATAATCCAAGCGTCAAAATATATTGCTTGGCTATTTGATTGATAAAATGATATATATATAGCATCTTATCCCTAAAACAGTCTTATGTCGTCAAAAAAGCAATAGTTTGCAGTAGAGCATACCAGCTCATATCGTCGTTTTGTACCATAAGCTTCGTGGTCAGGTCAATTTTAATAATCATAATGTCAAAACCTGTTATCAATGTTTACCAGTCATTACAAATCCGAGAACGTTGCCTTTTAAGCTATCATCAAAAGCCTCTAAAATATATTGCTGTTCTTGATAGAGACGCTTATTATTGAAACACAGTAGGTAATACTTTCATTCACATTTAACCAGAGATATGGCATGATTTTTGTCACAAAAGTTGTTAACCAATATATTTTGCCTTTAGAAAGTAAGCAAATATTCCTTGTAAGGTGTTTTAGCAATGAGCGAATCTCACTTCTATTGTCTGCGAACTGTTTCAATTTAATAATAATATATCGGAAATCATTGCCCCTTCTTAATGGCATCTAACTTGAACATTATTTATAATTACAAAACTAGAACATATTCCGTGTTACTTTGTGGATAGACTCACTCAAATTATCGTAACGTTTTTAAGTGCACAGATATGTTGTAGTTCTTGATTAACAGTTCCCTATTCAAGTAGTTAATTAAACTAAAAGTCGGCAGCAAAACGTCAACAGTATGTCCAGCCAAAGTTCTAGCTATATTGTGAAAAAATAGCGCTTTACAGATCTTGCTTTCGTCGTATAAATTGTAGATCAAACAAATTGATATACTATATGCAATAGAAATGATTAGGCTAGTTAATTAGAGCTAATTTTCTCAACTAAATCTACAACTATCCAGAGAAGTATGTTGGAATTAGACGAAAATTTGGCATGTACAGATCCTGGTCTTCAGAACCACACAGTGGTACTACCCACAATTGATAGAAGTTCGTCGATCACATCACCTATGACTAGGAAGCTTACTTTTGCTAGCCGTATGATTCTTGGCCGCGCAGCGTTTTGAAGGCATGCACAAAAGTACGCCTCAAATAACTACGGTTCGGGGCTGCAAAATGAAAATTAAAAACATTTTCCATATGTGCACAGTAACACAGACCCACAAAAAAATTAAAGGTCGAGTTCTGTGAGACAGATCATGATGTCATTATGTAATAACGCTGAATTCGCATCCAGAATCAGAAAAGTTCCTAGACGTCCAGATCCGACCCCGGTCCCAAAAACTACCCCTGAGAGGTGAGAAAAGTACCGCTAGAAAGGGGTGAAAAATTAACTTCCGGATGTCAGATACTCAATCTCGTATACGTTTTCTTCAACGTTTAATAGGATTTTGAGGTAAAAAAAATCCACCTCCTTTGCATTTACCTCCGGCGTTGAAGCTACTCGTAATGACAGTTTCGAGAGATGGATCTTAAATCGCTTTATTGTTGTGTGCATATTTTGGCAGACTGATTTTTGTTCCTCCTGAATCCTAGATACCGATAGTCCTGACTGACTGACTGGGGTTGGTCCATACGTTCGTGAAATACCGTATGGTATGTCTCCAAATTGATCATTTTTAAAAGTTACATTTCGGTAGGTGTGCCAGCGTAAGTATGTATACATCGAGTTCACAGCACAGCGTCCGGCATCCGAAAGTCAATTTTCCACACCCTTTTTAGAGTTATTCCAGGGGTTTAAATATTTCGTTGACATCAGATGCGGATGCAGCTTCCAAAAATACATGGGAATATCATGCTCCAGCATCTGATATCCGAAACTAAATTTTTATCTTCAGTCGCGGTTCTTGGACCCGAGGGTGAACTGTAGGGGTGCAGGGCTCGTTCCAAATACAAATTTGGCATCTGAAACTTATTTTTCATGCTTTCTAGGGCTAGTTTTTGGACCCGGTGAATTCTAGACATCTAGGCACTCTTTGGATCCCGGATTCGGATTCAGTGTCAAAAAATACATAGGAATATCATGGTCTGTCTCATGGATCTCGACCTTTTTTTGCGATGTTACACAACCTCATCACACATACCATTTTTCGTCCAATTTCGTCATGCTTTTTTAGTACGGTTAGAGCTGACTTCTTGAAGTAAATCTACAAAACTATTTAGGTTGGTGTTGAAAATATCGTCGATGTTGTCTTGTTCGGGCATGCTTGTTACATGTTCATGTACGTTTATGTAAAACTGCACAGACTTTATTATTTTTTCTGAATCAGATTAAAAGATGGTAGGTTAATAAATCAGAATCTAAGAAAATAATATTCTGGAAAATATTGCACTAATCTTCTAGAGAACCGAATCATCATTATCGGGTACGTAGCCAGAGGATTTCCTTAGATTTTGTCAGCAGATCCAAACTCATTTAGGTATACCTGTATTACATTGTAACATCTGAATTATTCGGTTTTATCGAGTATTCCGTGGGGTTCGATGGTTTGAATCACGCTTTGTTCGTGCTTGACATATATCTAATTCTGCATCCTACAGCTCTTCTTGTGAAGTAGTAGCAGATCAAGGTATCTAAAGTCGGACCTCTATTTTGTTATTAATTAAAAAAATATGAAAAATAGCTAAAAGTATGTTTTGCAAGCATACAACGCTTACTTCGTAATACTAAGTATTACTTACTTCACACGTTCACACAAATTGTAGTTGAAAATTATTATAACTATTATCAAAGAGGTAATTTCCAGAAATCTTACGTATCACGCATTTGATAATTAGGTGCCAAAACATGACCTAGTAAAAATTGACAATCACCAATTAAGATCTCAAAAAGTTAAGTGAGGACACACAATGTTTTTCTAACAGGTACGTGGTTTTCAATTCTTTAGCGAGAAATTGACAGACGTACACTTGCAGTCCTTGGGAAGGGGGTGTTACAGATACACAAAACGGTAGATGACAAAGTAGGAGTATATGTTTCTTGGAAATACTTAGGACTCTTTCATACGATCCGGCGCCCCTGAGAAGCGTGATGTTTTCACACGTGCTTGGTTTCCTCCGGCGCGCGCTCCGCGGCGCTCCCGTATTTTAACTATTCAGTTGAGGCTAGCTCTTGAAATGATCACAGTATGAAAGAAGAAAGTGCTAGCCATGTACTTGTTATGGGAACGGCAAATAAAAAGAAATAGGCGGGTTTGGATTTACATATTGCTTCAAAATCGACATACTTCTGGGCCCTTCAAAATTTTATTCAATTCATTGCGGAACAGTGAGGAAAGACATAATACAACACTTGAACAAAAACAATACCGTGCGTCTTTACTCTCCAGTCGCATATCCAAGACTAGAGGTTGGGGCGTGCCGACAATAACACCAATAGCCCTTCGCAGAGTAGTCCGGCGTGGAGGCCGCATGCCCGGCGTAGGGGAGTCCGGCGGGAATTTGGGCACTACCCAGCGTCTGTGCTATGCGGCGCCCTCAGGATATTGTGTGGAAAGACTCATCTACTCCCATAGCCCAACGCCGCATCAGGCGCGCGCCGCTCAACGCGAACCGCACCGTGTGAGAGGGGTTAGCTTGCTTGCTCGTTATTGACCACGTGTTCCCAACACCCTCCTTAAAATCAAACAACTCAACAAAAGTGACAGAACAGCGAAAAACGGTGCCAAGGATCACAGAAATCAAATTCCAGAGTCGTATGCGAGATACAAGAACAGCCTCCTTGTCTTCTACCATCTCCCATTCCATCTTGGGCATCAATAGCCTTAATGACTCTAGGACCCCATTTCCGTTGAATAGTTTCTTCCCATAATCATTGTCGAAGTAAAAAAGGGATTTCAAAAAAATAGTGAATAGTAATTTAGGCGAATGAAAGACTTCATCCACTGAAATTTAGTTAAACGTCTAAATGACAACCTAGAATTTTACCACTTACGAAAATATAAAGGTGTAAAGGTTTATTGACAAAATTACGTTAGATCTTGTCCTGCAATCTCTGTCAGGATCGATTAATGGACAGAAAAAGTAATAAAGTCTCTATGAATAAATTAACATAAATAAAAAAAAATTCAGTGCAAGCAATGCAACAAAGCCACACGTTCATAGCATGTTGTCTGTGTCAAACAAAAGTTACCATTATAAATCGTGAAATGCACAATTTGAGAATGATAACAACTTTTATATTTGGTTTGTTTGCAATTTATGGTGTTCAGTTATTGTTCAGCTTGTTGTAAAGGCAACGTGAACTGTGAAATATAATACAATTCTTTTCATATTAGCGATTTTGCATACATAGATATTTTTCTTTAGTTCGTGGTCGTAACATCATTATAGAAGAATAATATAATATATAAAAGTCTGAACACCATGAAATTTTCTAGCACTATGAGACTATTTTGAATTCTGTTCGTACAGGATATCAACTGGATGCATATATTTGCTTATAACACACTGGGCAACTGACTGAATGATCTGAAAACCCCTCAAGAATAGTTAGACTAATTAGTAAAATTTAGTTTAGCTGTTACATCATGCATTTGTACGGTTTTATCCCAGACAAGAATGTATATGAGAACGGATAAACAATCAAATTATAGCTAAAATGTAGCAATATAAAATTTCATCCTTAAAAACGTGGTTTCAATCATTGATGTTTAAAAATTTATATTAAACAGTAAATGACATAATAAACATTTTAGGACGATAGTTGCAAAGCAATGTTGTCCATTGTGATATAGCTCTTAATGCATTGCTGAAGCAAAATGGCTGCGATGCACTGAACAACACAATTTCTTGTAGCCGCTAGATTTTCCAAACTCCTTTAAACTGTTTTGTTTATTTCAACCAAAGTTTATACATGATAAAGTATGCATCACCAGAAGTAAACTTGTGGAATCATTGTTTCGGTATATAATCTAGTAGTAGTTACAATCCAGGAGGTAGAGGCATTTATGATACGGTCAGCAATCATATGTGCACATATACAAAATTGAAAAGTATTACTATAGTTGGACCAGCGAAAGATTGCAAGCCGAAAGAATGCGGACAAAAAATTGCGAAGTTGTCAGATGTTCTACATAAAATGCGGTCCATACATATTAACATATTTAAGATATAGAATTGTTCCGCTGAATTTGGCAATGTAGCTGGAAAACCCAGGCCGCAGGTAAACATCCGGTCGCTGATTGGTCCAAAACTCTTATCTTATCTGAAACTAGAATAACGTGCCGATGGCACGGTCATTTATAAACCTACTCCCATAGGCGTAGGCAGTTGGCAAATACTTTGAAAATATAATTTACTGTTTAGTGGTGATAATGGAATTCAAGCATGGGAAAGTTATTCACAGCCAGGCAAGGGAAATAATAGCAAACGTGATACGTGCTTGCGATGCAGAAGCGGCTAACAATACTTTCGTTTATCCACTGGTAGCTAGAAATGCAAGGGCGGCATATTATACGGGTGTTAGTGAACGAACTATAAGTAAAATTAGAAAAGAAGATAAAGACAGGCAAAATGCAACCTCCACACAGCCTTTAGCTTCTCCCGGAAAAAAGAGATCACGCCCTTCTGTGATCCAAAAAATTGATGGAGTCGATTTTTCCATTATTCGGAGAATGATAGAAAAATTTTACTGTGATTTTAAAGTGGTACCTACTTGTAGTAAACTTCTAATCAAACTGAAGGAAGAAATGGAATTTCCATTTGGTAAAGAATCGTTGAGGCTGCTTTTAAAAGCAAAAGGATTTTACTGGCGTAAATGCCACAACAAAAGGAAATTACTAATGGAAAGACCCAGTATTTTACATTGGCGATACAAGTATCTTAGGTCTATTAAAAAGTTCCGGGAAGAAGGAAGGCATATTATTTATTTGGACGAAACTTGGGTTGATAATGACCTCACTTTCAAGAAATGCTGGCAAAGCGAAGAAATTATGGGTGTCCTGAGCAATATAAGTTCTACAGGTAATAAAGTTTCTTTCACCTCGATTTTGCTTATTATACATTTTTCTCAATTTTGGAATATTCTTAATAAGTGCTCATTTAATTTGTCTAATTGAATACATAATCCCTTGCAAGTATTTTTTTCTCAAAAATATGTTTTTTATACATAGTGATTCAAAAAGGTGTTGGCAAACTTAAAATAACACTAAAATGAGGCTATTTATTCATTTCCAGGACGACTTATAATTGTTCATGCGGGTTCGCAAGATGGTTTTGTTCCTGGAGCCTGTCTCATTTTCAAGGCTGGCTGTGCCACTGGTGATTATCACGGTCAAATGAACCAAGAAAATTTCACGAAGTGGCTTACTGAAAAACTATTTCCTAACATTCCTCCTAATAGTATTATAATAATGGATAATGCACCTTACCATTCAGCTTTGGAAGACAAGCCTCCAACTAGATCTTCTCTAAAAAGAGACATCATCACGTGGTTGAGCAAAAAAGGTATAGAGCATGATCCTAATGCTAAAAAAATGGAGCTTTATGAAATAGCTTGTCTACATAGGCCACCATCTGATGAGAAAAATTATAAGATAGATAATTTAATAAGAAGTTTCGGACACACCCCACTTCGAACGCCACCCTATATGTGTCAGTTTAATCCCATAGAGATGATTTGGGCACAAGTAAAATTTTTCATTAGAAGCCATAATACAAGCGGCGAATTTACTATAAAAAAACTAGATGAAATTTCTAATAAGGCCATCGCTTCAGTAAGTGCCAGTGACTGGCAAAAGGTTATTGGACATGTTATAAAAATTGAAGATGAATATTGGGAAAAAGACAGTCTCATTCAAGAAATACAGGAAGAAATAATAATCAACATAGGAGGTGAAAGTGATAGCAATGACAGTTCCTCAGACAGTGATCATGACTCTAATCAGGATTGAAACTATACTAGATTGGCTACCTTTTAGAATTTTTAGATATTCATTTATTATACTATTGGTTTGTGGCTTTTAGTATCTCAGTAGAAAGTCTAATTCTATGTGTTGTTTATGGGTTATTTCATCAAGAAATTACTTTTTGTTTTCCTATATTTTTCTATTCAGTCAGATATTTTTGACTTGTTGTATTCTATTTTAGAAGAATGCATAATTTGTTTTGCTGTTCAATCATAATGCGTACATAGGAATATTACTTGTTGCCTAAAAAATATATTTATTTTGTTCTCAATATTCAGTGTTTGTGTATATTTATTTCTTATAATGTATGTTTGGTATCACGTCATTATGAATCGCAAAAAAATATTAATACTACCAGTTGTAATAAAATATAAATTCAATTAATAATTCAAGTCTCTCCGATCTCCGCCTATGACTCCATATAAAATCGTCTAATGGTAAGGTTTTTTCATCGCATTTCCCCCTTTCGTCCCTAGCAATCTTTGGCTGGTCGATCAATACATATCTTTTGGAGTGATTCACAAAAAGACAAAGAAGGGGTTGTGTGAGAAGATAGAATGAATGTTTACTCGAAAACTGTAATTTTTCTGGCATTTTTGTGTATCTTAATTACGATCAAAATGATTTATGTCTTATATTAGAAATACTCTACTAGACTATCATGAAAGTGTCTCAGTTATCTATTGCAGTGTCGGTGATGTATACATGACTTGCTTATTCTTTATTTACCTTTTCATTTACAACGGATGTTGTAAAATCAAAGAAATGCTCTGATGATAATGTTATAAATAAAACGATTGAAATAGCTAAACAATATAATAAAACTAAAGGAATCACCCCTGTAATAAGTGTACATATATTAGTCAGAACTTTACATATGTATGTACTCGTATATTAGAAGAATATCCCCATTTAGTAAAATGTTTTATATTGCGTTTTTTATTCCATCATGTTTGAGACGTCATCTTCAAAAGCGAATTTTTATGTTATTTTCGTTCAATTCATATCGCCTATGGAGTTGAAAACAGCTACGATGAATGTTTGTAACATCATACGAATCAACAACTTTCTTATGGTTTTTTGCCTTTTTATGATAATTTTTGAAGAAATCAAAGATGCAATGCGCTATTTACCTAAATGACCCGATTTGAAATAAAATGAAAATGTAGAAATATTAGTTCAACCACTTTAGAGAGTCCTATTCTGTGTGTTGTTATCTAGCGAATGGTATTTTTTCTCTGTTATCTGCCTACAGTACGACAAGCAAGATGAAATGTACACGAAAGTCCTTAAGTACCTCAACTGGGGTTTCACGGGCATGTTTACCGTCGAGTGTATCCTCAAGATACTTGCATTTGGCGTCAGGGTAAGAGCAGAGGAGTAGGCTGATTTTTCTATATGGTTTCTCCTTTTTGTAACAAAGGTCATTCTGTCAAGTGCTTTTCTTCATTGCGTTATTATCAGAATTAATGTTCAAACATTACAGGATGATAATAATGTGAGACGTAGAGTTACAAAGAAGTCGATTGTCAGATTTTTAAGCCCATATGTAAATATATATATACAATATAGCTATCAATTCCAAGTCCAAAAAACCAAAAATTCACAAGAACCGTGCGTAGAGAACTTTTGTGTCAAATTATATTTCAACTGAAAGAAAAGCACATATCATTTGGTATGATTCCAGAGAAAGCAATATAAGTGTGTCCATGTACATTGAATGGCAAATTCAACTGGACAAACCCAGACTCATTTTGGATATAATTTCTCCTATTTTATACTTTTATAGCTTTAGCTGACGTGCATGTAATTGACTTTGTACACTTTTACATATACACTTGTAGACGGGCTTCTGCATTTGCATAGTATTATTGTAATACTAGTTCAGTTCGAGATTTTGACATAAAATAACCTAAGAACGGCGCAGTAACTTTCTTACTCAATGTAAGGCATGGTGTTCAGTCATGAACTGAATTGGTAAATAAAGCTGAGCATGTGAAAACCATCATACTCTTATTTGTGCATTCAGTGGATTGAACATAAAGGTTTTAGTGTGAGAAAAGTTTTGATGATTCCACTTGGTGGTATTAAATTTAATGACATGTTAGATACGTAGGTGATTCGAATTAGATTTTCGCCATTAGGATCTCGGAAACGGTAAGATCTACGAAGTCGGTGAGATATTCGAAAAAGGTGACTCAGAAAATGGTATACAAGAATCTTTGCAATTCCGAGTATTTCCGGAGCGGCTCAATACCGAATTTTCCCAAAATGTTTCTTATTTTCTTCCTTGTCTCATTTATCATAGAGTTCCAAAAAATACATTAAAATTGTAACTTTTTGTCCTCTAGAAGCCGGCATAATTAGAATTTCTCTATGACGTTTCGTCTTTTGTCCTCAATCATTAACTTTATTTTGTCTTATAGACGCCATACTGCAGTTTTGCACAGCTGAATATAGCTCTTAATTCTAATTACAAAAATGTATTATTAAATTATAATATGAGACGTTGACGTCAATCAATCCTAAGTTATTTCAAAAAAACATAATACTGTCATAGTTGGTTTATTTATCCGATTAAGTCATCAATGCTTCAATTACTTAGAAGCGGTTAAAATGACAATTAGATAATTTACCCATTTACCCACTATAACAGGCTTTTTTAGCAGACGTAGATTAATAATTTTTGAATGCAAGATGTGTTCACCGGTTTAGTTGTTCAGTTACGAGGGATATAAAATGGTGGTGGTCGAAGCTCTTACTTACTCCAACATGCTTGAATGAGTTACTGAAAATAATACTGTTCTCAATGCTTCCAATAGTACCTACGAATATTATGAAAAAGTTTTGACATTAGGTTATTCTTAATTCGGTGACCACATATAGGAAGATTACTTATTTAGACATTTGAGGTTTTATAATACCAAAGCAGATTATAAATATGTACAATATCACGTCTTAAAAATCGGAAATAGGCTGTTCACTCATGCCTTGTTTACAGAACCTGAAGGAATGATTGGCTTATCAAACAAATGACTTTCTGATAACTTAAAGTCGTCTACCTAGGAAATTCAGTTTTTTAAAATAAGTAAGATTTGGTAAATCCAATGTATGACACATTATACACTTTTGGAATAATAATTAAAAGCTCTGTTCAACTGTTCAAGAATCCATATGCTGTCCATAAGAAGAAATAAAGATTGAGGACAAGGGACGAAACGTCATATTAAAATTTTAATTATGCTACCTTGTATAGAAGAAAAAGAGACAATGTATTGTACTTTTCGTTTTGAAATCCTATTTAAATAAAGCCAGGAAAAAAATTATTTTGAGAAAATCCGGTTTCTTTTGTCTCTTTTACGTAAAACTCGGAATTGATGAGTTTTCTATGTGTTACTTTCTCAGTGCGCACCTCTGGTCGCAGTTAACCGACTCCGTATCTCCTACCTTTTCCGATATCCGAATGATAAGAGTCGAATTCGAAACACCCGGTATATTAGTTTTTGTGGTATTCCAAATATAGACTTACATTACCAGTTTCCATGAAGGTAGCAATGAAACTGTAAAACTTTTTCATGTTATCTACGATTCCTTGAAACTTGGTTCGATCCACGTGTTGGTTGCCTATAGCATGTGGTGAACTGCATGTTTTTTCTGAGCTGTCACATCACTACTCACCAGCCATTATCGTTTTGCCTATCTTATTCCACCTACCGTGTAGTCCTGCCGACTTTTTTAGAAACTGAAGATAACAATACCCTACCTGAAAGCAACGGTACTCGCGCATACGGATTATATTGCAAATAATATGCTGCTGAAATAAGTTTAAATATAGAGCCAAAGGAGATAATTGGTTTGGAATTACAGCAGGTGTCATTAGAGGACGGCTTAATAATAGTACTTAAAACAATTTTGTCAATTTTTAATAGAATAGATAATACATTTTTTGGAGAACTTATAGTAGTTATGAACTCCACATCCAAGGATAGTGTTGCAAGTTAGATCAAAATCGTAAATTCTCTAATGACATTGGAGATTTCGAAACCAGAAATTTCTTTTTTCTATAGTTAAAGCAATACTAGACGGAAATATATGAATTCGATAAGCAGATTCTTTTGTGGGTAGTTCTTGTTACATCATGAAGTTGTTTGTAGTATCACGAGAGTCCACCCCTATTGTCTGACATCCTCGCCGTCATGAACATACTATTTACGTTCCTGTTCCTATGCGAAACCGTTTTGAAGTTGATTGCATATGGTATCAAGGTAAAATATTCATCATTTTTTGTATCACATACAGACACTTTCATGTACCCTGACACCGATAGTTCAATATATTCTCACTTACACTTTTTAGCTGAACATTTCCTTCCGCTTTTGTTTAATAAGGTCAAATTATAAATATAATACTGAGGAACAGTCATTTTGCGGCATGATACGTTGAAGTCAGTTCTCCACAAGACGAATATGCTGAATATTAGAAAATATGATAATATGACATCAATACTATTTCACTGAAAAAAGCTAAGGAAAAATAGCAATACGTATTAAAAACATGAAAGATAATCAATCGATTTAAAAATACAGATATCTTTTTCTGTGGGCCTTATATCAAGGTTTTGCTCAGGATACTGCCTTACTAAGGTCATGTAGCGGTTCCACTGATCTTGAAATATTTCTTCCATTATTTTAATGCCCTGGGGATACTTTATGGTACGATGGGAGTTCCCAGGTTATTAATATCATTGAATTTTCATACAGATTACTTCGTTTTTAAGGCCGTATCGTCAGTCGTTCCTACAACTGTAGGACGCCTTTATGACCTCTTTGATTTTTATAGTATTTTCTCTCCTTCAGAAAGGTTGGCGGATTCCTATATTTCTACAGTTCCGTGTCAGCATCAGCGCTCTCATATTGTGAGGCTATGCTTTCTTTTTGAATTGTGGGAAATTTCATATAACAAATTTCTCCGGAGAAACCGTGTTATTTGGGATTCAATCGAAAGTGTTGTCAGGAACCAAAAAACTCGTTAGATCAGATATTCAGATATTTATGAGACCTACAGAATGAGACCACAGATAAAAAGAACCGACTAATAGTGAGAAAGCTATGGCCGAAAACCGAGGTTATCGCTCTTGTTCCTAATGCGACGATAATTTCACGAAACTACTTGAAATTCTTCAATTCCGTAGGCTTCTTACTTCTAAATAACCACAACAAAATTCGAGTGGGTTGGTTAAGTAGTTTTTGAGAATTTATGATTTCTTATCCCAAAACACCTGTCTTCCGGCCATCACTACTGGTTTACTGAACAATATTCAGGGTTCGTTCAAAGAGCATTTTATAGCGGACTACACGAACATACCTTGCCGACATGAACCACAAACCATTTCCAAAGACAATTGTTATTTTTATGCAAAAAACAAAGGGGATAAACAATTAGAAATTCTCAAAAACTACTTGACCAATCGACTACAATTTTGTTGTCGTTATTTAGAAGTATGAAGCCTACAAATTTCAGGTACCTGCGTGAAACTATGGTCGCATTACCAACAAGTGCGAAAAACCTGCATCTTGCCTAGGTTTTCGGCCATAACTTTTTTAACATTTGTCGGATCTTTTTACGTGTATTTTCATTCTGTGGATCTCATAAATACCTAAAAATCTTATCCAAAGAGTTTTTTCGTTTCTGCCAACACTTTCGAATTGAATCTCAGAAAAACACGTTTTCTCATTCTTTGTTGTCGAATAAAGTTTTCCCACAAAAATTGGTGTACCTACTCACTTTATGCGTCCATGTTTTAAATACCCTCTTGAATAACTTGCATCAATAAAACCAGACAATTATTCGCAAACTAGCGGTATTTTCGTCTAATATGGTTAGACGTCTTTGACGATACGGCCCTTAGAGACGACGTTGAATAACACGGGTAGCGTTATTCTTATACAATTACCTGGAAGCCAATAGAACCACTCCCTCATTTGAAGTACTGGCGTCCTGGGGTGAAAACGCGAGAATACAATTTATATAAATTTCTGTTTTGGCGTTTATCAAACTTTTATGAATCCATCCATTTTTAGCAGAACAATATATTCCTAGGACCTTCATATCATTAAATCTTTTATCCCAAATTTAATTAGAGATGATGCTGACGGACGATACCGAGACGTCCGCAGTTTTCCTCCGTAGAATGACTATGAATGACTATGGGAGTGAGTCTTCTATCAGTGTTGAAAAATGGTGAGAATGTTTTCATTGGTTCCTCATGTTTCGTCTATATCCAGGACCAGAGTCAATTAAGAAGAGTATATGCATACTGCTTATGTCTGATACAAATGTCTATGGAAACCATTAACCAAATTTATGCCGCAGATTTTCTGTTTCATTTCGCAGTATAATTACTTTTACCAAGTAACTTCTAGTCCGTTAGTATCCGAACATTGTGTATCGATAGTTTTTTTACTCATGTATCTGGTTACATCCATTTTGTGATACTCAAGTCGTTGAAATGTTCAGCTATGAGCAACTTGACTAGAAACTACATTATTTTACCTTGGAAGACACATATCACTTTACCTTATATCAAATTCTTCGTATACATTCAAATGGTAGTATGCTACATTAACTGCTATATTTTCTTTCCTTATCCATTGCATATAGCAACTTGACTGTTAGCATTTTTAGTAGATATTTACAGCCTCTCAGCATTTTCGTACTCTATTATAGATTAGTGTAGCTACTATCAAGCATCCACAAGTACCTTTTACTTACAAGCATAACTTTTAATAGCTACATTATTATTAGTTCTCAATATACCTATTAGAGCATGAGATCTTTGTAATGATAGACAAGGTCACTTATAGGAAATAGAGCATCTTATTACAGAAAAGCTCCTTTATTGTCACAAGCTCCTTACCTCCTCTAATACAGACTCCTAGCTACTGAAGGAATATTGAACTAACAATATTTATTTATTTCAAGACCCATTCATTCCACATTTGTTAATATGGATCTTTTCTGTAAGCAGTAACAAACTACTGGACAATTGATAACGACTGTAAGTTATGCTATTACTTCTTGAGTCAACTTAGTACACTGATTCGTTCAGAGCACTGTTTTACAAAAAAATCGGATGCCCGTTGAGTACAGGATTTTGAGGGAATCATCAAGTAGCAAAGATTTCATCTAATGGATATTTTGCTTAAAAATGAAACATACTAAAACGTTAATGTTGTCCACTGGTATATTATTTATTCATTCTGTAAGCCTCTTTAGATCAACCTTTCCTGTAGTTTCTGTTAGATCAATCAAGCTAGTCGTCAATATGTTTGAAATAATAATTAATGATCAACATTTTATTTAACAGAACTTTTTCAAAGATCCATGGAATACCTTCGACTTCGTGACGGTGATAGGAAGCATAGTTGATGCAATGGTGGTGGAGTTTGGAGTGAGTATCTCGGAAAAATGTTCATATATAATTTAATATTGACAAATTTACCACTTTTACACAATTTTACACAGATATATGGACGTCTCTTTTGGAAGGTATAGGAAAAAGTATTTCTTCTTTTATATGTGTTTTGCACATGGTTGTGCACTTTTCAGCATCAATTTGCACCATTTTTAACATAAAACTGTACTCTACAGATATAGAACTGAGAACAACGGCATTGGGCTTTTCGATTGATTATATTATTAATGCCTTAGTAGTCTTGAACACTCATTTCTACTTTCCTCGCCAATTAGCAAGAAGAATTACTGAAATGAAATTTTTTTAATGCTGTATGATAGGAACATCCAAGAAAAATAATTACTCATTTCCGCTGGTCTGTTTGTCTGCTAATATCTCATCCACGCATAGCTCCAAAACTACAGCTCGAATTTTGATGAACCTTTCACACAAGATTACTACTGTGCCTAGGACGAAAAAGCCTTGTACGTTTAGGAAATCCATCCAGTGGCGATGAAGTTACGGGCAAAAAATGAAAAATTAAAAATCTTCCAGAAGTATATTGTACTCGTGTATTGTGACATATATAATCTCCGTCGTAGCAGCACAAGTAGTAAATGGGAATTATGTCATTGAACCACCTATAAAGCCAAATGGTAAAACCATATCGTATAACAGACTCCGGCTGGCTAGCCATGTCCGTTTTATCGGCAATTAGCGATACTCCGGACACTAAGCCCAGAGCTTGCGTAATGACTTCCGTCAACTCATGGCAACTTAAAGAATTTACATTCAGAGACTTAGTTGCAGTCAGAATTAGATATAAGAAGGAAGGCAGTGACAGGGACTTGGTTGTATGTTCGGCTTACCTTCCTTACGATTCAAGAGACCCTCCTCCGTCTAAGGAAATGGGGGACCTTGTCGCATTCTGTAGGGATTCTGGACTCGACCTTGTGATTGGATGCGACAGTAATGCCCATCACGTTACGTGGGGCAGCTCGAACACCAACAGACGGGGCGAAGACCTGATGGAGTTTCTTGGGGCATCGAACCTTGAGGTTCTGAATGTCGGTAACATGCCCACTTTCAGCAATAGTGTAAGAGAAGAGGTTATCGACGTAACACTGAGCACGCTTAACTTAGCTCAGGACATCAGGGACTGGAAAGTGTCTCTAACACCCTCTCTATCGGATCACAGGTATATACTGTTCAAGACTGATGGAGAGATTCCGGATAAATATGCTCGGAATCCCAGGCATACTAGATGGGGGTCCTTTAGGGCAGACATTGACAGTAAGCTTGGAGCGGTCCCATACAGGCTTGGCAGGGGCTCTGACATAGAAGCAGCTGTCGAGTCTCTGAGCAGGGACTTGACGGCTGCATATGAGGAAAACTGCCCGTTACGCAAAGTACAAGGTAAGGGCAAGGCAACCTTCTGGACCAAAGATTTAGAGGATAGAAAACGAGCGGTGCACAAACTTCTAGCAGAGTTAAGCACAGGAGAGGTTCTCCTCTATGGGAAGAATACAAAAAGGCATTGCAGGAGTACAAAAAGGAGATTAGAAGGGCCTCCAGAGAATCCTGGAGGCACTTCTGTCAGTCCATAAATGACATTCCTGCTACTGCAAGAATACACAGAGTCCTATGCAAAGACATTAAAGCAAGATTGGGATCTCTGCATGATCCCTCGGGGGGGAACACTACTTCCGAGGAAGATACTCTGAGGCTTCTGATGGATACGCACTTTCCCGGTTCCACAGTAGCGCGATCAATCACAGAGTGCATGCAGTTGCGCAGGCCCTCAAGGGAGGACTGGCGCTCGGCAAGGGAGATTGTCACCTTCGAAAGGACGACATGGGCAGTAGATTCGTTTGCCCCATACAAAAGTCCAGGTCTGGACGGCGTATTTCCGGCCATGTTACAGCAGGGACGGATTTCGGTTGTTCCTTACCTGTTGAAGGTGTTTCGAGCATGTGTGGCCACGGGCTTCACACCTAGAAGCTGGCGGCAGGCTAAAGTGGTATTTATTCCTAAACCGGGCAGAGATAGATATACTGGCCCGAAGGATTTTCGACCGATTACTCTTTCATCTTTTGTGCTTAAGACCCTGGAAAGGATAGTTGATAGATACCTAAGGGATGGCCCACTGGAAAGGTGTGTCATTCATGCAAATCAGTTTGCATACAAAGCTGGAAAATCGACTGATCTGGCCTTACACAATCTGGTCGGGAGGCTGGAGAAGACTCTAGATCAGCGAGAAGTGGCACTCGTGGCCTTCTTGGATATTGAAGGTGCATTTAATTGCACCACAACCGACTCTATCAGACAGGCCTTGGTTAGACACGGGGTTGGATCAATCCTAATAGATTGGGTCCTCTCTACTCTGGAGGGTCGGGTAACAACAGCTATGCTGAATAACGTAAGCTGCAGCGTGAACGTAGCTAGAGGCTGCCCTCAGGGCGGAGTTCTGTCACCCCTACTGTGGTGTATCGTGGTGAACGAACTGCTCGTTAGGCTCAGCAGTATGGGTGTCTACGCGCAAGCCTATGCTGATGACGTAAGCATAGTGGTTAGGGGGCGTTTCTGTAGAACAGTCTCGGAAATTATGCAGGGCGCTCTGCGCTCCGTGGAATCGTGGTGTAAGTCGATCTTTCTGTTAATGCTGAAAAGACCGAGCTGATCCTATTCACTAGGAGAAGAAGGCTTGACGGACTGGTCATGCCGACCTTCTTTGGGACTAGATTAGTTTTGTCCCAGTCAGTGAAATATCTGGGAATTATCCTGGACTGCAAACTGAACTGGAGAGAGCATGTGGAACACAAGGTTAGCAAGGCTCGCAATTCGATGTGGGCTTGTAGACGTGTTGTTGGTGTAAGGTGGGGGCTTAAACCCAAACTGGTATACTGGCTCTACACGACGATAGTATGTCCATCTCTCTTGTACGGCTCCCTGGTCTGGTGGCCTTGCATTAGAACTGAGTCAACTAAGGCCAAACTCAATAAAATTCAGCGTTTGGCCTGTATTAGCATTACAACGCCATTGAGTGCAATGGAAGCTCTGTTGGATCTCCCACCGTTGGATCTGGTGATCCGCGGTGAAGCGAGAGTAGTCGCTCATCGACTGTGGAGTCAGGGCAGCTGGGCTTTCTTGAATCCGGTCAAGGGGCATACTGCCATATTAGTCGAATTAGAAAGGGAGGACCCCGTCCTTCTAAGCAGGGGTGATCGTATTACCCCTAAATATCGCTTCAACCGCAAGTTTATTGTGGAGTACCCAACGAGGGAGGAGTGGGACGCCGGTAGCCGAGGACTCTCCGAAGTGAGCGGGCAGGTCTGGTACACGGACGGCTCGGTCACCGAAGAGGGCTCAGGTGCTGGGGTCTCTGGACCTAGAACTAAGCTATCTCTGCCTCTCGGTGAGTACACCATCATTTTCCAGGCGCAAATCTTTGCGATTCTGGCTTGTGTATCTCACATTCTGGAGGAGGGTGGGCCTAGGAGAAGAATAACAATCTTATCCGACAGCCAGGCTGCAATGAAAGCACTAAGTGCATGTAAGATTACTTCGAGTCTTGTATTGCAATGCAGGGAGGCTCTGGATTGCCTCGCAGCGAGGCATCCGGTATCGTTAATATGGGTACCGGGGCACGCTGGGATAAGGGGCAATGAGACGGCGGACACTCTGGCTAAAACAGGATCAGCCAGCAAGCTCGTTGGTCCTGAGCCAGCTCTAGGAGTAACCGCGCATAAAGCTAGGAGGAAAATGGAGACGTGGGTTGCAAGACAACACTCTCAGAAATGGAGAAGTATCTCTAGACATCTCCGCCAGGCACGAGAGCTCATTGAAGGGCCCAGTGCTAAGGATGGACGCTTCTGCCTATCTCTGGGTAGAGCCAACCTAAGGTTGCTGGTGGGACTGTTGTCTGGCCATAACACGTTAAGGCGGCACCTGCACGTGATGGGGGTGGCTGAGGATCCCTTGTGCGAACGCTGCGGAGTAGAGGAAGAGACCTCGGCGCACGTTTTGTGTCGCTGTGAAGCTCTGAGCTACTATAGGCTGACTATACTGGGGTCCATTACTTTGGACCCTCAGAACGTAAAGGAGCTTGGACTCAAGGCGATTCTCAACTTCGCTAAAAGGGCGAGGCTTGTGATTTAAGTATTGTAGAGGTGCATAAGGGCCCGCTTAAGCGGCCTATGCACTGGCTCCTTATGGTGGCCGGGATGCCTCTAAAATTCAAGATTCATTCATTCATTCATCGGCAGGTAACCTAGTCCTCATATGCATAATAGGTGAAGCGATGCTAATTTTTTTTGGCTTACCAAAATTCACCATACATGTATGTATGTATGTATGCTTGTACTCATCAGAATATTAGTATAATGGTCTACGGGTGTGTTAACCTCGAAAAAGTTTGCATTGTTTGTTGTACAAGTGGCATTGAATGCAGAAAAGAAGGGAACCTAATTATATTTTAGGATTCCTATGCATTATTTTTGAAAGCATTGGCTTTCTCAGGACCTTACTCTTACTCAATGTAATGCAAAAAAATGAATAGGTCAAATGCCTATGTGTATGGTAAATGTATTATTATATGATTGACGTCAGAATTGCTTGGGAGGAACAGGACTCATCTGCTTGTCTCCATTGGCTGCAACACTTGTGAAGCTTGGAGTGTAGAACTATGCATAGAAGTGGACCACTGCCTTGGACTTCTTGAGTTGAACTATCATGAAGTCAAAGCTGGTGTTCACCATAGTCCTCCATAACCTATGAAAGGCCTTCTACTGGAGAATACCTTAAAGTAGATCCAAGCTTACATGACATCTGCCCTCCTCGCTCGACCTGCTACTATTTTGTCCACTGCTGCCGAGTTGCCGCGCACCTCACTGACCCATCACAAACTGTATTAACGCACGCTGTGCGAGCAGTGATCTTTTGTGTGGAACGACACAAATCACAATAAGTATAGAAGCGGCTGAATGAAAAATTAAGGATTATGTCTTTAGGGTACAATTTTATGGTTTACGTTTTGAGAAAGAGGGATTTTTTTGAGATTTTGTTTAGACTTTTTACTATATTTTTTATTTTCTTCAAGGAAAGGGCGGCACAAATGACAAAAGAAAGGGTAAGCATTAAATCAAAATATCCTACCATTCGATGTCAGTTTTTCTAAATAGGTTAGGGTGTATAGATTTCGAAAGTTGAGCTAAAATTTGTAAAAATTATAAATAAATAAAATTACAGTGGTTGTCGAATAAGTTTTTGTTTATCAAGGCGAACTTAGTCAAACAAAGAACGTAATTGAAACAGTAAACCCATTTTATTGTGAGTAATCAATTTAAGTATGTAAGTAATAAAGATGTTGCTACATGAAAAATATGCACAATCTTAGGGTTAACTATTGTGTAAAACAAAAATATAGTACAAGTGTGGAAGATATGATTCATAAGTAATATTCTCAAAATGGTTTTAGAGTAGACCATTTTTCAACTACAATCTGTGGTATTTTCATCGGACCTAGGTTGTTAAGAGAGACTTTATCCTTGAGAAATCATTGCAGAGAGAAGTTACTCGGTCATCAAAACAACGTGTCTGTGACAATTCCTTTGCCATATCAAACGTGGCCCCATTTTGTTGAAAGTGCATATTTTGTTGTTACTTAAATTTAGCTTACAGAATCTGACGAAAGTGGTTAATTTAGTTAAACCATTAAGCAGATTTCTCAAATCTCCTTTATTCAAAGGTAGCGAGGAGCACATACTCAAAAGATTCAAGGACTCACATTACAATGTAAAAATATAAAAAGTACTTTGTCAAGTACACGATGGGCATGAGCATTACTGTGATATCAGAAGTTGTTCATGAAAGCCTCATCTGATAAACTATTTAAACCTTTGAATTCTCATGTTAAGCATAAACTTGTTACGCCCAACCGTTACTTTAGAATTCGAGTACCTGTGCTAACTGATGTCTAGATTAGAAAATTTTCTGTGACACTAACAGCTGCAAAGGAAGCAAATAAATATTGAGCTAGATTAGATTAGACTAACAATAGCAACTAGTTACATCAGTTATAGAGCTATAGTGGACGCGCGGTAATTCAACTATACAATAGCTGAACAAACTGACATAAGGGATAAGCTTCGAAATGGGGCAAAGACAGTAGAAACTTGTGCAGATTTTTTCTCCCAAGATAAAGCATTGATAGTAAGGTTGAAAATATATTCACAGATAACGAAGTAATTGAATAACTGATTTCTATCACAGCACGTGTCAGAATTGTATCAAAATAATGTTACGACTGCATCTTAGGAAATGTTCCTATTTGCCATAAACGGATGTCGTACATGTCGTAAGCGTTATTTTGTTATGAGTTAGTGGAAAATAAATAAATACAGGTAAAAATAGTTTAGCCAAAGTGCTTCAAAAATTAGTCATTTTGTGACTTTTCAACTAGTAATATATATAGTATATATCAGACAGTCTTGAGAAAAAAGAGCTTGCAATAGTTTTATCTCATTCTCCATTATTTCGACGTTACTCCTGATTTGACCAGACTATTAACAGTGGACGTTAATTTTTGTAGAGACCACCTGATATACCCGCTTTGATAGGAAAGTGGATGCAGGTATGTGTTTTCCGACTTTGAAAAACTCCGTTTATTTGCCCTTTGTCCTTGTTTGCAGCTAAAAGGTTTAAAAGTATTCATTATTCGTCCTCCTTGCGTAACGCAATGCATCTTCTGGATTTTCGTTATTCAAGAGATGTAAAACTTGCAAAGTTGTATTAGGCAGTCGTAACGAAATAAATAATGCATTATTAAAAAATATTCCTTACTGACCTCAAAACCTCCCTGACGGTTTTAAAGAGTATGTTGATTTCAGTTAAGAAGATGAGATGTGACTTTCATAACTAGATGAAATTAACCAAATTGTATAGTATAGTAGTAAAATACTATACATGCTTTTTTGCATAAGCTTTGATTCGATATGGCTTGAGTTTTTCAAATGACGAAACGCATTGTATTTTTTCTAAGTAGAGAGTTTGGAACTGGGGTTTAGGGGTGTGCATGTTTTTTTGAGTTTAGGTAAAAGTATAGTCGACAAATGCTTCATTCATATTCGTAAGTATTTCCTGTGGAGTGACATCACACAAACAATAGACACCAATGATACACTACACCCATTTTAGTTGTATCTAGATTAGTTTAGTTACGTCTTTAGTTGGTGCTTAGAAATAACATATAATTATTTAGTAGCTTTCCCAACTTTAGACACGAGCCAGTATTCAGTATTCTGGCTATATCCTGCAACCTCCAGGTTTTGTACGCATGAATCAGAGCCTACCTGCTATAGCAGATCATCCTTTTTATGAATTCCTGATTCAACTAAATTTGGGAAAGTTGGGTCAAATACGTAGTGATCACTTAACAGTATTGGTACCTTCAACCGTATTTATAAATAGTAGTTTAACATTCTTGATTTAGCATATAACATCTTTTGGTGTTTTGATAATATAGAAATATTTTGTACAGTGAGAATACTGATTTAGTTGATGAACCCATTTTATGAGTATGTCTCTCATGCATGTTACCTAGGTACATATATTTTCAAGTGATAGCTACGGCTACCAAAACAGTAATGGTGACCATAGCTTAAACTCCTCCAATAGAAATGCTGATTAACTATATCAGAATACCTAGACTGTGTCATTGTCCTCGAATAGTAAATAGTTGGCTTGAAATTACGTAATCGTTTTACTCAAAGGAAAACCAGAGTAGTACTGCTATCTTGTATATTCTAATGACGTCATACAGTACAATTTCTACTATCGGAAAATGTCAGTCTATCGTACCCATAGTACGTGCAAAAAATAATCCAGAATTCGAACTGATTCTATAGAGATGGCTGTTAAACGGATTAGAGGACCTATTCCTAACATCTGAAGGTTTAAAATTTGGCGACACAAAAATATCTGGATAATAAGTAATCCAAGACAAAGCATGTTTCATTGCGATTCATTCTTTTGCTGTTTGACGTGTGTCATGCAACCGTTTAATAAAAATGATCCATCTTGTCAATTTATGAAGCCTTCTGATAGAGCCTGAGATAATAGAGAATTATTGAACCACTCCATACAATCAGGCACTGATGGGGAGAGACAGCATTTTGACGACTGTGCCTTCAGCTAATGTGATGAGAAAATACGTTAATTGATTTTTTTTAGACATAGCACTAAGTATCGTATGTTGCTCAGTAACAGCTGTCAGCTCATCAATTTTTATAAATTGTTTACCTTATACCGAGCTGTCACAAATAGCACAAACCGCCGCCAGAAGTTTCAAAATCAAAATCATATGGCAAGATGGGTATCGAATAACCGGAACCATCCAAAACAATTGACATTATTTTATTTAACTTCAGTCGCCACGAAGGCCTAAACAATTATGGAGTACCGCGGGGCCATAGGGGGATACAGGGAAAAGGGGGGGACGCCACAAGGGCTCTAGGGAAGGAACACGTATGTATCCAGCAGGCACACATTCTGGCCCCGCCTACGAGATCCGCCGGGTGGTACCTCCGCGTACGACAGTCAGAGACCGTCTACCGCCTACGCAGAATCACAACATCCATAGCCAAGAGAAAAATTTCTATTGCGACGGGATTCGGACCCTCGCATTGCACGGCGACTGATTAGGAGACGCTGCTACCCGAAAAAGTGAGGTTGACATTGTTGACCCCTGCGAATGATGTCAAAGTTGCCAATAATGTCCAATAAGGACTTGACTGCGCCAGTTCTTATTCCTCCCTAATTAGGGGCAGCCACTATTTCCATTAGTGTGTACATGTCAGCAGTGTCAAAATACTGTCTGCCACTAATAGTGCCTGATCGCATGAACTCTTCAATAATTCGTCATTAAATATCGATTATTCTTTTGTATATATACTCGTAGGCATAATATAGCAGTGTATTCAGATACTAAAATGTGAAAAAAATCCGTTGACGAATTATTTATTCCATAGTAATAGATAGTTCAGGATGCAGATTGTAATTGATTAAAATTATGATAAAACATATACATTTCTTAGTGGTCTAATAAAATAATTTTCTAAGTCCTAAACAGTTAGTTAGAAAAGTAGAACTCATCTCTATCTAAAGCTATCAAAATTTAAGATTGCTGGCACGTGCTTCCAAGCAAATAGTACGAATTCATTATGCAGAAGAAAGTTTGAACTTTTAAGTTCCTTTCACGGCCTAAAGCCTACCTGCAAGAGTGAAATTACCAATAAACTTGGATCATAGTATATTTTACAGAAGTATTAATCATCATCATTTTTATGAGAAATCTTAAATCTGAATACGTGTCGCTTTTTTTTCAATTATTATTATGTTATCTAGGTAGGCATTTCTTTTACCAAAAAACATCTCGTTGACTATTGCAGGAAAACTTCATCAACGTCGGTTTTCTACGGCTGTTTCGCGCTGCCAGACTGATTAAACTCTTAAGGCAGGGTTACACCATACGTATTTTACTGTGGACGTTTGTACAGAGCTTTAAAGCTTTGCCGTATGTATGCGGTTTGATAGCAATGCTGTTTTTTATCTACGCTATTATTGGAATGCAGGTTAGATCCCATTTTACGAAAAATGTTCAAGATAAATAAAAAAAGTAATCTCAATGCTTTTCTAATCGACTATAGAGTTATACATTTATTTGTATTAGAACGTGCTCAATATCTTGTATTTTTTGTAGGTTTTTGGAAACATTATGGAGCAGCCGACAGAATCAATAAATAGGCACAATAATTTTAGAAACTTTATACAGGGTCTTATGCTTCTATTCAGGTAGGTTTACCGAAGAGGTATATTTAGGTCTGTTTATCCAATGTTACAATGTTTTTTTAGATGTGCCACCGGTGAAAATTGGCCAAGTATTATGCTCTCGTGTGTGAAAGGAAAAAAATGTGATCCAAACTCTGGCAAAAAGGATGACGAATGCGGACATAATATAGCCTATGCCTACTTTGTATCTTTCATATTCTTCTGTTCATTTCTGGTAAGCTTTTCGTATAAGCATTTTGTAACTTCTGGTGCTTACCATTGATTTCATGACTCATAATATCTACTTATAATCTACTATCATTAATATTTACTAATGTCTACGCGGCGGATACGACTACAGTCATTACAGGCACGCTTTTACAAACATGACCCTCACACGTCCTCTTCACTCTGTACAAGGCCCAGAGAAGATCTAGCCTCGAATACTACTTATATCTTTCAGGTGCTCCTGCTCCTGATACATTATCTATACTCGATGATGTTCAGAGAAGGGCTGTCCGTCTGACCGATGACTCTTCTTTAACAGACAGTCTCGGGATCTTTTTGTGCTGGCGCCGACAGGCCCTAGGGTATAGAGGTTGTGGAACAATGTACATGAGGAGGCCTTTCCCAGTTCTACTAACCGTAGGACTGTCAAAAAATCGGATTAACAGAGCTTCATTAAACTCCTCATAGCAGTCGCGATACACTGAAATTTAGGCTTTTGCCTACGCGGCTGCTTTGGTGTAAAAAAATGAGATCAATGTTGATGGATGTTGTGTCAGTGATGGATATTTCCGCAGATTATTACATTTTTGAGACACATACTTGTTCTGGAGCCATGTTCATGTTACTGATGGCATCAGAGCTATGGAGCTAAGGTCATTAGAACTGAATGCCACTGTTACATATTCCCTATTTAGCCCCTACTTGCAATATTTGCCTTTACATTAATATTCATCGATGCATTAACAATATATGGTTAATGTTTTATAGATGCTGAATCTGTTCGTTGCTGTCATCATGGATAATTTCGATTACTTAACAAGAGATCCATCGATATTGGGCGCTCATCATTTAGATGAGTTCGTAAGGATATGGGCAGAATACGATCCGAATGCTACGTAAGTACAAAACTTACATTTTGAAAAAACACATGAGTATTGTTAGGCTGATGTTCATTAAGGGAATATTAAGGTCTTGAAATTAATATTCAGTATCATCATCGTTATTATACAGGATGTCCTGAAAGTTGGGTCTTTCCTTTTCAGAAACAAGTAACTACGTTTGAAGTAATGCGCGGTAAAATAGTAACAAAAATGTACAACAGAAATTGGAGAACAGTGCCCACTATTAATCAGTTTAGAGATTTTAAAGTGCTGCAGTTACACGTTTTGCTCGTAAATTCTATTTGAAGTTATTGGCATTCGACTCGAAAACAAATGTTTGTTAACTTACGAGGGTGGTTCAATAAGTACCCGTGTTTCACGACATAGGGCGTTCTTGAGGGAAGTTAATGTTATCATCGTGTGCTGCCATCTATCGAAAGACGGCAAAACAAATTTAAGTCTGATTGATAGGTAAGTTTGGATTTGGCAGCCATTCGAGTAACACGTGTTTCGTGATTTACGCTAAGATGGAAGAAGAGCAGTATCGTTGCGTAATTCGCTTTTTGTTTTTGGATGGGAAAAAATGCGAGCAGATAAAAGCAAAGTTGGGTGCTGTTCATGGCGACACTTCGCAATCCATGACAACAGTTAGATATTGGTTCAATGAATTTAAACGTGGACAAACCTCCGTTTTTGATGAGGATCGACCAGGACGCCCAGCAGACGTGGTTACCGAGGAAATCATTCAAAATGTCCACGACATGATTCTCGCTGATCGACGAACGAAAGTGCGCAAAGTAACAGAGGCGACCGGAACGGCAATCAATATTTTGCATGATAAGTTGGTTATGAAAAAATTGTCTGCTCGATGGGTGCCGCGATTGCTCACAGTGGACATCAAGCGGATGCGGCTGTTAACTTCGAAGCAGTGTTTGGAGCAATTTAAGCGAAATCCGAAGGAGTTCATGCATCGAGCTGTCACCGTCGATGAAACCTTGATTCATCATTACACACCAGAAACTAAGCAACAATCAAAATAATGGATTTCTCCTGGTAAATCTGCTTCAAAGAAGGCGAAGACGGTCCCATCGGCCAGAAACGTCATGGCGACAATTTTTTGGGATGCGAACGGCATCATCCACGTGGATTTTTTAGAAAAAGGCAGAACGATCACTGGACAATACTATAGTGAGTTAATGGACGGATTCGACAAAAAAGTGAAGGAGACACGGCCATCACGATAACGCACCAGCACATTCATCCGGAGTTGTCGCCGCCAAACTGCATGCATTGTGTTATGAAGTGATGCCGCACCCACCGTATTCATCCGATCTGGCCCCTGCGACTTTTTCTCGTTCCCTGACATGAAGAAACGGTTCGCAGGGAAAAAATTTAGCTCAAACGAGGAAGTCATCGCCGAGACAGGCGTATTTTGGAGAGTTCGGCAAATCCTATGTTTTGGGGGGATTAAGAGAATGGCAGCAAGGTTGACAAGAGTGTATCTTTCTAAAAGGTTATTATGTTGAAAAACAAAAAGAATTTTTGTGAAAAAAATGGTGACTTCATTTCAAACGCGGGTACTTATTGAACCGCCCTCATATTCCTAAATTTGCAGTAAACGTCAAAGAAAACGGTCTGAATGCAGTTGCGAAGGATTAGTAGAATCTTAAAGACACTCATCGTGAAGTAACATCAAATAATGTATGATTTACTTATTGCTACAGGAATGCTCCAACTTCGATTTTTTCAAATTCCACTTGTAATTGAGCAACTAGGTCAAGTAAGACACCACACGGCAAATGTCTTGGACACTAACACACATGTTACCTTTCACGTTGGTTGCAGAGCGGGGTTAGCCGATTCAGATTTTAACCTAGTATCGGTTATCTTAAAGCTTTGATGTATGTGCTATTATGAAAAATTTGCTTATTCCTGCATGACCTGTACGCTCTGTAAAAAAAAGCCCCAATTTTTCAGGGGGAAAATTCATTACACAGAAATGTACGACATGCTTAAAAACATGGATCCACCTCTGGGCTTTGGCAACAAATGTCCTAATAGATTAGCTTACAAGAAGTTGATTAGGATGAACATGCCAGTGGACGATGAAGGGAAAGTTAACTTCACCACGACGTTTTTTGCGTTGGTTAGGGAGAATCTTAACATCAAAATGAGGCCTGGTAAGTGCACATCACAAAGGAACTCGCTGTATAAAGCAACAAATATATCTTACCACTAGTATACAGACTATTAGTAAATATTATTTTGTCGCTATAAAAAATTTGCTATGCTAGACAGTGGCTGCATATCTTTTAATTGCAGCCGACGAGATGGACCAAGCAGATGAGGAACTCCGGGAAACGATAAAAATCATTTGGCCACTACAAGCCAAGAACATGGTGGACCTTTTGGTGCCTCCTGGTGGTCAACTTAACACTGGCAAGCTTACAGTTGGTAAAATCTATGCAGGTCTTCTAATATTGGAGAGTTGGAGGAGCACCAGGTTCGGACAGATTGAACCAACTGGAGCTCCGGTAAGCACAATCATACCTTTTTGCCAACATTTTTCTTTTCACATTCAACACAAAACTGAGAGAGCTACTATTTTTGGTGTTAAGAAACTCATACAAGAAATTTTTAAAACAGGGTACATTGCAAATTCGGTAACGCAGCATTTTTTTGAGATATGAATTATGAATTAATTAATTATTAATGAATTATGAATTAATTAAAATTAATTCATGTTGCCATTAGAAAAATCGAGGTGTCGAAAAAAATTGTGGACGATTTTTGAGCGGCTGGACTGAGAATAAGCAATATAATATACTATACAATCCATCCATAATTCAGTCTGCCTTTCTGTTTCGATGATTTTTTGAACTTTGATTATGCTCCCATCTATCGTACCGAATTTGCTTCCTACTTAATGAAGTATCCAAATAACAACGTTGGAGGAGGGATCAGGAACCTACTCATGTTAAACAGCATCATTGTAATTGTAGGATATTAATTTTGGAATTACGAGGGGTACTAGAAAATAAATCTACTTAGCCATGAAACAAAAGCCGTACGATATCTTTGACAATCTTATTTTTCCATATCAGTGCACTTGCGCCATTTTCCAACCAGTGAACTTATACTCTCATAAAAAACTTTTCCCCTGAGTTTCAAAAAAGTTCGCGATAGCTGCTTTTAGGCCACCATCTGAGTCAAAACGGCGTACTTGAAACTTTTCCTTTAGTAACCTAAACAGAGAAAAGTCAGACGGAGCCAAGTCGGGACCAAGGAGAGAATTGCCTGTCTCCATGAAGCTGCAGTCCTGCACAATTGACCTAATTTTATCATCAGTCGCAATATCATGCAGCAGAAGCATTGCTCAATTGGAAGTGGGGTCTTTTCTAATTGATTGCTCTACGTAAATTTTTCAGCATCTTCGCATAGATGTTCGTATTTGATGTTATCTCCTTTGGCATATATTCATTGCGAAGGATGCCGTGGATGTCCAAAAAACTGCTGCCATCAATTTTCCAGCAGAGTGTTGCGTCCGTGCCTTTTTAGAGGTGAGGATCGTTTACGAACCCGCTACGTGAATTCTGTTTTTGTGTCTCAATGTCGCCCGTCACAATTTATGCAGAATGTTTGGTTAAAGTTCCCAAATGAGTTTCTTGGAATTCCAACCTGCGCAATTTTCGTTCAGGTCTCAAGAATCATAGAGCCCACCTGGCTTACTCATATTTATATTGGCATGCAAGATGGTAGTTACGCTGAGTTTCGATATATTCACGTACCACAGCTTCAAATTTTTGAGTCATTTCAGCATTGCGTTTAAATTATTTTTTTCATAGCTAGGTAGATTTCTTTTCCAGTGTCCATCGTATATTACAAAAAACACTCCGATGATATTCATTATTAACGAATTATTGTTGAATCTGCTGATTTCCATGGAAATGTTCCTAAAATCCACAACCTTCCAAATTTAGCCCTAAAGAGTAAACAGTATGGATATACATAAACAGACACAAATAGCGCAGCTTGTCCAAAAAAGCAAGACACAAATTTTTATTAGAGTATAAATTTCTTTTTTCATATGATTTTTGTGGCCAATCAATGTTGAAGACATTTTTACGTGTGTATGTAGGTGTTGTACATATTTTTATAACCTTCACATCCTCAGCCCCTTTCGTTCAAATTCTCCTGTTTCGCAATAGATGTTTAATCAGTTTACTTAATTGTCGTTAATAGATGTTTTCAGTTTCTTCATAGAATGCTTTGAGTAGAAAGGGTTAATCTTGTTAAATATCAAATATTATGGTTTGGTTGGAACCAGATTTTAGGCGTTAGCCTTTTTCTGATGCCGTATGCGTGTTACCAGCAGTTCGGTGTAACACTTCCACAGATTTTAGCATTTTAGATGCAAAACTGATTGAGCAGATGTCGGTTAAATGATTCGCGTTAAGGAATAATTACTTGCTTTTATTTGTATAGATAGTTGTTCTCTTTTTGTTTCAAGTTGTTGTTTCAAGTCTACAGCACAAAGCCAACTTTATTGAAGATTTGTGTGATTTAAAATACCTCCGACTCTCAGTAAGATGTATGACATTAAACAGTGAGGACATTTTATGGCCCCTTGACACAATGATATTTCTACACAACAAAGCCTTATGGACACTTTTTTGTTTGAAAGATTCACAGCACCATAATTCGGAAATAGACAATATTTACTATTAAGACAGAGCTGCCCTTGACTTTCAGTAATACTAACAGTCTTTATCTGTGGTTCTCATTCCAGACGAACAAAAAACATAGACACATTTTTAGATACGTTTCTACCCAATACAAGTACCTCTGATGTTACAAGATGTAACACTTTCTTCTCAAAGCAATCATTTTTTTCTACGACCAAAAGTTACCATTCTTAGGACTTATGGTTGAAATGAAAATGATATATCTGTTGTATATGGAATAAAACTTCGGAGATTAAATTTAGATAATTCTCTTTGTGCGTTTTTTTCTGGTCATAGAAAAAAAATTGAATCTCTGTTAGTTTAGGAAATGGCTCATGTTGAAAACAATGACAGTAGTACATATACATATATATGGTTTGTTAAGTAGCACCTGATACCTTCACACTACCTAAACCTATATATATATAAAACACCTATTAAAAACACGAAAATAGAGGAGTTAAACTTATCGATGTTAAAATCACTTCTAATATTATAAATGTATCCAAATAGAGAAACCGTGGCGTAGATCATATACTCGTATATATATATATTAAGACTAAGTTCTCCTTAATAGCTCGTTTACCTATATGGTTTGAATTGTTTACCAAATTATTTGCGAATATCGTTCTCTGAATATATGTATATTGTTCTTAAAATATACTTGGTGCGATTTTTGTTATTGAACGTCATGGGAAGCTATTGAGAAATAAATGTGAAACAAATCCTTGTTGTACACTATAACTATTTCTAGTAGTAGAGCTGCCACTTTACTTTGAATCTACTCGTAATAAGCTAAAATATACAGTTTACTGTCTCAAGACAATATTTGGATATATTTTGTAGAAAAACCGTACTTGCACATTAGATAAAAAAATGCAAGGAGTAGTACAATATAACAGCTATACATTATTTTCAGGGATATGGCAACAGCCCTTCAGCAAATACCGCGGTAGTATATCATTATCCCACACTTTTTACTATTTCTTCACTATCTTTCATTTTACTAAGATCGCATACACTGCTAGTTACTTTTTAAAAACTGAAGGAGGCTTTCTAAGCGTTTAATTTATTTTTTCTTTCGCAATAAAAATATACGTCTGTACACAGACACCCAAACCACAAACCACAATACTCATAGATTTAGTTTCTCGATTCTTAGTCCCAGCTGAATATCAGTTTAAGCTCCACATAAAAGTCTGTATCGTATCCATCCCAAATATTTAGTGTCTACTGAATCCAAGACTTAGATCGTGAGCCTGTAAAAAATCGTTATTTAAGGGGGGTTGGTACATTCAACATCAAAATATCAGCATGCATAAATGAGACAAACTATTAGAATCCCTTCCATCAACACACACATACACACAAAACTGATTTACACAAATACATGTTTCACAACACCAAGTTGCAATCATCAAAAACGAAAAAATGTACTTTGATAGTGCATAAAAAAAAGCACAATACCTGTATCAATGCATATTGCTATAAAAGGTATAATCGTTATTCCTAATTTGAATTTGAATAATCAACTTGTATTATTTGTTGGACATGGTATTCAAAACAACGTAGCATACATGCTATCGTTTGATGGTATAGTAATTTTGATGATGAAACGCCAGCCACAGTTATGTATGTACTTTGGGATGTTCTAGACAAAACCTTTACAAAATTTAATTAGTCCCATTGACAAGCTTCTGCTACCCTTTTATCTGAGGAGTTCACAACAAATATTTTTAGTCAAATAAACTGGTACTTTTATTATACTGCCATCATTAATGCGTTTGCCTTCGCCAGTTTTTATGAAAGTAACTAGACAAAAACAGAAGCAATGTTTTCAAATTCTCATTCATAGTACAGTCCTGGTAGTAGACTTAGAACGTATCTTAGACTTTGGTTGACTGTATTAGACCGCCTTGTGCCTGTTGCAAGTAGTATGGGCTTAAAATGATTAGTAAAGTATATATTAGGCTAAACAAAAATGTTGGCAAAAATGTTTTTAGTATTCATCTTATCACAGTTCTTCTACGGGCTGCATTTTATGTGAAACATTTGGTCTAATTGGGCTTGAATTACTAATTCGCTACAATACTTCGTCAAATACCCACGATAAATCTGGTGCAAGTCAAATAGAGCACTAGAGTCAACCGAATGATAAATGTTGTGGTGATTCAATACACTGACAGTAACACATTTCTATTTCAGGTTCAATATTTAATTTTTTATTCTATACACCACCGATTGTGAGATTAGAAATCATCTTTGGCTTTTTTGCCTTCTTGATACTCAATATTTCATGTTCGTGTATTCAATTATATCAAGTATTATGTTGGACCTGGGATAGAGTTCTATACCATTAACCTTTTGTTTACTGTTCCGCAACCAACCTGTCTGTATTTTGTATTTTGTATTTAGCATTTATTGCATGCATTTGTATTACTAATGATTTTGCAATATATGCATCCTTCTTAACACCAAATTCACTGGGAGCAGCGTAAGGTTCATATTACGTTTACTTGCTAGGCAAATTAAAAAACTTTGGTGGTGAGTCAGGTACTCTATTTAATGTTGATTATAAACTAATCTTTCAAGCTTTGTATATAATCTGTAATAAGTGAAGCTTTAAACTGATATTTTTTGAATTGGCTCAATGAGTATCTCGCGGTAATTTAATTGGAAATATACTTTTGACGTTGTAAAAAAATTGAATCAAATTACGCATGGTCCAGATTATTGTATTGCGCATTCTCAATTGTTTGTTCTATCTATAGCTATGATTGATATTATCATTGTTACTATGGACATAGCAAACAATATATGTGCAAAATATTAATGCATTATCTTGGAGTACCTCTCGTATCATGGCATGATGGATCGCTAAATATTAAGTTCATGTTTATCATACAATGATAATAGATTAACGATGGTTTTTGTTTCTTTAGATATTTAAGGCAGGGGTAAGAAACGTATATTGTTCAAATTATTTTTAGTTCAGATTTTGCATGTAGAAGTAACGTCATAGTCATGTGGGTCGCAGGAAATCCTGGATAGCCTATAGATTAAAATAGTGGAATACATTTTCTGTATTCCCTACACTGTGATTGCTCATCTGTGGAAAATAATTAAGGGTTAATCTAAGATTTTCATTACCCTGGCCAGACATCGAGAATAAAGGTACTTCAAGTTACTAAAATATCAGTAGATGGACCATACAATTATTGAATTGCTCTGATGACAGCTTGAGTAACTACGTCTGTAGGTTTTGCAAGGTGCACTTTCTTTTTATATCTGCATGAGAATGTTTACAGTTCTGACTTTTAACATTACTCTTAAATTTACATAAATAGTTTCAATTTTTTCACTTGGCCACACATTTAAACTACAGACTTCATTAGGGTGACGAATAATATACACACATGATTTTCCATTTCAAATTCAATTTACTTAAGTCATTCTAATGTTGTCTAACCTCGACTCACGCATTACAAGTACTTGGTAGCACGGTACATAGTAAGCTCATCTTTTAGCTAGTTGATCCATAACTACTACAAGTTGAAAGTAAGGGTCTTAGCTAACCAGATAAATATCGCTAATAAAAAGATAAAACTTTAGATGAAGTCGTTGTTAGTATGCAGTTATGGTGAATTTACATATTGAGAGTGGTTTGTTTTGTAATATTTTTTCAAGTTCTAGTGATGTAGATGATTCAGCTTTCATGATTAATATTGTTATAAGTATTCATGTAACTGGTAGCCGGGCCTTTGCAATATTTAAGTACTTATATGCACAGTTGATTTCAACAACTCATAGACACCATGATACAGACCACTCTCAGAGTAACAATACCATACAAGCCAAACGAACATTAGCTAAAATAAGAACCGAACTCCAAACTCTTATACAAAAAATGCAAATGCGACCGAGTTAAACGCAGAGCAAGTATGTCGATGACAATCTGCCCTCTGCAACAGAAGGCGTCGTTTTTCGACTGCCTTATGGACGTGGCAGCTGGGCAGCTTGGCGGGGCGGCGGCGGGCAGCCGGGCGGGCAGCCTCAGTCTCGAGGGGACGCCCTTGATGGGTGGTCAAGCTGATAGGGCGGCAGCTGCCAGCGAAGATGCGAGGCATGCGCTAGCGCCCCCTGACGCCGAAGGCTCACACTCGCTCATGGTCAAGTTGGCAAGGAGGAACACTAAGCGGAACCGCTCTCTTAGGTAAGAAGTAAACCTCGCAACAGTTGTGCAATTAGACCAAATAAAGTGGGAATAAGGAAGTGCATAATTTGATGTAACATTGCAAATCACATCAAACCCGACATACCACAAGCCTTAGTTTGAAGTTCACAGCTAACCTTATCACTGACCATAGGACAGAACTTTCAGAAGTGGCAATTGTAATACATCATATTAGCCTAACGCTACACGTCCAATATATATATACAGTTGCTGGCATCTACCAAGATTTACTCCCGGCAGGCATATCTTCTAACCCTGAAAGTGAAAGCCAATAGAAACGCTCGAGGTGGTGCAGGGTTGCACTCAATGTCATGTTATTGTGTCACTTGGCAGTGACGTGCTTTAAAATTTATCACGTTGATAAAATAAATTTGAGAAAGTATCTTCAAGCAATCTGCTTAATTAAAAAAAAAACATTAGTTTTGTTTGCGCTTACGTCCATAATGAAACACTTGTATCCGCTATATTTATTACTTATATTTTTTCATGTACGAGTATATTATTATTAGATACATATGTAAAAAGTAGTGTTGCGGCGATTACCCACAACAGAATTATTACGGATCAATCAAAAAACCATTTATAGAAGTCCGCAGCTTAATATAAGAACATTAAAAAAGGTCAGGATAGCTTAAAAGCCTAATGCTTACCTAAATATATACAAAACACGAATATACATATCTGATAGGACATTCACCTTTAAACTGCAAAATATAGAATGTAAATCATTATCCTACTTGCAAACGGATGCTACATTTTTTTAGGAGGCTAAGGATTCGCTATCTTCCTCATCAGTATCACTATCGCTGTCATCAATCCCGATGTTAATAATAAACTCTTCAGATGCGGCGTCTACTTTATGTTCCCGTCCAGATATTCCGTTTACAATTTTGATGACATGATCACATCGTTTCTTCCAATGATCTGGTGCTATCTTTGAAAATTCCTCCTCCGCTATTCGCTATGCATCATTTAAAGTATATGTGATATTTCGATCGGCAACTCTGTGGTTCACTGTAGCCCATATCAATTCAATAGGATTTAAATCGGGACGATATGGAGGTAGTCGTATAACTGTCTGTCCATGCATGCGTAAAAGTATGTCATATTTATACTGTATGAATTGTTGCTCATTTTGCTTTATCAATTCATAAATTTGTGGTTTCAGCATAGCCGGTGTGAATCTAATATTTTTAGATACAAGTCATTCAACCGTTACTTGCTTTCGAGCGTTGGTGCAGGATCCACTTGTATATTGTGATAAGGTCTACTACTATCAGTAACTATCACAGAAGTTGGTGGCAAATTTGGAACAAGCTGCTGCTTTAACCATTTCTCGTAATTTGAGCTATTCATCTCGTCATGATAATCTCCGCTTTTTTACCTGATTGAAAAATTAATAAACCGTCATTTATGAAGCCGTCAGAACTACCTACATGGATCATAATTAGCCGCTTTCCTTTGGATATTACTTACTACCGTCAACCCAACTTTTAGCCCTAATCTGTCCGGCATGTATGTAGGACTCATCTAGGTATATAATTTTGCGGCCTTGTTCTGGGAAGTATGTACTTGATTTCCTGTAGATAGCTGATTCTTAGTTGACGAATGTCCCATTTTTCAATGAGTAGTTTTCTATTATTCTGTATTTTTTTCCATTTGAAGCCGAGTCGTTTAACAATTCTTCTCAAAGATCTTTCGCAACCATCTCAATCGAAATCTTCTTCTAATTTCTAAATGGAAATTATAGATAATGTTTCTTATATCTGCAGTAGTGGAATTCTCGTTTGATCGATCTGTCACGGGAAATTTGCGCTTTCGTGCAGTACTAATTTCACTAGAAAACGCTGCTAGTTCTTGTCCATCACTTCCGGCGTCCTTAACCTTTTTAACAATGCGAGTAATACTGGCAATTGATACTCCTGATGCTTTAGCTACTTCAGCTTTACTCTCTGCCATATTTTGGGAACCGTCACTGCCACTTTTCAAATTGAGGATGTATTGGTATACATTGACCAACTCACTCACCTGGATGGGCAAAACTTTATTTCTACCCAGATTAATCGTAGTAGAAATATTACCACTATTCTATAAACCAGACGTGCGCTTTAACTTTAGCTGTGAGCGAGTCGGTACTCGGTACGCTACTGGAATAAAGGCGGACGGAATACCATGCAGTATTGCCTCCGTTTCGTGGGAGCAGCTTGTTACTGCGCACCATGTGACCTAGTCTTGGTAGGTGCCGGCAACTATACAGGGTGACTTCGAAGTTGAGTCGTTTATATTAACAGCGAGTAGATCTGATCAAAAGAAATTAAAGTAACAAAGTTATAGCCCTTTAGAAGTTTGAGTACCGCCCTGTCTCAATAATAATATTATATGCTCGTGTTTGGCAACAACGGAAATACTCCGCCTTATCGGTTCATCGCATCGGAAACAAAAAAGCGACAGAATTTGAAACGCTGATCACGATGCTTTTATTCAGTCAATGTGTCAGTCGGTAACGCGTGAGTGAATAGTGGTGCTTGCTGCGTGGCTCAAACGAAATAAAAAATGGCACATATTTATGCGGATCGGTTTCCCAATCGAGTGCAACCAATCCCTCGTGCCTTTGTTAATGTAGTACAACGGGCTCGTGAATCAGGTGACTTAAGACATCACAGGGGAGGGCATGCCGGTGCTCCAAGACCTCACGATCAAATACAGGTCCGCACTGAAATACTTGTCGGGAGGATACTTTATAAAACAAGGTAAACATTTTTTTTTTAATTTTTTTTTATTTTTACACACATATTTCGGTTTATCTTCCTTCTACAATCATTATCTGAAAATTAATGACTCAACTTCAAAGTCACCCTGTATATAGTAATCCTCATCCTTATTACGAAACTACAACGGTAACTGTCAGTTTGTAATTGCTTACATCAAATTGCGGTTTCTTGTGTGAGGTTGCGATTTTCGAAAACTCATTCCGCGTACTATCAGTGGAACACACTTGGCTTGCGTTATGCCTACTTTGAGACTGCGACACTGCTTAGAGATGCCACCTGCTTTGATGATCCTAAGAACCTTTTCCGGCCCATCGACAGTATTGTTACCTCTCGTACGCCGTAGTCAATGCACAAATAGCAGTAATACTCGGTCATATATCCGACGAGTCGCCTGCAGCCCACAAACTACGTTAGCGGAATGCAATACTTTAGGCAAATATCAACAAAACGGCAGTTGCGCCATTCCTCAACAGGTGAAGCTCAATACGTGTGGATTGTCTGAGCACTGTCAGAATATGATTTAAACGTAATAGTGAAACGTGATATTTGTTGAACGTTGAACATGTAGCAGATACTATTGATGGGTGTCAATATTTATTGATGTGAAAGGATAAATAATCCATTGATACTGACCGAAGCATCAATACGTATTGTCAATGCGAATGACAATGAATATTGAACATGTAGAATTCGCCAGTGTAGCATTTGAATTTGTAAGAAGACAAAGGAAAATCAATGGTAGATCAAATTAATAGAAGACTGTACTCCTCACGCAATTTTTTTTCGTTCGATTCGCCGATTTCCATAATTTCACTAATTGAATATAGTCGCGTACCGTCAAACCTAAGCTGTATTACATACATATGAAAATCGTAGCTTTTGAAATTCCATGTTGACTTAGATTTTTGCGACTTGTCTAATAATGCAGTTTAATGATATGATGCCTAATCTTAATTATTCTGTTTGTTGCAGGAGCAAAAAGGTGAAAACAATACACATTTGGTGGTAAACTATAAATAATGTCTTAGATCTAGTCGTGTTAGGTTATATATGTGTATATCTACGTTAATATATGCATATATAAATAAACGGACCATATGAATATAACATACATATAATTTGCTAGAAACCAGATATAAATGTTGAATGTTCGTTTTTACAGATCCAGAAATATGATGTTATAGTCTTAGAAAACTTCTAGAAGGTATAAATAGCAACTAGTTCGGAGTTCTTTAGTAACAAACAAGTACCAACAAGTATTAAGATAGAGTTTTGTCTTTTTAGTACCCATTTATTCTACCTTTTTACATTCTACAGTACATCTGCATGTCACATTTAATGATATGTACATAACAGTCATCATATTTGACGCACATACTAAAAACTGTCGAACAATCCGGTACATGTGGCCTAGAATTTTCCCAGTTCTGCTTGAATTCATGGCAGTTTTGTATTATACCATATAGTGATAGTAACAGTCCATTTTATTTATTCGGCTCTTATTGAGCTATAATACTTATACTATTAATACTTTGAGATGAACGACAATCAAAAAGATGATTCTGTTAGCCCTTGGATGTATCTTGAGCATATTTAGCAAGCTGTGAGAAACTGAAAATCTAAAGCTATATGTATCAGATTGTTCTAAGATTTTACAAAATTCTGTACATTTTGTGTAATTGGCGATCGCAATTGGGAAATATCTTCTGGAACCTGTATCAATCAAGTTAAATCTGGTGACAAAGTGTTAAACTTAACACAGATTCACCATAACTGAGACTAGTATACATATTTTATTTAATTACTTCGTATGGTAGCAACTTAAGTAGTTATATACACAAAGCGATCTGTGAGGTATATTGCTTATTCATAGTTCACTGAATCTGTTAAAGCACCTTTTAGATTACTTTTAGTAGATGACGAGATGAGAAACTATGATCGCTTTGTTTATATAGGGTAAACAGTATTTAGCACAGTTTGCATGGGTTCTTTTTTCTATTCTTCTGCATGACCTTCTAACTATATTAGTCAGAGTAGATCAGGTACTGTCCTATTAATGAGACCGATAGCTTAGCAGTCACTTTTCATTCATTAATTTTTGATAGATGTATTAGTCTATAGTGAAATTAGCCAAACATTGGGCCAATCAGTTTACGAAAGTTACACGTGGAAAAATTGCAATTGATCATGAGCATTCGTGATTCGATTTCAGTTCAAAGTTGATAACACTGAGTCGGTCTCGGAGTATAATGCATCTTAAAGAATATTGTACAATCAATTCTTATGTTCTAAATGGATTTGAATTGCAATTTTATTCAATCGAATTTGTAGTGTTTTTAAATTATGCCTTTAAAGTTGGATATTACGGTATTAAACATATACGCTGCAATACAATGACTATACAAGATTGCTCTCTCGAGAACAGCCTGAACGTTCAAAATTGGTCAATTTAATTTAAAATCACGTCACCGTGCTGCAATGCAACCGGATTCCTGTACACTTATATGGACCAGGGAATCATTATCTATTTCGACCTGATATTTTGAAGACACACAACTAAAATATGGATATACACATGCCCATTTTTTGATTCATTGACAACAGCAACATCTAAAAAATAGACTGATGTCAAGGTATATTATTTTAGACTAAGTTTGAGCCAGGATAGTTCTCGAGGCGCTTTGATATATATGTACCAAAGTCGTTGCTTCAACAAACAAACAAAAAATACATTGTTTCGATCATAAAAAAATTGATTGACCTACTTTCATAGTCAAAGCGCTCTCCCTTGGCTAATAATTGACTTGACTTAGGTGATGGAGATGCAAGATGTGCTGGGCTCCCGAAGACCGTCCTGTGACAGCATGGGAGACCAACATCTCCATCCTAGTGGTTATAACAATACCACTCATCATCGTAGAAGTCCCAGTTTAAGGTAACGATCTCAAATCTGGCACTCATGGACAATTGGCCCTTAATTATTACAATATACAAAATATTTGATACTCTCCGAAGTTAGAACGTGTTGTTAATCACTAGTGTTCATAGTAGCATAACAGTAATGACGGAAACTTGGTTTCATTTACATCCAGACTTCTTGTCAGTTTTCAGCAGAGGTTACTAATGGAACTAGTAAGGTACACATTTCAATGCTGAGCTTAACTTTTTAAGTTTCCTATTATCTGTTCACATCTTACTACAACCTTGTTTTTTTAAGGCGTAATTCTCCATCTCTTCAAAGAAGTCCAAGTCCTAGGAAAAGGTATCCTCACCATCTGCATCATGACATCGGATTTTCCGATACCGTTTCAAATGTGGTGGAGATTGTGAAGTATGAACATCAAAGGGCATCGCAAAGAAGCAGATTTCCAAGAGGTAAGTTTACAATATAAAATGTCAACATCAACTAGGACCGTGCGATTTGAAGTATATAGGGCCCTGCGATTCAATATATTTGTAAATCTGCCTGTTTACGAATCTCATTAAACGAAAAACTCGATTGAGAAATGAGGTATTGATAATATTTTATCAGCTAGTTTAGAGTTGTATCCATGACTTCTATGTGCAAGGCTAGTGCTAAACAATTATACTCGTATTTTACTGAAAATTAAGAACTAGGTGATATTCCAGAAGCTAAATCAAAGCTAAATGTTTAACTGCAGCTGATTGAAAAGATATAGTGCTTTGTAAATATTCCTTCTATGATGAACGGTTTATATCGGTTATCCTTGAAGTCGCTACCAGTGTCCTTGATCTAGGTCTTTTTTATCTAACATTGTTAGATGGAAATCATATATTGTTATATGTTTGATAGCCAAAAAGCATCAGAACTATAAGGAACTATCGCTACTATCAGTTAAAGGTACTAAAGGTAGGTAACGGTTAAGGTTATATTCCCTTTTTGTCAAAGTATCTATTGGATTTTTACTTCTATCATCCGAAATCATGAGCTGCTGGTCCTGTATTGTTTGAGAGCAACTTGTACATAATCCGAGATCAAGTTTTGGTGAAACTAGTTAAATAATGTAGTAATTGTGTATTATGTATAAAAACTACCAAAGTCAAATTGGACAATTTAGCTCAAAATCAGCATGAAAATAAGGTAATTTGACTAAGAAGGGTCATCTTAACAAATATTTATATTCCCTTTATTTAGAGGGCAAATTAAACAAACTCATTATCACTTTGTTTTATTATGTAACGTATTAGACGTTTATTTTGTTGCAAAGCTAATCAATCTTTAGTGAAATTAAGTTGTCCAAATAAAAATGATCCTTTTCAAAATGAAACATTAAATACTCACAATAATATACCAGTATTTTCATAAAAATACTTAACGAACATTACTTGAGGACTTGAAAACTAAAAATTTATTCGAGAAAATGCTCAAAAAATAATTTTAGTGAGCTATACGTCGATATCAGATAAGCCGTCAGTAACCTTAATAATGAAATAAACCAAATTAAACCGATCAAAATGGCTTCCTTATGGTTCCATCCTTTAAGGTCACAATATTCCAGATCGTTTTAAGAATATGCAATACAGTAAACATTGAGGTGATATAATTTAAAAGCTGGTAGAATATATCCAAATTTACCCTTAAACTAAAAACGAAGTGATGATACTTTCGTGGTTCCTAGATGTTCCCAATGCGCTTTAGCAAGGCAACCGTCCATTGGCTTTCCTAGAACCTAGACCGATAGTTTTACTAAAATGGAAGTAAAATAATAATTTAGTACCGTAGAAAATATTAATACTATAGTGAAAAAATATAGTAAATAATGGTTTCTATACTTGAAAACTTGCGTTTTGCTGTGAGTACGTATTACAATTTTAAAATCGACAAAGGAGATACATCATTGACATCATTGACTTTTCAATAATTGGTCTCACATAGAGCATGGTCTTACATGGTCTTCCCATCTTAGTAGTAGCGAATGTTTTATATGTATTCGTATTAGTTTAATATCATGAAATGCAAATACTAAAAAGCAAATGTCAGGTACTTTGAAAAAGTTTTGAATAAGATCATTTTTGGTGGCCTAGCACATTCATTCCTCATACCCTCATATGATTTTCTTCAATTAGTAAAATTCTGAATCATCTTCTTTATCACTGGGTATTATTGGTATGTTGGAGCACTGGTGATATCTAGAATCTTTAACATAAAATAGCGTATCCTCAAATACTCAACGGTTATTTGACTTTGGTAGTTTTTCAGTAGAGCCTCTTATACACATAACTTATCGATGGAGAAAGGCTCCTATTGATTCGATCCCATATATGATTTTTCCTTGCTTTTGTCCTTGTAGTTGGTAGGATTTAGATAGGAATAGTTATAGCTCCTGACCTGTGTTGCTTTGCAAGACTTTCCATCACATCCTACCCCAAATATTTTGAAATTTTTGCTTCATAGTGAGGTGTTTGATAATGCTAATATCACAGCGTTTCTAATTCAATACAACAACGAAACTCCTTGGAGATTACGTTGATTTTTTGGGTAGTATTGACCATGAGAGTATGGCACACGCTACGAGACGCTGCCATGTGTAATTACATGCGGCGTGGTTGCCGTTGCGTACTCATGTGCGGTGTATACGTCATCATTAGTTGTATTTTATTAGATATGCTGTGCCGACGTCTTGATTTCAACTTGTGTACCAAGTTTATAAATTTTAGTCATTGAAGTTCATGCTGATCCTGTCTTATGGATGTAATATATATGCACAGTGATTTTAAAGACAATGGCAATATTCCTAGAGCAGAACGTAAGTCCAAAAATAACAAAAAAAGTTCCTTTCAATATATTTTCTAAAATGTCCCAGTACCTAGAGAAATGATGTTCAAAATTTTGTACACCACTGATGAAACTGATTTAGGTCAAGACTAGTATATTATTTAAACACTACATACAATTTTTGTTGTCACACTTTCAAACTGCAGCGTATTTTCAAAGTCGAGTGGGTTGAAGATCTTTATACGGATCTCACCTCAAATGTTCAAACCGTCCTCCTTCTCAAGAAAGACGATTGACGTGAAGATAAATGCCTTGTTCAAATAAGCGATGGATATTCCAAAAAAGACAGTGGCGCTGGAAATAATGTTTATCTGCCTTCATAAATTTCTAGGCCATCGATGCAGCATCTTAATATACTCCTAAGGTGTTTCGCGATTATAACTTCAACCCATGTTTATATGAACCTTTTGTGCTACTTTTGACCTACGTTATGTCCTAGAAGTACTACCACTGTTTTGTGAATCACGCTGTATAGCTACATTTTTTAAACTGACATACAGCAGATACCGACAACTTGTTAATTTTGATACGGTGAAAAGTATTTGTTGTTTTTTGTGGTAAAATTTTTACAAGCTGCAATGTCTAGACTCATCAGAGTTCATGTAAGGCAGACATATCCTTATCTGGATGCCACTGCTTTTTTGGCGCTATACGCCTATATGTAAAAAAATACGAAAACGCTTGAAAACGTGAAAGGTTCTAAATGCAGTGAATGTGGAAGGCTTCGTGTTTCAACTATACATTTTATTTGATAAAGATATAAGGTTATTTCCATGTTACTAATACATCTTCTGATATACGGCATTCCCAGGATCATGGTCTGCAAGCACCAGTCCTGCACGATCTCCATCTCCAACCGGCGGTAACGGGAATCGGTACTATGCTCGGTACGATGCTGGTGGTACGCGATCGTCTCGACGGCACGACTACGGTACGACCAGCCTGTGTCAAAGATCAAGGTCACCAAGTCCAACCTTGCCAGCTTCGTCCGGTGGTGGGACGTCTAGGTCGCAGAGTCATCATCACCATCATCAACACTCTTCGTCTAATACTAGTAAGATACATCAAATAACTGCACTATAATCTCGCAACTTTTGACATGTAATACATAGTTGTCATCCAAGATTACGACACTTAGACCTCTCTGACCCATTGTATGGTAACCTTTGGTATTTCTCAGGTTTGCATCTTCTATAGTTTCAAACTAGTAAACGGGGCAGAAATCAACCAAGTGAAGTTTCTCTTTAACCAGAGACCAACTCAATAGTATACTTACTATTATAGAGATTCTTTCTTAGGTTTCACGCTGTGAGCGATAGCGCTAATAGCCAAATATTACCAATATTTTTGCCTTCTCAGTAGGATAAGCAGGGAATTTATTAGTGAATGCGCTCCTTCAATACAGTTGAACAAGGAGATTCTTGGTTTAGGTTCAAGAATTGAGGAGCTTCCTAGTAACATTTGCGTTGCAGTACCTTTCACTCAGACAACTACACTGACAAGTGGTAAATGAGTATCTAATCTCCGGGAGTCATGTCGGATTTGTGACAGTGATATTATTTGGTGGAATTTTGTATTTTACAAAATTGTTTCTTCCAGGTTGGCAACAGCAACATTACGTGCAACACAGTCATCCAATGCTGTCAAACAATAGTGGAGGACGAAGAGGCCAAGGTAGAAGGTTACCACCAACACCTTGTAAACCATCCACCCTTCAGTTGCGACCAGGTCCCATCAACTTTCCAAAGTTAAATGCCTCTCCGACTCACGTAAGTATCTGGTTAATATTAATCAACTTGACCGAAAAATCAAACACTCTTTCCAATGCTGGTCAAACGTTTTTCCTTATTCTAGCAAATTTGTACATTTCACTGTTTCTTTGCCATCTGGCATATTCTATCTGTACTACTTTGACAACTGTTTTGCATCACTTAGACTTTCCAGGTCTTTCAGTTATAATTCAAAGAGTTTTATGCTTTTCGCTTATCCGTACAACTTTTACTATTTCGTTCTTGCCTTCGACCCATACTTTATTAGGTTTACAAAATCTCAAGCCACTCATATTTGAAGTTTTCTGTGAAAATCGTGTTTTTGGGCAGGCGAACTTCTAGTTCAACAGAGAGGGGTTAATGTTGGAATTAAAACTAATAATATTAGACTAAATTTTTAAATTACATCAAATTATCACCTATATATTTCGATTTCCTATTGAAGTTAGTCAATATTTTTATTTATTATCGAACATTACTTAATAACTTGACCTTGACCACGTCTTTACATAACTTCAGAGACTTCAATAAGTATTAAAAAATACTTTCAATTTTTATATTCTCTAAATGTCAAGAAATTTCAAAAACTGGTATGTTTTTTTCGTTATCTTCACAACTTTTTTTCGTTATAGCCTTTGTCACCCTCCTTTACTAGGTTTCCATAATTTCATGTTTGCAATTTTGGGAAGAAATGGTTGTTTTTTTAGAGGCGAACTTGTAGGTGAGCAGAGATGGGTTATAGGGTTAGAATGGGAACTAATAAAATTAGAGAACATGTTAGGATTACTTTAAAACGGTTAAGTGGTCGACGATAATGTAACTCCAGTGGTACAATTATTGCATTATTTTCAGTACCACCAACAAGGCGGAGCTCAGCAACACCTCCACATGCACCAATCTGGCGGACATTCGGTGCAACCTCATTCTGTCCACGGCACTCCACATTCCGCGTATAGAGTGACAGCTAGGGACACAGTGGCGACTACCAAAGAGGTGGTGGTAGTACCTTTGCCTTCGAATCCTGCATCAGGTATGATAGAAGGCAACGTTTCGACTACTGATGGGTCTGCGCCTCTGAGTTTTGAGCAGGCTATGGCTATGGGGAGGGGAGGCAGGGTGCTGCCAAGTCCTGTTCCTAACGGGTAAGTGCCAGTTTTGATTCGCTGATTTGAAACTTTCCACGCCTACTGACAAGGCAGTATTATAATTGATGGTATATGAATATGACATGAACCTCACTCATTTCCGTAGGTCTGTCTGTCGGTCTGTCCGCAAATCCTCGGTGCATCTATGACATGGAAATTCTGTTTGGATTTGGATAAAGTTTTTACACAAGGTGACCATGATGTTTGGGTCGAAACAGCTTTGTAATTTTCGAAAATCGCTAAAAATAAATAAAGAAATATAGCTTAAACCTCGTTTTTCGACGATTTAGGAATCAAAGTTTTAAAAAATTTTTTGGAGGTAAGAAATTGGGTGGTGGGGGTTGCAAGGCGGTGGGGGAGTATGTATAGCAATTTTTCTATGATAACCCCGGCAATTTTACGCACCTATGAGGCAACTCTTTTCATTAAAATCCCAAATGGTTCAATAATGTTTCTGACATAGCCTACATCTCTTTGATGCCATAGTGCTACATAGAAAATTGTACTAGAAATTGTTTCGTAGGTGTGGAAAGTATAGAGTCAATCTACTTGACGCCATTTTCATTTTTGTAGCTATGGGTGTTATTGTATTATGTTATAGTGTCAATAATGATGAATGTGTGCATACGTTTCACGAAAAGTTTTTCAAGATGGTGGGAGTGCTATCTGTACCTGTAAGAAGGACGTGCAATATTTCATTATTCAATATTAAAGTGGACTGATAAAGCGGTTTTGTTTTGCTTAGCTTTGAATTAGAAATCTGCTGTGTAGAAAGCTTTCTGCAAAAGATAAGAACTATTTTGTGTGTCCTTAATCGTAAAACCGAGTATGGTTATGGACTTGACATATTGTGTACCTATCTTTTTTTTATATATCCGAGTGGGACTCAACGTACTTTATTGGTGAATGAAAATTAAACTTGATATAGCGCTTTTCCATCACTCAAAGCTCATATTATGTTGCACTGGTGTGTGTGTGTGTGTGTGTGTGTGTGTCCTGCACATCCACCGTTTGGTCGCTAGATCTGAAATACAGATTAGTGGGAACATTCTGTGTATTAGTTACGCATATATCGGAGCTAGAATTTCTTTACAGAATAATCAATAAAAAAATCAAGATCACAGGACGTCAAGAATTTTGACCGAATGTTCGCACATTTTATTTGCTTTGTAAAATTACGTATCAAAAACGTATTCTATAACTTATAGGCAAGCAAATTAAAACTTCAAGAATTAACTAAAGTCGTTAAGGCCAAATGATGACAAGGCCTATCACTCCATCTTCGATGAAAGCATCATCGGTTAGTGTCGTAACGAAGTAGGATCTTGTTCTCTGAAGTGGCCTGAGTTTTGTGATATTTCCATCACTGCATCTGAGCTTATAAATTAGTCTGATACTTGTTCGTTGTAATACAGAAATGCACAAATTATTATATATTAATAGATAAATAGATAGACTCATCTTAAAGCGAATGACAGACAAATACACATACATTTCACTTGCTTAGTTGAGACTGACGGTGGCCAATCACAGTGATAGAAACGGATGCTACATGGACGTAGACATATGACTTATTTAATCTTAAAATACTTTGTACAGAAACTAGATCTTATTTTTTTAGAAACGTTTGTAGAGTCGTAGCACACACACACACACACAATGTTTACTGTGAGTTTCTAACGATTCACGACTTTTATCGTATTTTACCACATGGTGTGTATGATCAATATTACCTTCACTTTGTGTTGAATGGTGAGCTTACCCAAAATACAAGCTTACATTTTGAATATAAATCTTCTGTTGCTTCACTACCTTAAGCTGCACATTTAGTTTCCGTATAATACCAAAAGGTACGGCCTGTGCTCCACATTCTTAGCACATGCATTCAACATTCGTATGTCAGTAATATTTCTAGGAGTTTATTACCTCTAAAGAAAGACAACTCACGAGTGCTTCTGACCGAAACTTCAAATGTGCCTGCGGCTCCTAGTTGTATTAATCCAGTTGTGATGGGCATACGAGGTCTGAAAATTAAGTGATGGGACTGGCAACGTACAAGTTTGGACTCGCTCGAGTCATTTGGTTGTCTGTAATGATTTTTTTTTGTAAAACGGTTTTTCCTATTGACATCAATTTGGAGCAACGGTGTGCAATCAGTTTTTATTTAAGCCTTGGGTACAGAAACTCCATCTAAACTTCAGCAGGCCTACGGAGGTAGTGCGTTGTCAAGAGCCCAGGTTCTTAGGGGCATTTTCAGAAGGGAGATTGTTGATTAAATATGAATCTCGAAGCGGAAAGCTTCCATCTTCAAGAACGGATGTCAATAGAATCCGGAATCTTGTGTATTCAGATCGTCGGTTGGCAGTCAGAATGATCGGAGATACTTAAATTTGACACACACCGTCGTTGATCAGATAAAGAACAACTGAGTGTTGCATCACGATAATGCTCGTTACACAGCAACGTGAATAAGCGAGTTTTTGACCAGTAAAAACATTGCTCCTCATCCTCCTTATACGCCCGACTTGAGTCTTTGTGACTTTTTTCTCTTCATGAAGTTGAAAAATTGGGACAGTCGAAAACATTCGAACGTCTGTAATCGACCAGCTGCAACCTATTAAAATATAGGAGTTTCAGCACTTATGAGGAGTGGAAGAACCGTTTACAGCTCTGTGTGGCTTCAGGAAGAAGTTAGCTTGAGGGTTTCCATATAAAATTGTAATTAAATTTGAATAAGAAATTGAAATCTAGTCACTTAACAGACAGATCTTGTATGCTTTCACTTCGGTAGTTGAGATGCACGTCCATTTGGACCTAATAAAGCCAATAAGCAGAACCGCTCGAGTTATGAATCCTTTTATTTCTGCTCCAGTCACTTTATTGCGGACATGCCCGTGATTGCCCTTCGTTTTCTATTACCTATAACATGTTTTAACTGTCAGCCCTTTTTTAGGTACAAACCAAAACCACCAAGGTCTAGGCATTCCGATTCAGATGAAGACGACTGGTGCTAGCACATGCTTAATACTCTTTAAGAGTAATCAACTAGTGCTAAGTGGTATCGATACGGACCGTACGTAGAGAAAGTGACTCTTGAGTGAAACAAACAAAACTGTTATTCATCATATTGCTTAGTACATCTAGGAAAATTATGAGCTAAATATAAAAGCATAAATCGGCTTGAATGTTAACTATATTTGGAAGCTTTAATGGGAGCTGAGTTCAGAAAGCAATCGTATTCAGGAGTGTTGAAGTCTTGCAAACGACTTACGAAGATCTTTGAATTGAGCTCCTTGAAATATAATATTGAAAATGCATGCAAGTTGTGATTTTGGGTAGTGCTAATGAGCGTGATGCTGCATTCTCACAGTGCAAGAGGTATACAGGGCGTTTTAGAACTATGAGATCAAACCTGTAAGGGTTATTCAGTGTAACAGTAGAAAACATTTGACTATAGGGGCCCATATCCGGAAAAGTGTCACTACGGCACTACGACCCTAAGACGCGTTAAAATTTAGAAAGACGATGAATTGCCTAAATAGGATTTAATGCATTTAATTTTTGCCTTTTGTACATGATATCATCACAACAATTGTTCAAAATGTCTTCCTCCAACCTGAATACACCGTTCCTGTGGGGACGTGTAAAATCTTTGGTTTACGAAACTCCAGTAGAAACAGAGCAAGACTTAATTGGAAGAATTACAGCAGCATTTGAAATCATTCAAAACGAGTATCAAATGTGCGACGTTTAAATCGGTATATTCAGGTTGGAGGAAGACATTTTGAACTATTGTTGTGATGATATCATGTACAAAAGGCAAAAATTAAATGTATTAAATCCTATTTAGGCAATTCATCGTCATTCTAAATTTTAACGCGTCTTAGGGCCCTAGTGCCGTAGTGACACTTTTCCGCATCTGGGTCCCTATAGTTAAATGTTTTCTACTGAATAACCTCTAGACGTTTGACCCCTTGGATCTAAAACACCCTGTATAGCGTAGCACGCTTTTAATTTTGCTTCCGTGACACTTGGCTTGAAGGAGGAGTGAAACGTGAACCATCAACGATCGAGACCTGTTCACATGATCACGATTTACGATTCATTCCAGTCCAATCAGCATTATCCAGGAAGACTGGAAACAGCAGGGCAAACTGTCTAAGACACGTTGTATGAAGCCAATACTATCGGTAAGGTGGGCTTGGCTCTCGGAAGCTTACTGCGCGTAGAGCACCTGAGCACGTACTCATATAAAGATACGGGTGAAAAATGCCAACATAACCTGCTGCATGCTTTGTTTTCATCTAACGTATCCAATGGTTTACACTCGCCATACCAAGCTTTGGTTGTCTATTAATATTATCCAACATTTCTGCCTGCAACTCGCCCGAACTGTCGAAACTGGAGTTTTACGTTCACGACGAAAGCAGTAGAGAGATATAGTCATGAGAGAGATACCACATGCACAGAACCTGAAAAACATTTCTTACGCAATGACTGTGCAGATCCAGATGGTGATTACCATATGCTTCGATTGGCGTGTCCATGCCTGAAAATCAAACTTGTTTGATACCGAGCGCGAGCGTAAACTTGTCTCTTTTTCGATGACGCCAGAGGCAAACTCACTACATTTTACTTAAACGAAGGCAATTCCACGAAAGCAAGGTTCACGCTATCGTGCCACGCTCTGTGTAAACGTAGCATTATGAAATATTCATCTATTTCACAATTAGGATAAATATTTAATCCTGATTTCCTAAATCGTTAATCTGTCTGCTCATCGTCGGTTTAATCACTATGTAATTTTCAGGAATTGTATTATTTCACTTAAGTGAAAAGAAATTGCATTACCCGTAACCTGCATTTTAAGTGCAGTTCCTGATTTCTACTGAAAATGTGAAAAATTGAAAAATCGCTCGAAAGTTTTCAAATTTCTTACAAGAAACTTATAATTTAGTTTGAAATTGCCAACCTGAGAGTTCTGTGGGTGTTTGTTCAGCATAGAGTACGCCCAGAAGTATTACGAAAGTCACAGGATTGTACTTGTGTTTTCAGATAATGCCTTTCATGATTTTACAGGCTCTCTACCTATCCGTATTGTGATGTGAACGCTGTTTTAGGTAATATTGCTTTTTGTGATTGGTGCGTTTGTTATCCAAGTATAGGGTGGTTCAACATTTACTCTAATGTTTTCATGAGATTCTTGAGATCTCAAAAATGGTTAAAGAACGAGATTGTTTTTATATTCCCTTTTGCATTATCACTGAACGATTCTCCTAAGCGAGGTACTTGCGTAATATCCAGATCAGTCGTTCATAATTGAGCACTGAGGCGAATGAGCTGGTCTTAATAGCTGTAGTGCTTCGATAATGTTGATGATGATATGACATCTCGCCGAGAGCTGATACTTGACATTAAATGCCCGACGTGAATTGGCTTCTTTTAGTCTGAAGCATATTTTACTTATGAGAATACGCAACATTTGTATATTACATCACCAAAGGAATAACTTTGAAAAATGCCAAAAACACTTAAAATTTTCAAGTGCCCTGCGAGGTGCATTAGTTCAACAAAAACAGCTTTGAATTTTTATAAGTGATGTGCAACAAGGAAAAGTGGCATTCAAAAGCAGACACATTGTCAAAGTAACACCTGAAACTTGTCCTGGTGGTCTCGCTGATGAATATCCACGTTTCACTGGTCGCCAATGAAAACTAAAGATGTAGAATTGAAGATTATTTGACGTTTCGGTAACCTCTTTGAGAAAAGATCGAGCTGACTGAGTTGGCCGAAACGTCAGTAAACCTCTAATTATGAATCTGGTGGCCAGTAAAAAATGGAGATCTACAGGTTGGTAAGTAATGATTTGCGTAATATTAAAACTATTTCGATGACTTTCAAATAGCATAGAATAGCATAACGATTAGAAAATTATATGCTAATATTTGTATTCTGGATATGCAATTTAAGAAAAAACGTTGGTAAATCCGTTTATTTTGAATAACAAAAAGAGCGAGGAAGAAGGATGTGTAAAAATGCAATGTTTCATCAAATGGAAATGCGTTACATGAATCTGCATGTTTGTTTGTATGTTTCATGCGAAAGCGGGGCTTTATAACTTTACAGAAAACATTCTCATAATTTATCCGAAAAGTAAATATTGGACCGCCCGATACATATTTTTTCTAAATGTACTTTGCTCAGCTATTAAATTGGCCTTTCAGGAATTGAATAACATAATTCTTTGTGTCAGAGTGTTATACAAAGTTATCTAGCGGAATACGGACTTCATTATTCAAATTGAAACTTTTTTCATACTGCCAATAACTTATACATTATTATAGGTAATGGAGATATGCTGATCATTATGATGGTGAGATTAAATAATTTTTCGATTTATTAGTATAATCAGTAGTTCGGTCATTATTGCATATTATTCATGGGATTCTGATAAGGTCGAGTATTGGTTGGTCTTTATGCTACTTTTATGAACGTACATGCCAAAACATGGAGTTCTCATTTTGTTGGAATTAACTAAAGGAACTAACTCTAACCTTCGCGTAAAAATACCTGAGCTATTGCTTATCTCAGTGCATAAATATGAGTAAAATCATACTCGACATTATAACATCCAAATGCTTTGGTGGCTGAGCTGTTTTCAGAAGACGAACTTTCAGCCGAACCACGTATTTATGTTTGGGGCCAAAATATAAATAAAAAACGTTAGATTTTTTCAACCTAGTGTCCTAGAAAGCGGTTACCGTGCTCAAAGTTCGTTTTTACATTTCTAGCTCAATAGTTGGAGAACTTATCTTTGAGAGAAGCTATCACTGAACCTTCCTATATACACATACAATGGGACAACTAAACTCTAAGATGACCTTCAGAAGATAACAATGGTGATAATCGTATCAAAATTATCGTGTGCCATCTCGGGGGATTCCCTTGTGTAATCTGTTGGTGTCAATTGAAACGCGGGGGGGGGGGGGAGGGGGTGTATAACAACTTCGAGGAGATAAACCAGATAGACGAGTAGACGAGACACTATATTTGGATAGTGGGAAGAGGTCTTACTACTGTTGATGACTGACAATTGAAGAGCGGGGAGGGGAGTAAATCAATACCTGGGGGTAAAAAAGCTCGTTTGCAAAATTGTCGTACGTTCAGATATTATCGTACACGTAGTAACGTACCGTCGTATAGTACTCGAAATTATCGTACAAATACGAAAACTATCATGAGTCTGGCAATGCTTTCTTAAAAATCATTCTTATCATACCAGAAATTCGGTGATTTTGTTCCATTTCTCTCCATCTATTAAGCTAGGCCTCCTTTTACGCAAAATATTTCGATCCACATTGTACATAACTAACGTAACGTAACTCGTAGGTTTGGAATGTAAAGTATAAGTGTTGTTTATACCATTCAAAATGATGAAAATTTAACAAATGTAATAGTATTATTCCTGAGAGCGTAGGTTAGATTTTTTCTGGAAGGGGTATGTATATTTTCCAGAAATTCATGTATAAAGGAGCGAGGAGGTATGTCAGAAAGTTAGGGATTTCGTAAAGGGAGAAGTGCGGATATGCGTTTTATGAAACTGTTTCAGAAACCTGTTTGTTTGTATATTCTTAGAAAGGTAAGCATACAGAAATTTTTGATTACGTGTGCATTTCGTCATAATAATTAATTTTGAAATATTTCGTCACTCTAATAAACTTATGTTGTACTCCATAGAACGAATCGTTCTCATGGGAATAAGGCCACCATTATGACATGCCTTGTGAGTGTACGATGCCGCTCTAAATGACCATTTATTTGCGCTCGTAGTTCTTATACCAAGTGTAATAAAAGCAACGTGACGGCTCTTTATGTTTCTAGGTTAGGTATTTTTTGCTAAAGACCATGACTACAGTGCGTCTTTATTATTTTCCAGCAATGACTCTGTGGCGACCTGTGGATTTGTCCTTGATTCTCATGTTCAAGGTAATTTCAATGTAATTTCTTGTTTTTTAAATGGAACCGAAAATCGAAATAAAATAAAATTCTATACCCGATTTTGTATTGAAAATCTAATATCTAGGTAACCGTCGAATAAAGGTCAAATGTGTGAGGCTAGAGAAAGTTCCTAGACGCTTAGCGGCGTTATTGATGAAAAAACAAGCTTAACCGTTAGTAAGTTTTAACAAGCTTTTCAGTATCGACATTGGATTTGGCCTTAAGTCTCACCTGCAAGGTTAAAATAGCGCGTATTTGTCACTGCCGGCGTCATAAGAGAGGGCTTCCAGTGGAAAAGGGTAGATTTCGAAATGTTTTGTAGGTAGAAACACTATTAAAGTTATTAAAGAATGGTCCTTAATATTTTTTTACATCAATGATCCTGGTATGCTTCTAGTGATATTCCTTGACCTCACCCATCTGACCTTCATTTCACCTTTAGAGGCAACCTTGATTTTACCTTTTAATTCATATTTCTACGTAGTTTTTCGTTGTTTCGATTACCGGTGTTAAAAAAGCTGTCTTCCATTAAAACAAAAAACAAAAGTTGACCTGGAAAGAATTTTGTAGATGAGGCTCAAGTCGAATCGAAGAGCACCATTGGTCTCCTTCTAAGAGTTCCTTACCAGGAAAATATAGAGTCGTTCGGTTTTTTGTTACATCTAGTATATATTCCACTTGGTAGTGATCTTGATCCTGAAGACTCCTATTAACAACAGTTTTGCTGTTGTCCGAATTCTCGCTTTACATAAAGGATGTTTGTTTGTAAAAAAATGCTTCTCTGCTCCATTTCAATCTACGCTCTCAATTATTCCGATATGTATTTATATCATTCTTCCCTAAAGTGCTTTAAACACTTCGATAAATGAATAATAAAACGTTTTTACGAGAAATTGTAATATGTTATGTTGTATCTAAGATATTCGATTTTAGAAATGTGAGTGTAACTTCAGTAGACTTGTTGGATTTAAATATGATGAATGGTTATTCATGTTTCAAATCATGTGCGTGTCTCAAATTTTCTTGCGACACTAAAAAAAAAGGTCGTGATTAATACTAACACCTGCGACCTCGAAAACTATATTTGAAGGTTGAGTTATCTTGAGTCAACTTTATATTAAAAGTGATTTTATTGTATTGAAGAGCATTTGCGGTAAAAGTTGCAGAAATATAAAGCCAAATAAATGTACCCAAAAAGACCTTGAGTTCTGACCTCCACTTTGGCCGAAAGCTGTTATAAGGGATGGAATTGTATGTTCCCTCATTCCTGAGGTCGAATGTGTAAGTAAGGGTCTCGCTATCTACATTTTATATTTTATGAATTTATTATTCGACAATGCAAGAATTTAAAAAAATGTCCAAGGAGACCCTGAAATGTGACTAATTCATCCTGCACTGGTTTACATTCGTAAATTTGACTTTCAAGGTTGACAACCATTCTAAGCGTAAGGCCAGTGGGAGTTGGCAATTTGAAGATTTATAGCACATTTTTTCAAAATCCGAAGTATTGCGCCTGATAAGCTCCAAGACGTTTATTGAAGATTACATGAAGTTTATTTCCCTGAGTAGAATTTATTATATAAATTATTTCTGTGATTTCTGTGATACAAGTACTGACATTTATGTTGAGAATAGTTAATTTGTTGTCATGAAGTGTAGGACCTATTTTTCATTCGTGCTTGAATATATAATAGTAAATTTTTTTGAATTTGCTAGGCAATGTGCTATTGTTAAGTATATCGCTTTATATTGCAGTTACCTAAAGTATTATATTTAGTATGTTATGTATCGCTTACTACGTTTTGAGTTATAAATATAAATTATTGTATTTATTGATAGGTATTTACTCTTGAGAAGGTTGCTGGGATTATCTAAATTATTGTGTGAAATTATGTCAAGGAGGCTTCTCGACCGACAATGAGAGCCTCTCCATAATTTTCGCGAAGTATCTCTTATATGATTATAAAGGTGCACACTTCAACATATGTGGATAGTTTCTAAAATATCACAACTTGTTTTACTCTTGTTGCTTCACTACTATAAGTGACCTGCAACTAGTGATTTCTGGGAGACAAATACGGCGTTCTCTATTCATGTACATATTGCAACCTTGTGATGAGTGATATCAAGAAACATAAAGTTATTAAAACCATTAATTTATCACGTTTATAAAGCCAAGTAGGTATAGTGAATAAATCGAGTCAACATCCTAGCCTTTATTGTGGATACTGAAACATTTGATTTCTTTCAGTCAAGCATTCTACAAATGTTACCAACTTCATGCAAAAGCATGTTTTCTGTATATTTTATTTCAAGTTTATTGTTAGTTATTTAGACATAACAAGACTGTTATTTTTATTAAATAATATAATTGTAACTTATAAATCTCTAATGATAACCCGTTTAAAAGTAATTGTATACTCCTATGGAAAATTGTATAACAGAAATTTCATTAAATAATTTTTTGCTATCTTAGTTGATGTTTCATTTTAATATGAATAAGGACCTACCTGTACTCACTTTATTGGATGCACCCTATAGAAGAAACAAATACGGTACAAAAGGAGGAAGGATTTTCTGGTTGTAATAATGAATATGCATTACAGGAAACTAAATTTTACAATATATCTTTACTTCTAGACGATTACAAACAAAACTAAACGTAACCTAAAGCGAGATATACATATAAGTATGAATATAAAGACATCGAAGTATCACAACATATTTTTGAAAAAAAATAATATCTCAATATTTATGTGAATGTTTAAGAAATATCATATGAAGTCTGAGATAATACAGGTTGACTCAATCATTTCGTTTATTCTCACATAAAATGGTAATTATTCAATTCACATTCTTTTCATAAACGCTGGTTCATGGTAGCTAAAATGTGTTAGTACTAAATCAGAACGTAGTAAAAAGCCCTTTATCAAGAAACAAAAAAAAAATGATAATATATTTCTTCCTTTTTAAACGAGCTTTCACCGAATTAATTGTGTCTCTTACGTATACAAAGTTCCTTCTTACAACGATAATATCACCTACAATATGAGGAGTAATAAGATTTTGTACCAATTCATTCAATAACAGGTACCTAATAAGTAAACCATATCTGAGTACCAACATTCAAAGTTGAGTAGTGGCGAAATAAAAAATGCCGATCGTATATAGAAAACAATAAATAAATAAGAAATAAATATGAATAGGTACTTTAGAAGTCGTAGGAATCGCTTTCCTCATGTCTGGCTTTGAAGAGAATCTTGTAGACCACTCCCGCTATTACACCGCCCAGGATTGGCCCAACCCAGTAGACCTAGAACAATAGTGCGAGTTATCAGGAAATAGAATATACTGAGTGACAAAAAAAGGTAAACTCCTACGTATGTTTATCCGATTTTAATAATTTTTGGCATATATGTATACTAGTAAAATGATGAAATTTTCTGTTTTTTTTAATGATCCACAATTTCTAATACACTCATTGACACTCCTGGGCATCGTGCTGATAATGTGGTCGATATCCTGTTGGGTATCTCATTCCAGGCTGTAAGTAAGAGGTGCTAAAGTATGTGCATGGTGTTGCAAATTCAAGTCCCAGGCATGTTCAATTGGGGATAGGTCAGGCGATCGTGGTGGCCAAGGTAAGCGGTTAATGCAGTGGTGCTGTATATATGTATATATATAGGTGAAAAATTAAAGCTTCCGCCTTTTGTTGGGTACTTCGACAAAATTTAAGCAAAGAGGACTCTTTATACTTTTTATAATTCTCTCTAGCTTTCGATGGACTTTGCCATCATCATCAGGAGAGTAGTATGTGAGGATGTTTTCTAAATAATTTTTAATCTGTCTTTAACTTGTCTTGTCATATTTTATATAATTTTAACCATTGTACCATGTATCCAGCTCTCACCATGTTACTGGACGTTTCCCTCATCCTATACGAAAACAACAATTAGCAACATCCTCACATACTACTCTCCTGATGATGATGGCAAAGTCCATTGAAAGCTAGAGAGAATTGAAAAAAGTATAAAGAGTCCTCTTTGCTTAAATTTTGTCGAAGTACTCAACAAAAGGCGGAAGCTTTAATTTTTCACCTAACTGGTCTAGACGACAATGACCACGTCTCAAAAAAAAAAAAATAAAAAATGTATATATATGTATATATACAACTTTGTCGAAGTACCCAACAAAAGGCGGAAGCTTTAATTGTTCACCTATATACATATTATACTTTGAAGTTGAGTCATTAATTTTCAAATAATGATTGTAGAAGGAAGATAAACCAAAATATGTGTGTAAAAATAAAAAAAATAAAAAAAAATGTTACCTTCTTTTATAAAGTATCCTCCCGACAAGTATTTCAGTGCGGACCTGTATTTGATCGTGCGGTCTTGGAGCACCGGCATGCTCTCCCCTGTGAGGTCTTAAGTCACCTGATTCACGAGCCCTTTGTACTACATTAACAAAGGCACGAGGGGTTGGTTGCACTCGATTGGGAAACCAATCCGCATGAATCTGTGATGCCGCGGCAGCATTTTTTAAAGACTCCCCCTCGTGTAAATGAGAATCATGTCCACAACTTCAGCATTTTCGTAAACATGTGCCTTTTTTTATTTCGCTTGAGCCACGCAACAAACACCACTATTCACTCACGCGTTACCGACTGACACATTGACTGAATACAACTTAATAACATTGTAGTAAAAACATCGTGATAAGTGTTTCAAATTCTTTCGCTTTTTTGTTTCCGATGCGATGAACCGATAAGGCGGATTATATCCGTTATTGCCAAACACAGCTCATAATATTATTATTGACACAGGGCGGTACTCAAGCTTCTAAAGGGCTATAACTTTGTTAGTACTTTAATTTTACCACAAAATGTTAAAGGAAAAACATTTCTTTTCATCAGATCTACTCACTGTTAAAATAAATGACTCAACTTCGAAGTCACTAGCATCTGTGGCGAATTCATATAGATGACGCTACGGTACCTTATTTTATCATTTACACTGACGCTGAAGTATAGCCTTAATTTGGCTATCAGTAATGTAGTTGGAACAATTCACATTATCGATTGGCGTTCGATCGGGCTCTAATTTTGTGGCTCGTCAAGCTTGTTGACGCGCGTTTAAATACGTTCCGTGTAAATAGCAAGTAGTCGTACGTTTCCACGCGCGTCCTTTTGCAGCGCGACAATTAAATGCCCGTTGTACCAGCAGAAAAGCCTGGATGAAGACACAAAATACAAAAAAGATAACAGCGCCTTATAAGAGGATAGCCACGATTTTTAAATCACTGTATAAGATTTTAAAGTGCTACTCGCACAATCACAATCTATACAAATGTATCGAAATTTAATGTGTTCAAGGTATCATAGTGACACACCGTGTTTCGTCACCTCCACAGCTGAAAAAAGTTCAGTTTTTGAAACAAACATTTATACAGGGTGACTTCGGAGTTGAGTCATTTATTTTAACAGTGAGTAGATCTGATCAAAAGAAATGTTTTTTTCCTTTAACATTTTTGCGGTAAAATTAAAGTAACAAAGTTATAGCCCTTTAGAAGTTTGAGTACCGCCCTGTCCCAATAATAATATTATGTGCTCGTGTTTGGCAACAACGGATATAATCCGCCTTATCGGTTCATCGCATCGGATACAAAAAAGCGAAAGAATTTGAAATGCTTATCACGATGTATTTACTACAATTTTATTCAGTTGTATTGAGTCAATGTGTCAGTTGGTAACGCGTGAGTGAATAGTGGTGTTTGTTCCTTCTACAATCATTATCTGAAAATTAATGACTCAACTTCAAATTATATATAGTATATCCATGATTTACATCCACTTGGAATTTTAGTAACTGTCACTGCAAAATCGGAAGGTGATTTTCTAATGAGTATTTTAAATATACAGTGATTTTCAAAAAGCTCACCTCCCCTGCACTTATCCCAGGGACGGGAGATGTTAGTAGTCTGAAACTTTCAGTGATGAAATTGATTCACGAGTTCGATATTATAGCGTAAGAGTGGCAGTTGAAAAATATATATAATTGGGGACGGAACCTTGCCAGTGGCGAAGCGTCCATGTAACAATTGTTACCATTCGTAACAGTTAAAAATCTTAAAAATAAATATTTTATGACTAAGTAATTCAGTAAATAGCAAATTAGCCTCACGAAAATAATGCGCCCTATAATAATAATAATAATAATATTTATTCGCCAAAATACAAAAAATGGGCAAATAAATATGGAAAAACCACAGAAGGTTTTGCGAACACGATGAAGCTGACTCGCCTCGACTTGGTTGTCGGTTGTTACCATTTTCATTTATGGGTACACTTGGTAGCCCGTCGGGAACCGCCGGTACCGGCTCGTGTCTGATCGCGGCCGCCTGAGTGCGTGGGGCGCTGCGACTATTATGTGGGCTTGTTACCATTTATCGATTTGGTTAGTCACTTCTCACTCGTTAGTAGCCGTTACTGGCTGTAGTGTGCGTGAAATTAAAGATGGATGAGTGTCGCTGCGTAATCGATCAACTACTTGAAAAGTCATTGTCCTTGTATAATTTTTAAGAAAAAAAGGAGATCATTGAAAATGGAAGACCAACACCTATTTTAGATAATTTTAAAAAGGAATAATAAAACGTAGTTTGATATTTTAAATTAAGTTGGTATATGGAAACTCTTGGTTATGTGGTTGCAAAAAAAAAACAGATTGTATTGTTGGCGATGCCTTCTGTTTTATACAGAATAAAATGCAGGGGAGTCAACGATTTAAATAGTTTTAGGGCTCTAAAGAGGAGACGTGTGAGATGTGTAGCCAATTTAATTCAGTTTGGCAAAACAAGAATCGAAAGTTGTCTTAACCAAGCTTTTAGGCAGCACACTTCTAGATACCGTATGTTTTTTGGCAATACAGGAATTACCGTTCATTTTGAAGGGGTTGACTCTGAAAATAGAGGAAATTACAGGAAATTGTTAACATTCATTGTCAAAAAAGATCAAAAATTTTCCGAACATCTAGAAACGTCGACTGTTTTTCGGACGGCTTGGATTAGTCGTAGCATAAGACGATGAGGTATAAGTCCAGACACTCAGTCCAGAAATGTTTACCTTAATTTAAAAATAGTTTAAATAAAATACGTAAAATAAGCAAAAACTTATATTTGGAAGGTTCAAAATAAACTTTTTTTGGTAACAGTTTAGGAAAAGTCACGCGTCGCCACTGAACCTTGCTGAAAAGCAATGAGAAACAAGTAAGCTCATAGTTTCCGTCGAATTCGGGCGCAGTCTACATACAGTCCAATTTCACGGTACGACCGTCAGTTAGGGAGAAATTCTGCATCCGACTGGTAACACCTTAATTTAACTCTATAGTATCTGAAAATAACTGAATTTTTAAGTCATTATTTTATAGTAATGAATTGTTTTCAGAAAGGAGGCATAAGATAGGTAGAACTCAGTTTATACGTAGGATATCCATTTTGGGAGCTAGCCTAGATTAAGTCCTAAAAGAGCTCACTGGATGGTCTATGAGTCATTGACAACAAACATCATAATGAGCATATCTTTTACTCATTTATTCTCTCTCAGATGAGTGTCATCTTTTCGACTGTCTTCCAGTTGCATGGTCGAACTTTGTTTTGACTCATTCATTCATGATTTCATCTCATTATCATACTGGATCGTACTACATCATATTCCAACAAGCGTTTCCTCAACCTTGTTTACTCACGTGGAACAACTGTTACGATTTCCTTTTTCAAACGGAAAGTATCATTTATTATTCGATATTAAAACATTTATGGACGTTATAATTACAAAATTATCACATATCGCCACATAATTACAAAATTATAATAAAACACTCAGCATGCGGCTAAAGTGATCGTGGTAATCAGTACAAAAAGCTATTTAAAAAAGGAAATTATTGTAAAGTACATACTGCCTGTTATCGATAGAGCTTTTCGGCTTGATAATAATGAGAATTTATAGATAAAATTATTGGTGTCCTTGGTAATTTCGTTGGATAACTTGAAAGTGGTATGTCTGATATACATGAAAAATGATTTTTGGGAGATAATTATATTCAAGAATATTTTCCACCAGTTTGTTAGTCAGATTTCGTTGAAATGAGATTATGAACTTTCACTCATTACTTTATTTCTTAGCGCTTGCAGTGTTTCTGTATATTACCAGAGTCATATTACTGTATGAAAGCATATTCCTGAACCAGCGCGTTATCTCTGTTCAAAAGGAAAAAAGCTGAATGAAGAATCTTTCTTACGGCAGCCAAACACAAAATTGTGACACAGGAGTTTTATTCCAACCCATCGGAAAACCGTTTTGAAACGATAAGATGCTTGAGCATTTATGATATAAAATATCAACTCTATTATCATTGACCGTAGAATTTTGAGATCGTTTTGCAGATGCTTTTTTAAGGTGATTTGGGTACCTGCATTCGAAGAAGGATGGAAGGGACTGACCTGTGTAGTGGAACAATCATGATTCCGAATCGAAAATACACAGGATCAGTCGGTAGGTTTTTTACACCGAAGCAGCCGCGCAGACTGAAGAAATTTTGTTAATCCGATTTTGGCCTAAGGTTAGTAGAAATGAGAAAAGCTTCCTCTTGTAGATTGTTCCACAATCTCGACACCCTCTGGTCAAAGGAGCGGTCGAATCGGCTAGTTGTGGAGTCCGACATGGTTAGGATGGGAGGCCGAACTCAGGCGGGTCTGACTGGCAGGCACATCACGCGGCGGCATCATGGAGGAGAGCTTTGAGGAGCGAATCTTGTTGGTGTAGCAGTAGAAGAGAGCTAGATCACCGACGGCTCGCCAGTGCAAAAGGGTCCCAAGACTGTCTGTCAGAGAAGAGTCATCGATCAGTCGGACAGCCCTCCTCTGGACAGCATCCAGCATAAATGATATAGCCCGGGCGGCAGTACCCCAAACGTAAGGAAATACTTGAGGCTGGGTCTTATCTGGGCCTTGTATAGAGTGAGGAGGGCATGCGGAGAAAAGTACTTCGTAGCCCTAAACAGCCAGCCTAGCTAGGTTGTAGGCTCTTTGCCACAATAGGAAGACAATGAAGGATCGAGACCGTATTTGTATTTCCTAGTAACCTACGTTATTATATTTGTACAAACATACATACATTCTCAGTCTCGGTAAAATAATAAACAATAATATAAAATATTTCGGAAAAAAAACTGTTCCTAAATCATCTCAACCACCTCCCAACCCAGTAACCAGTCAGCGGATGCGTATTGAATGATAGAGAGCATCACATTTCTCCAAAATATTGGAACAATATAAATGAAGCTAGTATGATTTATAGTCCTTTCACTGAAACAAAGCAGTTACGTCATATTTAGTAAATTTGAGTGCCAACCTTAATGTAAAATAGATCCTAAATTGGTAGGTATAGTTTGAATTTCCCGGGTACATTTATGTTGGTAACAGTTTTCTGTGTTGTGACATTGTCATAAAGCTTGCCAGGTAATTACGCCAACGGCTGTTGTTTATTTGTGGTTTATTTCCTAGGATCTAGTAGTTTTAAGTCATGTGGCAACCATGTGCGTCACTGTCATTATTTGACGTCATGACGTAACTGCTTTGATTCAGAGAATTGCACAATTAACAAATGGTCAAAGCTCCAGCCTTACTTGACCGGGATTATTGATAAGAACGGAATCGGAGTGTAGATGATAATGGGAGTAATATATGATAGCAGTGCCGAACGGGCATATCCTGTTGCAAAGTTCTTCCATTGCTCATTGAAAATTGTAAAATTGATGTAACTTTGGCAGATATTTCAACTAAAATGCACCTGGTAACAATGCAAATGTGCGTTGTTGCCGCAGAGTTCCCATGCACGCGATTTCTATGTTAGTTGTGGAGGAGGCATATACAGGGTGGTAGTCATTAATCTGAAAACAACGTTTTCTATACTGTTGGAAGAAAGAGTTTAAATGAAGTGTGAGTCTCGCAACACGACCATTGCGTTCTCTAAAAGACAGGTTAGTGAATACTGGAAACTGGATGCCGTATGGTTAGACCGCGGTTCCCTGAAAATTTAATGAGTTGTTTGCTCATCATCCGGTAGAGGTAGAGTTCCTGGCGCGTTCCATTTTAACGTGATTCTCCAGTCGTTCTCGTGTAGACACACTGTATGCGTAATGCATAGGATGTTGCATCTTCTGATGTTATATAACAATGAAGAGTTGTGGTCGAATTTAAATCTTTTGTGAACTAGCGAATACCTGGATGGTGATCTTATTGCACGCCCCTCATCTATTAAGTATCGTAAGAATATTGCTGTTTTAAATATTTAATGTTTGCAGTGAAATCCGAGTACTAAAAATCAGAAACAATAACTATGGCTACCTACAAATATAACCAGCACAGATAAAGAGAACGTACTTGTAGTAAGAAAATGCATAACGGAGACATACAAAGACTCCATTAAAATTGGTTTCATTACCAAAGAGTTACTATTAGCATCCAATATGCTTAAAAATCTTCTTTTCATGGATAAAAAATTAAAATATTGATTTACTTCCAACTATGTTACATTAAATACTAATGCAAGTTTGGGGGCATATAAGAAACAGAGAAAAATACTATTAGCATACAGAGAGTAATCATATTCTTTTCTGCTAATTTTCTAGTCGTTTCTTTTCTAAGAACCCATATATTTGGAGTAAACAGTTCGTTTACATTTTTGCGTCTCTCTACCTCTCGGGTGGTGAGGAAACAAGTTCAAAGATTCGCATGTACTGCTCACATGTTTGCGGTGCTGCCATCCTGAATTTATTTTCCATGCTCGATGTTGTTCAGATCGATTACTCTTTCGTAACTGACAGTCTCGGGACCCCTACGCACCGACGGGTCGTCGACGATCTAGCTCCCTTCTACCGATATGATGACGGGCTTTGCCCCTCGGAGCTTTCGTCGACGAACTTCGTACTTCCATAACTGCCCGATAAGAACGCTCCTTTGTCTATAGGGTATCGACATTGTGGAACAACTTACCATTTGTACTAGCCTCACGCAGTTCAAATATCGGATAGAGAATCTTTTAACTACTCATAACATCCGCGGTACCCTGGTATTTAGGTTTCTGCGACGTGACTGCTCGGTATACAAATATCTTGACTTTAAGTGACCTTAGTTACGTTTCACATCTGTGGGCTTTGCTAGAAACTCTACCAATTTATTTGCAACTCACCGGACTACTCATTTGAAATAATAATGAGCCCGAAACTAACCATCCATAAAGCAAATGCTTAATTGGTTAAAGCAATTCGATTCAGGGTATAAACAATTTAAGTAGGAGTCAAAACTGAGAAAAGTACTTTATCACTTCGACTTACCCAATGATTGTTCCAAATGTTCATGATAATAGCAGGGCCAATTGATCTTGCTGGGTTGATGCTGGAACCTGTGTATGGGATCTGCAAAATTTACAATGGTGAAAGGTGGAATCTTCAACGTGCGTAATTTATTTTTGGGATAGACATACAATTATCACTTACCCCGCTAAGATGAGCAGCTGCAATAGCAAGACCGATGACTAGCCCAGCAGAGCTCTTTATGTCTCGTCTTTTAGAATCACATACGCCGTGGACCACAAATAGCAGCAAGAATGTCAGTATTGTTTCCATCAGCACTCCTTGAATGGGGGTCAGCTGAGAGCTAACATCTGTTATTCCTAGATTGCCCACTTTGTCTTCTGGAACGACGAACTACAAAAAAAAGTTTATTATTTTGTTTGTTTAGAGGAATTTCCCTGTCATTGTTGCAGACAAAAGGTCCTCTCGACACATTTTTTGAATGGTTTAGGCTATAAAGCTGTTTTTTGGGATAATGAAATTGATACATTGATACTATGTGCTGGAGTGAAAGTGGCAATTGAACATTTTAAGGTGGCAGCTGGGCATGATTTCGAATATTTTCTTAAATGGAATGGAAATAGCGTGATACGTCATTTGGAAGCCCCTCAGGAGTACTTTATTAAAATAGACTCACTGTCCTTAAAAATGGTGATTTAATCAGCTGTCAAAGTTTAGCGTCTTTGTATATCCCTTATGCCCGTTTTACAGAGCGAGAGAAATGTAACAAGACAGCTGATTCTTCTTGTCATTTTCTTACAAATGCCGGAGTCTTGAATAGAAACGAATCATTTAGATTTTTCTTGTAAGTTTGTCTGAAATTCTGGTAGAATTGTAACTTATGAGTTACCGATGCATGCAAATGTCCCTAGGATGGCCGGGTGGTTTATGTGGTTATATTCAATTGTTTATATACAGGGTGCTTCAGTTTATTGTTGCATAACTTTAAGATTCGATAGAACTTTTAAAATTAATGCATAATGTCTATATAAACAGGGGTCGAAAAATGCGTGGCTTCCGAAATACAGGGTGTATAAATTTACTTTTTAAAATAGTTTTTTTAAATATTTCGAACAATATTTGATGTATAACAGTGAAAATTGGTATACAAGGGTTTTTTGGTACGACAAAACGAACCATGGACATAGTTTTACTGTAGCCGCTAGAGGGCGCTCTCTACTGTACCTGTAGTGTATTAAAATGACAGAAAAAAATTTCTTAGTGGAATTTGTTGCTTTTTGAATAAAAAAACTGATTCTTCGCACTTTTCGGCATAAAAAGCTTTCCTGTGAGTTTTCGTTATAGGTAGCCGTTTTTGAGATATTTCGACTTTTAAGGTTCGATGGATTTTTAATTATTTATGGGAAAATAATATTTTTTTTACATTTTCGATTTGGGCATTACAAGTAATTAAGATGATCGCTTAGGTTGTGTTTTTAAACACAGCAATAATTCCTAACTCCAAATAAACACAAAAAACAGAATATTAATTTGTTTAATTTTCCAATATTATTTTTAAATTAAATTAATTATTTACAACTAAAATGCTATTGGATAGTTAGGACAAACATACAAAATCTAAAGTAGTTGCTGGAAATGTAAACGCAATTGTTCAATACACAATTCACATCTACGAATGATCGAACGTGGTTTAGCATTATTCAAATAAGGCCTTATTTCATCACATGCATTCCTGATTCTGTCTATTAGCATATCTCTTGGTGTTACGGGAGTCTGGTACACTTTTTCTTTTAAAAATCCTCACACAAAGAAATCTGATGGATTTAGGTCAGGGGATCGTGGATGCCAGGCGACTGGTCCTCCACGGCCGATCCATCTTTCTGGATAATTTTCGTCCAGCCAGTTTCTAACTATTCTCGAATAATGAGCTGGACAACCATCAAGCTGGAACCAGGCCAATCTTCTTAAATCTAACATAACATCATCCCACATATTTGCATGTTCAGCCTTTAAAAATTTCAAGAGGGTCGCAGCATTTAACCTTGCAGGCAAAAGGTAGGGTCCAAATAGTCTATTACGGTAGATACCAATCCACACGTTCACACTAAATTCATGCTGAAAATTTCTTTCCCGAACTGCATGCGGATTTTCATGCGACCAAATATGTTGATTATGAAAATTTACCACTCCACGTCTAGTGAAGCATGACTCATCGGTCCATAAAACGTTACTTAAAAACTCCCTATTATTATCAGTTCTATCAAGAATCCACTGACAAAATGTGATTCTTCGTTCTCCGTCCCCTGGCTGTAGTCCTTGTACAGGTTGCAAATGGTAAGGACGTCTATGGTCATTTCTAAGAACACGGTGAACATGATTTGCTGAAATTCCCAAGGCACCAGAAACTCTCCTAACACTTGTGGTAGGATCTCTATCAAACTCACGCAGAATCATACTGGTAAATCTGCGCTGACGAACGTTTACGTTTTGATCCCTTTGGAGATTTCCAAAACCATTTTCAATTATTTGGCGATGCACTCTTACAAATACTGAGCGAGTTGGATGTCGTCTGTTTGGAAATCTTCGTGCGTATTCTCTGGCTGCTTCTGCTGCGTTTCCATTTACAAAGCCATACACAAACTGAATATCCGCTAACTCTTGATTGGAGAATTAAAACGGCATTTTTATAAAACTTACAAAAAAAAAACAGGTAAAAGAAACTAAATTTCGTGCATTCACAATTGCAAAAAAACGTTTCAGGTTTCAACAGACAATAAAACTAACTGTCAACTAATTGACGTTTAACCTTATTCTGCTTTCAATTTCAAAAATCTTTGCAGGCACAGCCTACTTCTAAAAATTATCGAGATACTGACTTTTTAACGTTATTTTATCATAAATAATTAAAAATGCATCGAACCTTAAAAATCGAAATATCTCAAAAATGGCTAACTATAACGAAAATCTACAAGAGAGCTTTTTTATGATGAAAAGTGCGAAGAATCAGTTTTTTTTATTCAAAAAGCAAAAAATTGCACTAAGAAAAAATTTTCGGTCATTTTAATACACAAGTACAATAGAGAGCGCCCTCTAGCGGCTACAGTAAAACTATGCCCATGGTTCGTTTTGTCGTACCAAAAAACCCTTGTATACCAATTTTCACTGTTATACATCAAATATTGTTCGAAATATTTAAAAAAACTATTTTAGAAAGTAAATTTAAACGTATTTCGGAAGCCACGCATTTTTCGACCCATGTTTATATAGACTTTATGCATTAATTTTAAAAGTTCTATCGAATCTTATGCGAAAGTTATGCAACAATTAACTGAAACACCCTGTATATACATTTGGTTGTTTTAATGTTGATTAGTCGGCGATTGAAACCAGTTTTCAAATATCAAAACCATGTGCTCTAAAAGGTAAAAAGGCAAAAGTATCGATTAGTGATTGCTTGTTTGAATTGAGGAATTGCAAGTGATTAGATACAATGACCTTGAGACAAAATAATGCCGTCCTGCAACTGCAAGAGCTTGCATGCAATCGTCTTGTGGACTGTAAAACGGTTTTGATAGAAAATCTTTGTTTTTTGAAGCTCTGACAATCTACAACAACCTGCCAATTATTGTTACAACAACTAGTAACGTTAATATTTTTTAAAAAGCAGACTTCGGTGAGTCTAACGTAGTTCCTCAAAGTTTTGGTACAAAGTTCATTGGTTTAATTTTAACAAACACAAAATAATATCAAGTTGCCTTTAGAAAATAAACTTAGAAATAGGGAAAAGTATCTATAAGTTGATTGGACGGATACCCAAAACTGAAATCTGTCGAATATTCCAGAATAACAACGTTTCACGTAGAACCATTTATCGAACAACAGCGGAGTGAGACCACGTGGTTCTACTGCACAGAGGCAGAGAGATTGGTGAGAAAAACAAAAAATCAGGTTGGAATATCAACAACGAGACTGGCTAGTCAATATAGATCTTCTAAGAGTACAATATCATTGGAATTGAGGAGGAATGGTCTTAAATATTGAAAGAGACTTAAGTGCCCCAAATACTCTCAAGCGCAACTATACCAAGACGCTGTGGTCCACTTTGCCAATGGTAAAATCACTATTTAAGATGACGAAAAGTATTTTACTGAGCAATTCTGAAATGAAGAGAAACGACGGATTTTATACGGACAACGTACAGGAATGCTCTGACAATGTTAGATACAAACATAAAGCGAAATTTTCAGATAAAATCCATGTCTGGTGCGCAATTTCTAACAGGGGTGTATCTCAACCTTTTGTGGGAAGAGTGAGGGTGAAGCTTTGAATAGTCAGAGCTATATTGATATGTTGATTTTGTTCGCTTTGCCCACGAACATCATGCTAATGACCATATCATGTTTTGGTCAGACCTAGCATCATGCCATTACCCAAGAGGTATCCAAAACTGGTTGCGACAACACAACATACCTTTAATTCTCCAAACTTGCCGCAAGCTCACCGAATAGAGGATTTTTGGGCTTTACTGTCTAGGAAGGTTTATCATGAAGGCTGGAAAGTCCAAGATGAAGAAAAATTAATACTGCGAATTTACGAACAACTGAGAGAAATTGATCTGAATTCCATCAAGGAACTTATGAGAGACATTCGAAGAAAACTGCGCCCAGTAGAGCGGAACGGGCCACTCCACATAATTCGATAGCACAGCTTAATGAAGTATTGAGTTGCAATTTATGATAAATATTTTGTAACAAAACTTTTAGGACATACGGTATTTTGATCTGATGTGATGACTTTGTAAATTCAACACACTTTTTGTAAATAATATTTATATTTATATCAGTATTCCTCTCTTCGAAATGTCCATCCGAATAAGTAATACAATGTGGAAGATTCCGTGAAATATATGCTACATGCTAATATAATTGACTACACCGCCATCTATAAGGCAGTAGCCTTTTCAAAGTAGATTCGCAACTAGTGCTGAGAGGAGTAACATACCTGCGAAAAATTCCCATTGATGTTAATTTTTTAGAGAGATATGAGGTAAGACTCCAAAAATCTGGAGTCCACAAAACAGCTGATGGCGTCAACACAAGGCTGTTTTTATTTGGTCCGATATCAATGTGCTGTTGCCAGATAGATAACGCTTTTTCGATGAACTCATTGGCGATCACTTGTAGCGAATGCATTCTTTGTTCAAATTTACTTAAGTACGGATGTTCGTTCATGATGGGGATATTTATCATCCATGTACAAAGTTATAAATCACACTTTTCTAGACAGCCTGGTCTTGAAACGGTATTCATCCTGCTTAGTACAAATGTACGGTTTTATTAATTTTTTATGGCGGCTTGGTAGTGTCGCCTCTGTTTTTATGTGTAAGGCAGTCA